TTTTAAAGGGCAAGTTCCACTGATGACTCTTGATAAAAGCTATTTGCAGCTTAATTCATGCCGTATGTCATGCCGTGAATCACCGATGGGCATTGAGTTTTAAGTTAGCAAAACACAGTGCTGAAGCTGGCAATATCAGTAATGTTAGCACCGGAGGACACCTTCAGCAGGTAATGCTGGACAACCCACAAACTAGCAAAGGCAAGTTTAAAGACACAGTAAATCAGTGCTTCTATAAAACTATGAGCAGAATGATTTTTCAGTGTTTGGCTGCACATCACTGCACATGCAACTAATTATAGCCAGTTATACTTTCATGGACTCATGGCAGCACTGGGATTTGAATTTTCAATTTCTCAAAAATAAGGCCAAACCTTAGATAGCTGCACCACTTGTAAGCCTGGTCTAAATATCTTTTTAAAGGAGCATACATTTGGGCAGGTTTCATTTAAGTACTCGTGATACCCACAGTATGCTCAGACAAGCTTACAGTGGCATTATTTATTGAGATAACAAAGTAATAACATCGTATCGCTCACCCCTTTAATTAAAGCCATAATATGGTTCCAGATTGGTTGCAGCCCATTTCTAAAGTGCATCTTAAAAAGTTGTTTTTAGCTTTAAGTATGTATTTAAATTGTAAAATGTTTGAACCATGTGGCTGATCCTTTAGCCTTATAATTAGCATCTCCCACAAGTCCATGGATGAACAATTATCCCAGATCATCTGTGATGATGATGATGATGATGATTGCTATGGTCTATACCCTTATGAAAGCAGCAGAACAAAAGGTCAAGCAGTAAATTATGTGTATGATTAATCACATGCCAGGCACTAAGGAGTGTGGTGACTCAGTAATCAGTGTGGGCCTCATTTGTATTTCACTCACAATATACCGAACTGGAGGTGAAATCTTAGCTGAAGTGATGCTGCTTCGTGAGGGACAATGAGTCCGTTTACATGTACTTAATAATCCGATAACTGCAGAAAGTCAGATTTTGTCAGTAATTCGTTCAATGCGTTTATATGCATTTGGGTAATCAGATAATGGGAAACTCTGGGTCTGCATGAGTCAGACAGAAATTTCTGCTTTGCAACCCACCAGTAAACTCAAAGAATGAGACCTGATGTATAAATGCAAAACTCAAATGTCATGCCACTGCTTTTTTTTTAAACATCAAGCCACTTTAGTGGAAAATATGAATATACATTATCTAGAAGATGAAGAATTTTTTAGTTCTTTGTTTCATCAAGCTTGTAGTTGGTTCCAACAGTGATTTGTTGCCATCTCACAGGTGCTATGTGAATTTTGTTGCCATCTCCTGGTTGCAGTGCTATTTCAGGCACAGCACTGTTTTCGCACATTGCACGGATGGAGAAAAATGAAAGAAATCAGAGTTAGGGTATACATGCACTGAAAAACACAATTTTTGAGCAAAAATCCAGCTTTCTTTATCAAATTTCTTAATTAGATCTCTTAGGCCTTAATCCGATCTAAGAAATGGGAGTATGCTGTTTACGTGAACTTTTGAATAATCAGATAACTGCCGAAATGGTGAAAGTACATGTAATCGCACTCATTGTTTGTCCTGTGGGAATATTTTGGTGGCATGGCACAATGCAGTAAGATTCAGGTCTCTACACAGGTACTAGTGAAAGAGTTTTATTCAACGCGCATACAGTTCATTCACTGAGTCATTTTCATGGCCACTGTTGGACCATTTAGAGAGACACCAATTAACCCAAAGGTGACTTGTGGAACACCCCTGCACTGATCTCCGTCTGGAGACCATCTGGCACATAGAGTGATTTTCTCTGTACTGTAGAGACTAATTTTAAGCATTCGATTAAAAAAGGTTAGATTATGTTGGTACAGTAAGGCCTTTATATAACCATATATCCAGCGTTATTTGGTTCTTTTTGAATAGGTAAATGGCTTTTACATTACTGAAATGTATTTAAAAATATCTGCTCTTTAACTCCCCTTTAACAATCCATTGAAGTTGTATGGATTTCTGCTGAATGGTTAGAAAATGATTTCTAAACACTTGGTCCTCAATCCATAGTCAGGCAGATGGGAGGACACCACTGCTCTGCTGCTTGTTCAGGTTTGCTGTGGACATATACCATGTTGAGTGGGGTTGGGCAATATGACGGTAATACTGTTTACCGTGGTATGTAAAAATGATGACGGTATTTCACAATTATGACGTCACATTTCTATTCCACATCTGAACAGATTAATAATTACATTCCACCAACTTATATTTTAGAGGGCTCACTGACTGTGGTGGTGCAAACAGACAAACAGGGGAAATCAGAGCCAGGAAAAACCTCAAAAAAAAACAAAGCACAATAGCAACTAAGCTACAGCAAAGAGCTACATGTGTCAGAACTGCACCAGAGAACATGTTTGATTTCAGCTTTCTAAAGCAAATGTCATTTTAGCAGCTGTTAGCTACAACCAAGTCTGTGCTGTGGTGTGGCATGTTTGGCCTGCTAACTAAGCTCTCTAACACCATAGAAAAGGTTGGATTTTGGCTTACTGTCACTCCGCGTTTACTCTCGCAAACATTTTTAATATCTACATTTGTGTCGGCAGAGCACTAATTCTCAGAATCAAACCTGTACTACTGTGAGTTTCACTGAGTGTAGCCTGCTCGCGATGCTAACATCAAGGTAGCCCATTTTTTTAGATTTTGAAATATTGCTAGATGAGATGGCAAAAAGCGTTAAAAGTGACCACAGTAATTTTCGGAGACAGTTTCAAGGTATTAAAAAAGTTGATACTGCCTGACACTAAATTTGAGCGTTACAAGTTTTTCCATTAATTTTGCAACCAGTGAACTGTCCCCTCCTTGATTATGTACTTGGTACTGCTATGAGGTATTTAAAGACCTTTTTTAATGCCCACATGTTAATGCAGCGTAAAGTTTCACAGATTGTTCATCAGTAACCTTGTTGAATTTTGAATCAAACTGAATTTTAGGGGTCATCAATGTCAAATCTAGACAATTCCAGACAGGGTTCACAAACATTTTTTCAGAACTGTATATTGCGTTACCTGCTCTGCCATGCTGTCATGCAGCATTCGCATTGAATGTGCTTTTTTTCAGCAGATGTCAAAATAATAAGCCTCCTTTGCCTTGTTACCAGCGTTCCTGGTTAGAAGTGGCCATGGAGCGTCCCTCTCACTTCGCAATAGTGAGGTTACTCAGGTTACTCGTGCTGGCTGCCCATTGCTGTGTTTTGCACAGCATGTGACGCCGTGCTCTCTTTTCTGTGGTGGTGCACTGTGTACGTGACTTAGTGCAGACTGCAGAGCCTCGGCCCTGATTTACATCGCTCTTTGCTGCACAAGGGCAGAGTATGTAGCGTATGTAGCGTGAAAACAGAGTCTTCATCGTAGAGAATTATTCCCACAGCTCTTTCTTCTTACTTGTTCCCAGTAGATCATTTCTCCTTTATGGCTGCAGTTTGGCACTCAGGGTTATGTTGTTGGACGGCAGTGAAATGGAACGTGCTTCAGTAGAGCTCTCCCAGGGCTCCTGTTAGCTGAAGATGTTTGTCCATCTTGAGCTGTTTCTGCAGCCTCACTGCCTCTGAATCAAAGCTGGCATCAAAGCCCTCTCTCTCTCTCTCTCTGTCCCAACCCCCACCCATGCCCTTTTACTGTTGTCATGCTGTCTCTTTTCCTCTCTGTGTCTATCTGTCTCTCTCTCTCTCTCTACACACACATTCTCGCTCCTCTTATCTTTTGCTGTCTTTCTCTCTTTCTGTCTCTTCTCTGTCTCCTGCTCTTTCACCATCATCATGCTGGCTTTTTTTGCACTCTTTCAGTTTCTGTCTCTCTCTCTTGATATTTCTCTCTCTCTCTCTGTCTCTTTTCCTTTTACTTCCATCATGCTGTCTCTTTTGCCTTCACGCTCATTCTCTTTCTCTCTTGCCCCTTCCTGTTTCTCTCTGTTTCTCTTCACTTTTACTCTCTTTCTCTCTCCCTTCCTCTCTTTTTCTTTTTCTGCCCGGTCTCCTCCAGTCTGATTCTTTATTATCTGAATTGATCCCTTTGCCTTGACTGGCTTTGACATGGCCATCCTGAAGGAGGCCAGGCTGTTTCCAAGTCTGCATACTTCTTCTTGTTTCCAAGCAGAGCAGAGGGAGAGAGAGAGAGTGGAGAACGAGGAAAGGAGCGAGAGTGAGGCGTCGTCTGTGTACAGTATGTGTGTTTCTTCTCAGCAGATGTCAGAATAGCAGGCTGCCTTTGTCTTTGTGGGTTGCAGTCTGTTCTCATTAGAGTGGCACAGCCTAAGCAGCATTCTGGGCTGGATCGTTAGCACTCTGTGCTAGGAGAGTATTTGTAGTGAGGCTCTGGTTAGGGCCCCAGCCACCTCCAGGCTGCTGCAGGCAATGATACGGCTAGCAGTGGTATCAGTGATGGAGGCTGTCATTGCTGGGAGGATTGTGTTGGAGGAATAAATAACCCCTGCTCGCATCCTCTGCAAAGAGAATGAAAACTGTGATAGCAGTAATCATGAGCGTCATCATGAATATTTCAGTTACTCATATCTTATTTATGTCTCATGATTTTTCACCCAAAACCCACCATGTGCCATATTTTCTGCCTAATTGTTTTTGTTGTTTCCTGTCATTTGCTTATCAGTTTATTTGGTGTTTCTTGTTTTTAAAATGAAGTGTCATGAAGTTAACAGGGAGCAACTAGTTAAATGCCGGCACGTAGCTAGCAGGAGGTACACAGGATTAGATCTAGTGCAGAGAGAAACACATTTAGACACAGAAGAGAGGAGATGTTTACATTATTGCAGTAATACACTATTTCATAAAGCTGTACATTCTGTCATAGTACTATTTGCCTACCTTGCACAGTTGAATATTATTGCTGTGCTTTCACGATTTTTGAGTCCTCCACATGCTGTAGCCTCTGTGTGTGTGTGTGTGTGTGTGTGCGTGTGTGTGTGTGTGTGTGTGTGTTCCTTTTTAGGGAGTTTGGCTGGAGGGATCCTGAGCTGCCTGAGGTGATCCAAATGCTGCAGCACCAGTTCCCGTCTGTGCAGTCCAACGCTGCAGCCTACCTGCAGCACCTGTGTTTCGGAGACAACAAGATCAAATCTGAGGTGACACACATACTTCTGTGCTTCGCACTTGTCATTCCTCAGCCTTAAAGGAATGATTTGACAAAAAAAAAGTCGAAGGTGCAGTTTTCCACCTACACCAGGTATAGTTGATCAGGTGAGACATGTTTGGTGTCCAAATTTTGCTTCTTTAGTTTCATGCTGGAGCTACAAGGTTGACGTTGAACACTAGAAGTCAATAGTCACCCAAACGTATTCCATTAGTACATGTCTAAAACTTCTGGAAACATGCTCAGATTGCATTTAGGTCTTCACATTAAGGTGGCAGAGACATATCGATGTGTTTTAGGAGACAGTTTGACTAAGTGCAGCTGACTGCTGCGGTCAGCCATTTTGTGCTGAATTCTGACTCTTTGCATGCACACATGTAATGCAGGCATATATACACCACAGATTATGCTCAACATTACTTTTGATTCTCTTTATAGATAGTTGCTAATCTTGAATTTTCAAACTGAAAATATAAATACAACTGAAATTGTGAATGTAGTCTAGCATCTATATATTCCTGTGTAAAAGCATGAGCGTTTCTATGAATTCTGTTGTCTAAAATGGTTGCATGCAGCGTTTTATTCATTTGTATACTTCACTGTAAGCTATACTGTTCTAAACCACATCAACAAGTCTGAGCAGCCTTAGTGAAGACCTGGATGCAGTCTGAGCAGACTGAGAGAAGTTTTGAACAGGTTGTACTGAGGAAAAAGAATTGGATGAATATTGATTTCTAGTGTTTGTTAGCAATGCTAATCTTGTAGCTCCAGCACTAACCTAAAGAAGCAAAATTTGGATGCCAAACATGTAAATTTCATTCTTTGCTGAGCCTATTCTAGCTCTATTCAAACAATGCAATTTAAGCATTTGCCAACATGATCCATGATTTCAATCAAATACAAATCTGCAAGTCTGACAGTAATAATTATGGGACAAATTACCTTCACTGAACATGGAGCTCCCTAAGTAATTGTTTGATCAACCTCATGACGCAGTAACAAACCCTGGTGATAGTGTGCTCGCGTTTTTATTGTTATTGAGTGTGCCGCCTATGTCTGGGCTATGACTTTTGAATTCGGGCTATTTTTGTTAATTTGGCAAACCTATTCGGATACTTGCGTGAACGTAAAACTAATCTAGCTCAAATAGTGCTTCACTAAAGCTAATACAGGTTGTGATGAATACGAAAGCTAGAGAGAAGTGAGAAGTTAAGCTTCCACCATATGGGGTCTGAAATTGGCACATTGTGTGGAGCAGCACATCTGCTTACTGCTGGCAGTGTGGCTCTAGTGATGCTAGCCAAGGCCTCAGTTCACTTCCTTTGCCCCCTTATTGCCAGTATAGCTCTTTAACTGCTGCGGCTGTAGCCAAAAGCAGGATATAAAAACAATAAAGAGATTATCGCATATATAAACAGGCACAGGTTCAATTAGACAGATAAATGGAAGAGTGGAAAAACGCAATGAGGGAAATGATCTCTTCAGTTGCCCATATTACCTGCATTATCCAGTGCCAGTTACGTAACAGTTGTAACATGAAAAATGTCTTATTGAAGGATAATAGTGGTGTGTGTGGGTGTGTATACTACTTTTTGCCGTCTGCTGTGTTTGGGTAGATCCGAAGACAGGGAGGCATCCAGCTTCTTGTAGACCTGCTGGATCACCGGATGACTGACGTCCATCGCAGTGCCTGCGGGGCTCTGAGGAACCTGGTGTACGGCAAAGCCAATGACGACAACAAGATCGCCCTAAAGAACTGTGGGGGTATTCCCGCTCTGGTGCGCCTCCTCCGCAAGACAACTGACGTGGAGATCAGAGAACTGCTCACAGGTATGATACGTGTTTGGCAAAAAAAAAATAATTTTCACAATTTCACAATTTTCCCCTTATCTGAAATGTAGTTGATCAGCCAAGACATGTTTGGTGGTTGAAGTTTGCTCCTTTGTTTTCCTTTGGAGCTAAGAAGTGGACGTTTATGTAAGTTTACTAGCATTGTGCAAAATGCATGCTTAAATCATTACACACACTTGCTTTAAACATGTCATGTAATTTCAGATAGACTTGCTTACATGATTTCTAACACTGTATGACTTACTGTTATTTCTAAAAATGGGCAAATGTACGCAGAGTAGCTAAAACAGTGGAAGCAACCTGTACTTTGGTTCAGTTTTATAGATAACAGTGTGCCATACAGTGTCAGAAACCACATAACCAAGTCTATTTGAGATTACTTGATTTGGTCTGAGGCATGTGTGTAATGATATAAGCAGTTTGCACAATACAAAATGGTTAAAGGGGAACTTTACCATTTTTTCAAAATGTTTGCATGATTTAGTGGTTGAGACACAAACAAAAATCTCTCTGAGTGGTCTGATGTGAATGGTGCATTGTAGAGAAACATACCAACCTGGAGTTCTTTACAGTGGTGGTGATAGAAACCAGGGGTCACAATGTCCACAGCTACAGCCCATTTAATGTACTATGCAAAACCATCAGTGAACCTAAACGTGTCCTTTGAATTTCTATGTGTAATATAGCATATTGATAACTAGGGGTGCAGGAAAAAATCGATTCTTAGATGCATCGCGATGCAGACGCGGACGATTCTGAATCGATTCATAAATGTCAAAAATCGATTTTCTAAATATTTAATTTTTAATGTAATGTTGACGGAACGCAAAGGGTGGAACTTGGAAGTGGGTAAAGTGCAGCGACCGGACAGTCTGTGGCGGCACATAACAAAAACACAACCGGATGAGTGAGAAATCCGACCGGCTCCCTCTGCATTGAAGGCAAGGTTAGGTCAGGAGTCACAACACAAATGATGAGAAGAGCCATTTTGACCTTTCAACAAAAATCAAACCACCTTGGGAGCCACAACATTTATGTCCAGTATGTGATAATGTGCTAGTTTAGGCTAAAAAATATAAACAAAAACGCAGATTTACTCTACTCTGCTTTAAGCTTTAGCTATAGCCGCTTTTCTTCCAACTCTGCCAGAAAACTTTTCCTCAAAAGTTGAATAGTTTCTTGTAAAATGTCTCTCAGCTTTCCACTGTTTTATGGGGCTGAAGTCGCTTCTCATTCTCCAGCTTCTTGCCGAACTTTCCGGTTCCACCTTAAATTCTGACTGAGGCGCCGAATGTAAAAGCGGCACCATTTAAGGTGGAATGGGAAAATTAGAGAAGCGACTTCATCTTCGCAGCTTCACATCTTTTAGTTAGTGTTTGAAAGTCTCTCGTTGCAGATTTAACGTACCAGGAAACCAACTGCGCTGCTTATAAATGCGAATAAGTCCATTCGTCTCCAAATGTTCGTCTGTCTTTCTCTTTTCCTTTTTCGTTTGCTACTCGCTCGGCGAAACCTCGTTGCTAGGTGACCTGCACTCACCTATTGATAACCATATATTGTAATACATTGCTGTGGTGTAGCTTTTACATGCATTAAACCCTTTGGACATCTGGGGCCGTATTCATAGTTTTATTCCAACTCCAGGTAAGAAAACAGTATTACAGAAACTTCTTACGTCTGAAATCTTATCTGTTTAGTTACCATGAAAACTTAGTTAGGACTGTATTTAGGACAAAACCTATTGCAGAGCAACAGTTCTTAAGTTCATAATCTTATTAAAACCCCGGATAAGAAAACTGTATTACAGAAACATCCTAACTAGACAAAATTTCCTAAATACTTTACTAACTTTAAGACAACCCCAGAGGTGTGTTAACTTCTGATTTAAATGTCTTTTTTCCATCGTTTTATGCCGTGACGGGCAGCATAGTTCACTATAACTGACATAATGACGTTACATTATCTGCATTGAAAACAGTGCTTTGACTTATGAGGTTTTTTGTCTAACAGCGTTTTAAAAATCTCAGACACTGCAGACATGATCTCCACCGTCCCCTCTTAATACCTTAGTTTGTTAATGTTTGTGAAAACTTGTCAGATAAACTATTACAGTGATGGTGGTGAATAATGAGGAGGAGTAACGTTAGCGTGATCGGCTAAAGTTTTCGGAAAACTGAAAGTGAACCTGGAGAGCTGTGACGCTCTGGTAAATAGCTTGTTTGTGCTGTCACAATATTCTCAATGTTAAGTTTGTCGCGCTTTAGTTTTATTTGACCTTTTTAACCTCAGTAACAGTAGCTAGCTGACTGATTAACTAACCTGATTATTTTGATTACACGTTTATGTTTCAGCTGTGCGCTTTTGGTTGGTTGCTAGGCAACAGACACGACAGTTGATTGTCGACTTCGAGTAGGTGAAGATTTCCTAACTTGAGATAAGATGCTGTGTGATAAGGTTCCTTAATTAAGATAAGATTTGCTTCTGTGACATGAATTTGTGAAAAATCTCATCTTGACCTGTGAGATCTTAACTCAAGACAAGAAGATAAGAAGTTTCTGTAATACGGCCTCTGGTTCCCATCAGCACTGCTATGAACAATTCTCTAGAACTGAGCATTTCACAACCACTCTGATTGACTTTGGTTACGTCTTAATAATTTAATAACACAAAAACTCAGAAAAATGGGTGGAATTCCCCTTTAAGCCCCACTAACTTTTTAGTGACATATCTCCAGTGCAAAACGTGCAAGCTTTGGACGCTGAACTTACATACTATGTTTTGAAGTAAGAGGATAGTTATATAATTTTTTTTCCAACTACTGCTTTAATATTAATTCTCTCTCTCTCTCTCTCTCTCTCACACACACACACACATTGTATCACTCTATACAAATGCTTTTATTTCATTATGCCTTGCCTTTCGTGTGACTGTATTTTAGGTAGCCTTTTAAAAGGAATGCTTAATTTGTTAATTAGCTCTCATTGAATCATCTACTTGCTACGGTTGAACATTGCACCTATTAGATGGTTCGTTAATGATCTGCTAATTGGTCACAATTAGGGAAATGATACCCAAGCATAATACATGCACTTAACATTGCCTCATGAGGGACTTTTATTTAATGGGTATGAGGCACTGGCAAAAGATAAAGGCCTTTTTTGCAGTGCTTTGTTTAGGGAACCATGGTACAGTGCCAGCTCTTCTCAGGAGCATTTACTCAGGACACAGGAGAAAACAGTGCTTCATTTTTCAAGCTGAGACATTTCATAAATGTCAAACACAAAAATTGAGAAATGCTTGCATAAGACGACGTCTCCCACACGGCTTCAACACAGGGAGTAATCAACACGTCCGTCAATGTAATAATCAGTATGTTCCGAGAGTTCAGAGAAACAGCCAAAGCACTTAAAATTGACAGAGGCAAGATGCAGTCAAGCCAAAGGGCTGTGTTTCGTTAAAGCTGCATGCAGAGGGACGCATGCCTAACCGCATGCCTAAATTATTACACACTTTCCTGTTGCTAAGTAATCTCAAACAGAATTGCTTATGGAGTTTCTGACATTGTATGACATACTGTTATCTATAAAAATGGACAAAAGTACTGACAAAATTTAGACTTCTAGATCGCTGTTACGTTTTGTCTATGCAATGTACTTTTGTCTGTATTGTTATTCAGTAACAACTACAGTGTGCATTGAAATGTTATAAACAAGGCACCAAACTGTAAGCCAATGGTTTGTTTACAATTTGAAGTATTTTTGCAAACAACAGGGAGTTATGACATGACAAAAACATAGCAAATCTTAATAAACATAATAATCTGTAACAGTATATTCTTATTATTAATATATCACTGTTTTATTTTCAAACTATGTCAAAATTATGTCAGAAAAGGATAACAACAAAAATAGAGATATGAGGTTTTCAGACAGCAGTGAGATATATTATAAATGTATTTATATATCTTATATCTCATTATATATCTAATAATATAGAGTACGTTTCTTGACATTCAATATTGTGAATAGCTATTTGATCAGTGATGCAGCTGCTGCTGTTCAAAAATGAGCCATACTGGATGTGAATTTTATTACAAGTTCATTCTGGGTGCTATACAGTTGGAATCATCTAACGTTCTGTTGATCATTGCAATTTCATAACTTTTAAAACCTAAAATTGTTTGAAACCTGTAGAATATTAACATCATATTAGAATCATTTTACACATGTACCTGCAACAAAGTTGGTTTTATGTGTTTATTTATGTATTTATTTTATGTATAAACACTGAATCCAAACTTCTGAATGATGGTTCTAAACTTTAAAATGTCGTACGGTGTTAGAAACCACATCATACAAAACACACAGAAAATTCAGGGTTTGATGTTATTACTTAACAGCCCACCATGGTTTGAGGCAAGTTTGTGAAGGGTAGAATTTCATTATTTTTACAAGGGGAAAATTGTGCAAACTTTTCACCAATTTTTCAGCAAACTGTTGCTTATAAATCGACATATAAATAGAATGGAATATAAATTAGAGCATGGTGCAGAACAGAGGACTGATAGTGAGAGTGCCACAGGGAGGTGTAACAGTGAGGATGCCAGGCTGCTCCCCTCCTGCAGGCATGCTGAGTGCAGACTGGATGTGGTCTCTCTAGAATGGGCCGATTAGCTGTGTGTTCAGCACTCACAGTCCCTCTGGCAACTCCAACGACTGCCTGCAACACAGCACTTGAAAAAATTTTTACAAGCCATTTTAGCTGATTGAGGCCTTTTTATAGCTTATTTAAAGCTTTTAAGGCAATCATTGCATCCGCCGCTTGTGGTGACAAATGTGCTTTTAGGTAAATCCTGTTGATGGTCTTTAAGCAGAGCGAGTTTATTGCAGTGGTGGATATATGGCTGCTCTTTGTGCTGATAGTGTACTTGACTCACTGGTGGTTTTTGGTGTATGCAGGAGTACTGTGGAACTTGTCCTCGTGTGACGCGCTGAAGATGCCTATAATCCAGGACGCCCTGGCAGTGCTCACCAACACCATCATTATCCCTCACTCGGGCTGGGACTCCTCCCCCCACCAAGATGAGCGCAAGCTGCACCTGCATTCCTCGCAGGTGCTCCGCAACGCCACCGGCTGCCTCAGGTAAAGTGTCCTAACACACTCACACACACATACATGCATCCGTAATACTGTTTTGCTTTCCTTCTGGAGACCTACAACTTAACTCTAACCAATGCTTTGACCCTATACCTTACCTTCACCTTATCTTACATGACATTTTGTCGGCAATACATTGAGAGACTTTGGCTTTGTTTGCTTTAGCTCGTTAAAATCTGCCCCAAGTGTTGTTGCAATGCATACATGCCCACATTCAGCACTGTAAAATTTATCAGCATGTGGAGTTGGAGCTTTCTATATGCTACTGTGTTTTTTATCACTATACGAAATCATGATAATCATGATCTTGATACTGTCTTTCTTGTTAGAAGCACTGCGATTGTGTCTGAGTGAGGACAACAGAATTCACGTAATTAACGGCTTATTATTGAATATTGCTGAAGTGTGAATTATATTCCAGTTTGTGTGTTCGCTTATTTAGAATCTTCACATTTTCAGGTTTGTTATAGAAATCATTAAGAAATTATGTTATTACAGGAGAGGAGTATGTTAAAAGAAAGAAAATAATCTTCTTTTGGCTTGAGTTTAAAGGATTAACCTGGGAAAAAAAACCACAAGGCCATTTTTCTGACATTCTCTTATCTAATGGGGACTTCAACACCCTCAGTCATAAAATTTTTTTGAAAGTGTGGTGATGGAGGCAAACCAAGAAGTGGATGTTAACTACAATTAATACTGGGATTCCTTGAGGAGAGGTTTGGAAATGGAAACAAAGGTTTGAATATGGAAACAAACACACAAACAAACATTTTAAATCACTGCCTGTTGTAGTATTACGTGTATTTACTATTATGGGTTTTTCCTACCAAAAAAATACATACTGGTCACATAAGTAGCTTTTTAACTGTAGGTTTCTTAGGTGCCTAAAACATTTGTGCAGTACTGTGTATATACATAGATTTGCCAAAACATTATGACCATTACGCGTGTCGAGGTCGGTGCTGTATTTAATGGCAAGCGAACAGTTGGTTCTCGTAGTTGACGTGTTAGTTGCAGGAGAAATGGGCGGGCGTGAAGACCTGAGGAACTTTGACCAGGAGCCAAATTGTTAAGACCAGGAGCATTTTCAAAACGACAAGGCTTGAGGGGTTACGGGAGGAATGTGTCACAACACAGAGTGCATCACACCCTGCTGCATATAGGTACCCATCAGATTGCCATGCTAACCCCTGTCCACTGTCAAAAGCGCCAACAATGAGCATGCAAGCGTCAGAATTGCACCTTGACGCCATGGAAGAAGGCTTGTCGGATGAGTGACATTTTTACATCACGTGGATGGTCTGATATGTGTGCGTCATTTCCCTGGGAAATGATGGCATCAGGATGCACTGTGGGAAGAAGACAAGTCAGTGGAGGGAGTTTGATGCTCTGCACAGTGTTCTGTTGGGAAGCCCTAGGTCTGGGCATTTTTGTGGACATCAATTTGACATGTTCCAACTACCTAAACATCGCCGTGAACCAGGTACATCCCTTCATAACAGTGGTGTTTCTTGATGGCAGTGGCCTCTTTCAGCAGAATATTGTTGAGCGCATTGTTCGGGTAAGGTTAGAGGAAAATGATGAAGAACTGAAGGTGTTGCCCTGGCCTTCAAATTCCCCAGATTTTAATCAAACCGGGCATCGTGAGATGTGCAGGCAGCAGCAAGTCCAATCCACAGCGACTCCACCCTGCAACTTGTGCTTGTGCTATCGTTATACCACTGCTGTTGGGACAAAACCTCATATTTCCGTTTTTTTTTGTTTTTCACTTTTCAACTTAGTTTGAAATTGCCAGCTGCCCTTTACATTGTATCAAAATTTCATGATGAATGGACCAGTATAATCGGTCCAAAATAACTTGGAATAAATCATTTCTGCAGTAACTTCCATTAAAAGTTCAAATATTTTTTTTCCTTCTTTTGTAAAGCTGCTTTTTGGAGAAACATTTTTTTCCTACAGTGATAATATATAATGTATATACTTACACATAAATACATGCATACACATGCTCACCTGAATTCTCCATAGCTCCTGTACGCAGGGCATGACTAATACATGCTGAGCATCAATGGGGTGTTTCCGTAGGTAGTGTGTAATGAGAAAGCCTCTTATGCTGCTTACTGTGCCTGGCTTTTAAGTGGCTTAGCCTTTGTTCAGAAAGATTTACTGCCATATTAGGCACCGATTTGGACCGGGTGTTTGCAAACAGTGTGTACGTTACTTCATGGGACTGCACCATTTCCAAACCAAGTGGTGCATAACATTTAACAATATTGTGCCTAACAGACATAAAGATTTACATCCTGGAAGTGTCAGAGTGTACTGAACTCCCACTGTACATTTTACAGTCACTCAATAGTGGCTCATGTTTTTTTTTTTTGTAGCTGAAATAAATTTGCTAATCAGCTTGGTAGCCTGCAGGGAACACTCTGCTGATATGTTAAGCTAATTGGTTTGACTAAATAGGTTTCAGTCACATTTGATTTTTTTCCAGTTTCAGATTGTTGTGATAAACCATATTATGATTATTAATTATTTTTTGTCTATTTTATGTTTGGATTATGAAAGAGCATCTAATTCATCCAGTTCAGCAGGGGACAGAATTTGCTGTGGGGCTTCATTATAGGATTCTATAGTTCTGGACGCGTGTCAAAGACTGCATGATTATAGAGCTGGCACAGGACAAGAATTGGCAGTCTGTCAGGCATTTTTGCTGCTGATATGCGCGCTGCCCCCTGTGTGTGGCCAGAATAGCCTGTCCAGGAAGAGTAATGAGATCCCAGCCAATGCGTTTGCCTGCCTCTGCGTTTTTTCGAGGGGGTTTAATAATTTTAGCCATATTGGCCATGACTGTGCACTATTTTGATGCACCATCTTCTGAATTTTTTCTTTAATGTGGCGGGCATGCATGTTTTTTGTCTTCAGCTTTCCAGTGTCCAGTTTACAAGTCATGACTCTTGTGACAACTGCTGTCCATTGTCTTATAGCAGTGACTCCTAATCCTAGTCCTGCCTTACTTATTTCAGTGTTTTCCTCGCAGTAACACAACCGCTTCATCTCAAGGAGGGCTTGTTAATGTTTTAATGCTGAGATAAAATAACCACTCTTTCTGCCTTAGTCCACTCCTCACCTGTAGTAACATGGTTTCTCATGTATAATAACATGGTTTCTTGAAGCTCAGAATTGATAGACTTTGCATATTTAAATTTGTTTTGTCACAAACTACCATTTTGAACAAGCCAGTGTATGAACAGGAATACAGAAATACGTTGTGGAACGATTTATTCAATTAAAAGTTAATGAAAATCTTATTTTTTTCCTACAGCAGAAAGGATGGACTGTCACTGTCACTGAGTGCTGACTGGTTGGCCAGCTGATCATCTCATTGGCTTAGGAAACCAGTTTGCACTGATGTCAGGAATGTACATAAGGTGTTCATAGAAATTTGAATTTAAAAGCACTCAAGTGTTGAAGTATTTTATGCCGTTCTGTGTTAAGGAAACATTTGCATCTTTTGGTATAAAATGATTAAGAATTTACAAACTGCAAATATGCACACATTCATTTTGGACTCACTCAGATGAGCCTTCCAGCATCTGGCAAACCAGGAAAACTTTACTGAGTGGGTGCTCCTCAATAGAAATACCCCAGTATCCTGCTTGTTTTGTGTAGTTATAGACAACGTGGTAGCACACAGAAAGCTCTAATTCCACATGCTGATACATTGTACTGGCCAATGTGGACAAGCACATTTTGCAACTTCTCTCACAGCACATTTTGATTTAAAAGAGGACAAACCCAAAGTCTCTGAATATGTATGTGGCGAGGTGCTAGGTATGATAGGGTTAATTAACTGATTAGTTGGATCAAGTATGTTAGAGATGGGAAGACACCAGAATGCATGGCTGGGCTACTACAGGACCTTGACTGGGCACCACTGGTTTGGTGCTCACCACGACTAGGCATTAAAATCTGTCTGAGACTGAAGCGCACAGACAACTCCCTCTCAGGTCTGAGACAGCAGGTTGGCGGCAGAAGAAACGCTGAGTCATGCTGTATGTGGGCTGGCTGGCCCGAGCTCTCCCCTAAGCCCCGTGTGCTAATTAATCTGTTTCACGGCTGACCGAGGATTCGGGAGCCCGATTGAATATTTAATGGTCGAACGCGGTTGCCACGGCACCTGCAGGCATGGTGGAAGCTGCTTGGCAAGCACCGGGGGATCAGGATGTAGCCTTTGATTTTTCGCAGCCATCTTGGCGTGTGGGACGTCTGCCTCCGATGAGCCCTCCTAGATAGTGCTGAAGCTCTGCAGGCTCCAGGCATGTGGCCGCTAAATCACTAGCTCTCAGCAGATACACAGCGCTGTTCCTACCGCTGATTCCAGCACAGTCCAAAAGGGTTTAAGGCCCTTATTTACGTCAAAAAGACATACTTGTGCTTTCTCCACTGATGACTTAATGCTACTTCATTCTTTTTCTTTTGCAACACCTTAAAGGCATAGCTTGCTTAAACAGGATATAGTTTACCCATATCCTAAATATTTTCATTCAGCCTAAACATGTTTGGTGTCCAAGGTTTTTTAATGTAGTTTCTAGCAAGGATTGAATGCTTATACCACACCAGTACGTGTCATGCAAACTACATGCCTGAACCATCGCACTTCATGCCTCAAACTGCATTGATTCTTACATAGATTTGTGCATGTGGTTTCTGACACTGTTATCATTATCTATAAAATACAATATTGTACAGAAGTCAAAAATCTATTTTCCAATCAAAATGGCCAGTAAGTACAAGTTATGATTTTTTCTGGAAAAAACCGTACAAAGATCCTATGTAGCCAAAAGACACCTGACCAACACACCTATATAAGCCTGTTGGACAAAACCTCTCCAAACCTTTGGGCATTATTTTAGAGTTGGCCCCCCTTTGCAGCCATAATACCCTTCACTCTTCTGGAAAGGCTTTCCACAAGAGCATTTGTGAGGTCAGGCACTGATGTTGGATGAGAAGTCCTGGCTTGCAGTCTGCATTCCAGTTCATCCCAAAGATGTTCAGTAGTGATCTTAGGCTTGTGTGCAGCTGCTCGGCCATGGAAACCCATTTCATGAAGCTCCCAACAATGTTCTTTTGCTGATCTTGTTTCCAGAGACAGTTTAGAACCCTGTAGTGACGGATGTAACAGAGGTTAGGTGACTTTTATGTGCTACTCACTTCAGCAGTCGGTGGCCCCTCTCTGTGAGTTGTCATGATCTGCCACTTTGTGCCTAAGCTATTGTCACTCCTAGACACTTCTGTTTCACAAAAATAGCACTACCTCTTGAACGAGGCAGATCCAGCAAGGTAGAGATTTCGTAAACTGACTTGTGGAAAAGGTGGCATCCTATGATAGTGCAGCGTTTAAAGCCACTGAGCTCTTCAGTGTGACCCATTCTACTGCCAGTGTTTGTCTAAGGAGACTGCATGGCAATGTGCTTCATTTTAATACACTTTTTAGCAATGGGTGTGGCCAAAACATCCAAACTCAGTAATTAGGAGGGGTCTACATTCAAAATATGTGAAAAAACAAGAGTTTTAAAAACTAAAGTTTAAAGAAATAATTAAAGGGTGTAGATAAAATGAGAGTCCTAATAACTGCAAAATGTAGACCAGCAAAACAGCCACCATCTGATAAACAGTACTGAAAGCTTTCACCTTTGAGAGAAAATCAAGCTCCACATGTTTCAGACCTGAAAAAATCCTACCCCTGTGCGAAGATAACTCAGCGCTATGGATCTGAAAGGATGTGTGGGTCTCAATTGATGTGCTATTCAGATCTCAGCATTGCTGAATGTGTTTGTGATTGCCTGCATCGTGAGAGGTTGAAAATGCAACCAACTTCTAAAACTGACCTTTGAAAGTATGGAAAAATATCCCTGCAGATTACTTAGAAAAACTGAAAGCAAGTCTCCTATAAAGAAAGGAAACTATAATAAAGGCAACAAGTGGACACAATAAATACTGGAAAATGTGATATTATATTTAGTTGTTGAGGCTTCTGTGTAATTTTCTGTAATATGTTTTCTGCTTTTTTCCTGACACTGAAAATTAATAGCTTACACTTAACGTTTGTTTTGATGGGCAATTAAATAAATAAAGGATGAGCTCAGATTTTTGCAAAAGTAACTGCAAAAGTAAAAGGGCATACTTCAGACACCAGACATGTCTTGGCTGAGCAAATACATTTGGATTAAGAGGAAAAATAGTGTAAATCTGATTTTTCGCCAAACAATTCCTTTGATACTTTAAAGGAGCAATTTGTAAGGTTTTTAGTTTAAAACAATCCAAAATGAACTAAAATCATCAACAGATTGATGTTATGTCAAAGACATCTGTGTACCATGTTGCAGAGGTATCCACTGAAGTTAGCATGTTAACCAGCTAGCGCTGTCTCGTAATATCACTTTGTGCCTCAAGAGGTGATAGTGAGTCACTGTAGTGTCGAGTCTACCATCAGTCCAACATGAGAGGATGAAGAAGTAGCACACCTGCTCCTGGCAAGTAACCACAAAGATTGTAAATTATATTATAAATAGAAGCAAAACAACAGTTAACATTGCTGTTGCTTTTTACTGTTGGAGACAGCTCTTGGTGAGTAAAGGAATGAAGGTTGATGCTGAACTTGCAACGTTTCTTCTAGACTGGTAAGTAAACGGGGAGGAATGAATAGGGAGGAGGAGGAACTTTGTGGAGTGTGAATTGGACAGCTTGCGTCATCTTACATATTGCTCCTTTAAATTATTCTCACAGAAAAACACACAAAGACTTCATGGTACTGAGTGGTTTGCCATGCTGCAGTGTAATCAGGGGAGAGTGTAGCTTGTCGGGCTTGGTGACAGTATATGTCCGCTGTTTTCTGCGCAGGAATGTGAGCTCTGCAGGAGAGGAGGCACGGCGCAGGATGCGGGAGTGCGAGGGGCTGACAGATGCACTCCTCTACGTTATCCAAACTGCGCTGGGCAGCAGTGAGATCGACAGCAAGGTCTGACCCTTTGCTCTGCTGTGTTGCCTACACGCTGAGCGCGCTCTGGGGTGTGCTCCAAGCTATTCTCTTTCACTAGCCACTGTCCTGAGTGTAGAAGGAGTGATGACAATTGCTCCTTCTTCAGCCAGGACAGTGGAAACAGATAAAAGCCATTTTGATTGATCATATTTATATTTTATGTGGCTCTACTTTGTCTTTTCCAGTTAATCAGATATCAGAAAAAATAAATATCGGGACATATTGTGTATCGAGAAAGCTTCTTGAAGTATTGTGATATTACATTTTTGCCATATTTGCCACCTCTACTGGAGGCATCACAAAACAGTAGTGAATCATTCATAGTGCAACTACAAGGAGTACTTTAGCATAGATAATGCATGAATTTGTTTTCATTCCTTCTGATGGTAATTACCACAGACAGTGTTATTGTGTGTTCCTCCCTCTCCATTGTGTTAGCGGTTACAGTATTAAGAGTGGGTTGCGGTAATTGCACAGATTAAGTTACAAAGTCAGACAGCCACTATATTGAGTTTCTAGTTTGTTTGAATTTTGAGAACTCGTTGTTACTGCCATAATATTTTGTGAGAACCAGTCAGAGAATTTTAAAAAAGACCATCAGAGTTAAATCCCTCTGAAACCGTTTACAAGATCAAAGTCCTCTCCTTTGTTTTGCCCTGCCTCACTGCTCATGACAATAGGATTAGCTTCCCTTGCTCTCCACTGGACTCCATCCAGAGGACCAATCTAACAAGAAACTATTAAGAACACAGATGCAGTAATGCATGGACTTTACAAAGAGGATAAATTGTCTCCTGAAAAGAAAAAAGACACATTTGGATAATACTGTATCTGGCAAAGCCGAACTTGTCCATAGGGATTATGGTGCATTCTGCTTTTGCAAAGATAACGTCAGGGTAGACAGTGTTCCTTTTGAAGTTAAACTGAGAAGTTAATGCAGATATTCCAGCACAGAACCATTCTTGCGAAATAGAAGTAGCCTAATGTGAAAACATCCTGCTTTTTTCAAGTCTCTCCCTAATCTGTCTGTCCTTGACTTTTTCTTCAACATCCTGTGGCTCCAACAGACTATAGAGAACTGCGTGTGCATTTTGAGGAACCTGTCCTATAGGCTGGCGGCTGAGACGTCTCAGGGGCAGCAGCTGGGATCGGAGGAGCTGGACGGGGTGCTGTGCACTGACGCCAGCGGGAAGGACGCTGAGAGCTCCGGCTGCTGGGGCAAGAAGAAGAAGAAAAAGAAGAGCCATGATCAGGTGGGCCACGGGCCTGAGCGCCGCAGCTGCTAGCAATTAGCACCATTTAGCGTTGCTGCCGTTCGGGCGGCCTGCGTCGCCAATCACCCCCCCCCCTCCAGGAGATAATTACTTACTTTAGCAGGCTGATTTCATTTAAGTTCTGAAAACAGTGGGAAGAGAAGGGCATTGGCCGCATTTTCCCCCAGCCGCGTGGGCTGAATGGGGAGGTAGAAAGTTGCATTATCTTGTATTGTGGCTTTTAAATTGCTAAATATATGGGAGTAGACCGATCATTTACAATGATGCAAATGCACATCTGGGAAGGTGATGAATGAAGCCCTGTTTAGGACAGCTGGATTGCCACTACTTGGTAAATGTTTTTACTGTAGCAGATTAGCACATAACTTAGGATCTTGCCATATGTTTCATATAATTTATCCACATTGTGTTCATCTCATTCTTTTAATCAGATTTTGGCATTTCTCTTTTTCTCTAAAGTAGCTCATTCAAACTGGGTGTTTGTCAAATGAGGTTTGTTCCTCTTCCTGTGCTCTCAGTGGGATGGAGTGGGGCCTTTTCCAGACTCCGGCGATCCTCCCAAAGGGCTGCAGATGCTCTGGCATCCATCCATTGTGAAGCCATACCTCACACTGCTGTCGGAATGCTCCAACCCGGACACGCTGGAGGGGGCGGCCGGGGCTCTACAGAATCTGGCAGCGGGCAGCTGGAAGGTAGGCCCCACACCAAAACCAGTGAGTAACCCCACCCCACTCAGAACCAAGGACCATCCAGGTCAACCCACACTATGACTGTTACACTGTACAACATTCATACACCACACCCAGAAAGAACTGTCGCTAACATACATTCAGTATTGGTTTCTCTAAAGATTCTATGCACCGTTGACCAATCAACTGTTACAACTAAACTTCACTGCTCAAAAAAATACCCTGCAGAATTTTGACTGCTCAAAACATATTACAAATTAGCTTAGTAGCCACAGTCCAAATTTGCCTTCTGTCAAGCCGTTCACTCCATCAATCCACAGAACAGTTCTACAACCTACTCTTACTTTGCTAACATCATCTAGTCAAACAGCAAAGCCCTTTTGCTATGGATAGAAATGAGGTCAAAGCCCATTTGTAAAACCTGTATCCTGGGTGGCTTGCAGTGGTCGGTGTATATACGAGCAGCGGTGAGGAAGGAGAAAGGACTGCCCATCCTGGTGGAACTGCTGAGGATTGATAATGACCGTGTGGTGTGTGCTGTGGCCACAGCGCTCAGAAACATGGCCTTGGATGTGAGAAACAAGGAGCTCATTGGTAAGTTGTAGTTGTTAGTATGCACATGTTAGAATAAGCATGTCAAACTGGGACCTTCTGGGCCAAAGTGCTGTGGAGATTGTTTACCCTCATCTAACACTCTGAATTCAGTTCATGAAGGCCTTGCTAATTAGCTGATGAGCTGAATCAGACGTGTTTAATGAGGCAGTGTGCTAAAGTCTGTAGTGTTTTGGCCCGCATGGACTGGATCCTGACACATGTGCCCTAGAATGAACATTTTGTGGTTAAGGTTGTAAAATCGCATTGATAAATCGCAATGCATTGATGTGTATCTGTTTTGGAATGTTAGAACCATGATTGGTTATAATAGTAGTATGTAAAGTGGGTTCATTTTTCCGGCACAACTAAAATTTTCAGGCTATTTTTGAAAATAAAATTTCACTAAATCAGCTTTTGGTGTGGTTCCGTTCATTGACGGACCAGTGTTGTTGCAGAGGCAGGCAGGCTTATGTGTTAGAGGAGCAGAAGCAAGTAATGAGCAAGTAAAGTTATGACTGAAGTTAGCTCTTCAGCATCTAGATGTAGCGGTTTGAGTGAAATAAGGTGCTGTAAAGGGATTCCAAAAGAAGGACAAACATTAGCAATGAAATAACCAAAAAAAAAAAAACAAACAGAAATTGATAAATATTGTGTAAATCCAAACACAATGGCATATTGAATTTGTTTTAAAAAGAAAATCTTGTACGAAAAATCGTCAAATTGAATCGAAATGGTGAAATTTTTAATGTGCTGATGCATTGAAGTGTATCTTGAAGAATCCATTTCGAATCATCATGTCAGTTATTTACACCCAATTCTAGTTGATTTTTGCAAGAGTACTTCTAATGCATTCTTTAATGGTGCTTCACACAGTATTAGTTCTTTATACACTGTTCTTTGTATTCAGCAATCACTGCCGCTTTGGAGATTTTAATATCTGTGCCTGTGTGTGTGCGTGTCTACATAATGAGTAATCTTGGTTATTGAATAAATCCAGCAAGCAATGTTGGTTATTGAATAAATGTATGCTGCAGTGAGAGGCAGCATGTTATTGTTTGAAGTGTTCCTTGTGACACTAATAGACAATTATTGATCTTTGCAATGATTTGGGTGCCGATGTTGGCCTCAGAGTCTCCATGGTAACCACTCTTCAGTGTTTCAGTCTGGGTTTAGTCTTGAGCATTTGTATCATGTGACGAATATGGGGCAAAGAGGATTCTGAAAGCATGTTGAAGTGGAGGATATTCTACTGGAATACTGATTACTGAAGAAGAGAATTGTGCAATTGTCATCCTTCACTTAATTTAAAAAAATGATGAAAACAGCAAACTCAGAAGTATTCGCGGGAAACTTTGTGTGTAAATAGCTTCAGTTTATCGAGAAAGGTAGTTACTGACTAAATACAGAATTGTAGCACAGGTTTTTTCCCCAACAAGACACCTTTGTGTTCTTGCTAAATAGACATGTGTGGGGTTTGGCTTGTTCTTTTCGAATGGCTAAATTAAATATTTATAATTTTGAACACATCAGTGCCATGGAGAATGAACCATCTGGTTTCAGTATGTAGCCACACTGTGACCAGTGTGTAGGCGTAGCAGTGCCACTGTATGGCCTGATCCAGAGATTTTGGTGGATGCTGCCGTCTTCAAGACTGAGCAGAGTCATCAGCCAACACACTGAAAAGACCCATCAGCCCTACAGTGAATGTGTCAGACTCTTCTGAAGCAAATGTCAGAGCAGAAATCTCAATCTCAGCCCTAAATTGCTGAAAAACCCTCGATTCCCAGACAGATTGTCCACCCCCCACCCACTCAAACATCCCCCTTCCCATCTGCTAATAAACCAAAGGTTTTATCTCTTCGTTCTTCCTCTGCCTCCTCCTCTGCTCTCCTCCAAAAGGCAAGTACGCCATGAGAGACCTGGTCCACCGGCTGCCGGGAGGCAACAATAACAGCAGCAGCGGCGTGGGGAAGAGCATGTCCGACGACACCATCACTGCCATCTGCTGCGCTCTGCACGAGGTCATTACCAAGAACATGGAGAACACCAAGGCCCTGCGTGACGCTGGAGGCATTGAGAAGCTCATCGGTATCGCACGCAGCAAAGGAGACAAGTGCGTAGCAGAAGTTGCCTTTGAAATGAGCTAACATTGGCTTCAGATCCAGCAGTTAAAAACCCTGCTAAAACATTTAAACTGCAGGCCTGTTATTCACACATACATCTGAAGACTTACCATTCAGAAGCTGCTATTAATTATTCAGTAACTACAATGAAGTTAATATTGTAGTGCAATATGTAGTGTGACTTATGTAGTTATGAGAGTGAGGAAGTGAAGTGTGGTCCCTTGCTGTCCAAGGGGTCAAAGACTTCTTTAAACACACGTAACTCACATAAAAGTCCTAAAATAAAGGTGTGAGATATATTGGTCGTCGATATATTATTATTTACAGTGTTGGATTAATGACCTGTTTTTGCTCACACTAACACATGTATAGTAACTGCTGGTGGGAAACCCCACCCCAACCCCTTTTTATTTATTTTTTTTTCCAGAAACAATATGATGCAATAAAAATCCCTGGGCAAGTTTTCTTATTGCTGAGAATGGGGTCCAGGTTATGTATGGCTAATAAATAATGTAAAAATGTAAAATGTTTACATAAAGTAATGAAAATGTAGTTTACAGTTATTTTCTGGAATATTGTCTGATCAAACTGTGTCAAACTAATCAGTGGTCCATCTTTAGAATTTTAACCTGTCTTACATTCACATGCACTTCATATGTTCATTCATTCACTTCATATATGGGTTAAAGTGTAAACTTGTTTTAAATGCAAAAAATTAATTGATCAGGTATTGAAATCAGTACTTGCCCCAATAAAGTATTACTTAACAATTAGCGTAACAGCCCTGAAGTTCCATATTGGCATGTTCCTCACGATTGTGAATGCTTATATAGAAAACCACACAAAATCTATCACCCTCATTAAATGAAGTGGCTGCAGTTGTTTTCAAAAATGTCCACACAAGACATGTTTATCAGTGTTTTGTAATAGCCTTTAAAAGAGTTAAGGCCTTTAAAAATGTTACTCAAAGTAATTGAGAAAACTATTGGGCATGGAATTAATACCAAATCAAGCTATCCTTTACTACACAGGCTCTGTAGCTAGCCTTCGGTGCTTTCTCATTGCAAGGTGTTCTCTTCGAACACCATATCTCCAGCACAAATCATAATGGAGAAGAGCATGATAATTCATCCCCCTGGCAGAGATGTTAACATGCGAGACCAATGACAATGCTGTCATTTGCTTAAAGAAGTGCAATAGATTTTCAGTGGAAATGAAAATGACTTTGTACGAGCCCTGGGCAGAAGTCCAAGCAAGGAAAGGATGGTACTCATTTTTTATTCATTTTTGGTAATTGTGGCTGTGGAGTCTAGGTGTTTCCCTCAAGTATGTCCTTTGTGTGATAGATCTGCAGGACTAATGCGCATGTTTTTTTGAACGTCTGACTGGCAGACTTAATTATTGTTTTCATTTAGTTATCAAATGTAACATGATATCAGTTTTTCACATTATTTTATTGAACAACTGCTAGTTGCACAGTAGATTCTACTATTTGAGAGCACAAGCACTTTGTTATTTATAGAACAGAAAGTGTTCTCTCTCTCTCTCTCTCTCCTCTCTCTCTCTCTCTCTCTCTCTCTCTCTGAAGCTGTTTCGCAGTCTCATGGGATTTTATTATTTAGGTTTGCAGAGTCTGTAACTTCTAACCGTTTTTCTCTGAATGTTCCCCTATAGACATACGCCCAAGGTGGTGAAAGCAGCATCTCAAGTCCTGAACAGTATGTGGCAGTACCGGGATCTACGCAGCCTATACAAGAAGGTAGGGAACTCAGAGAACGTCACAGTCTTTAAAGCTTTGCTTTATACTGCAGCTCTAGCATCTGAGACACCTTTGTCCAGATAAGCTGTTTATGTATAGATAAAGGCACTGAAAGTGTTTTCACTCGGCATACTAAAGCAACACAGAGAGAAAGCAAAAATGTATGAGAAATATGTAGAGAAAAAATTGGAGATTGCTCTTTCAAAGACACTCAATTGCAGTCTATTTAATTGCATATACTGTGATGGAACAAAAAAGTTTTTTAAATTTGTAACCTTTAATTATCGGGGCTATAGTAGTAATTAATCTGTTAATCTAACAAAAAGTCTCTCGGGGCAAAAGTTACAAAAGCAACTCTACACAACCATGCATAAAGTTGGTGCTCGGCAATATATTGCTAATACTGCTATACTACAATATAGATTTGTTTATTAGCATTGATCGATAACAAGCTTAGTTAACTACAATGTGTGCTTTTCTGGTTGCAAAATTTAATAACATTAAAGACATAGCTTTCCAGAAATAGTTTCCTTTCTAGAAATGTGCTTCTCTAGTTCAGGAAGATGTAGTGGAAAGCCTTATTTTCATCGACAGAGTCTAGTGATGGTATTGTCCAATTAAGTAACAAGGACTACTGCAAAACTAGGAGTTAAAAAAAGCGTTTAAAAATTAGGTCAGTACTTGATATGAGAGATCTATTAGAAACTGTTAATGATAACATTTACCCTACACTTACTAACTGCCACATTGGACGATTTCCCTTATTTGCAGGATGGCTATTCTCAGTACCACTTTGTGGGTTCATCCTCTACAATAGAAAGAGACAGGCAGAGACCTTATTCATCTTCTCGCACGCCCTCCATCTCCCCAGTGCGGACTTCGCCCAATAATCGGTCAGGTGAGTGGTGTTCTTTAGCACTTCATGTTGACTGACACCTCAGACACCCACACTGTTTTCCACGTTTCAAAGTTGCAGAATGGATAAATAGTGAACAAAAGTTCCGAAAGATGGGGTCATTCATCTAAAATTGATTTTGATTTCCTTTTTTTTTCACAGCAGACCTATTTTGTTGACACATAAATGGAATAATGTAACAGTGTAAAATTCAAGTGGAGCTAAGAAAACATTCTTTGTTAAATGCAGTTCAGTTTTTGTTTTCCTGTGATTTTTTCGTATTTTGTAAAAAGTTGTTTTCATTATGCCTAGATATACTAATGCTAGTTGTGCTGTCAGTGACCTCTGCTGTAGAGCAAATAAAGGGAAAACATGCCATGTTATATTGTCCTTTAATCAGCAGTAGGTTTAGAGCTTAAGCTGACAGGCCCATCGCAAAACAATTACTCTCCGTTGACTGTGGCTGGAGCTGTGGTTTTCACAGAGCTGATGTGAAAATCAATCTAGTTGCAAGTAAGATGGCCTAACACTATGGTAACCATGAGCCAGCAGCTGACTGAGAAGAGCTAAAAACATATTGAACTTGATATCGCCTGCTTGGCTAAACGCCAAATCATGGTTCTTTGTGAAATTTTGAACTTCTACTCTGAGGACTGTGCCAAAATACAAAGCTCCAGTATTCGTCAATTAGTAATTGAAAAGCACCCAGATATAATACCGCATCACTGTTTTCACAAATGTGGGATTTAATCAGTGATATTACACTATGGGGATATATCCTACCTACATTCTACAGTATAATATATAATCATACATTACAGGTGCACCTGGATTCTTAGAGCAATAGTTTCTACTTCTTCCTTTTACATTTCAAGGCTTTTAAAAACACTGCAAGGCATTTTGGTCTGTGGTAATAAAACTGGCTAATAAAACACAAAAAAGTGTTGGACTGAGTTGAATTTTGATCACTCGCAGTATGTTTGTCAGCATTTCCGCGTGTAAAGGTAACATACATAGCTGTGCTGTTGTCATTTGTCTGGAAACACTCACTTGAATGTAAGTAGTCCAAGATAATAATACATTATACTATTGTCTATAAGCGTGTTGTATGTAGTACTCGATGTCAGACACACCTTGTGTCAAATGCCATGTTATAAAGAATATTTACAGCTCAAGATACATAATTATATTACTGTGCAAAAGTCAGGGACCACCCTTGATTTATTTAATTTTCACTCAGAATGGCTATTAATTGAGTTATTTTTCAGGAGATATTTCTAAGATTAGGTATAAGATAGTTCTCTTGCAGAAAAAGCCAAAGGAAAATCAGTGAAAAAACCAAGATTTTCCAAAACTGTTCAAAAAAATTATTCATAGGTAAGTAAATGGGACTCTTAACAAGCGTGCAAGACCTGGTAGAGCACCAAAACTGCCACCACTAGATAAACAGTACTGAAAGCTTTCATCTTTGAGAGATAAGAGAAAATCAAATCAGCAAAAATCCACAAGTGTTTCCGTCCATCCTTTCACCATGAGAAGACAACTCAACACTGTGAGTCTGAAAGGAGGTGTAGCTGTCAAGAAGCCATTATTAGAAAGGAAATGGACAAAAAACTGACATAAACCTTTATAAACTTTTATAAAGGCTAATTCCAATAAGTGTGTAACACAGTACTTACAGAGGTAAAACTACATTGAAATTGACAAAGGCAGTGTTTATGACGGCTCATGCTTATTGGAATAAATCTTTATAAATGTTTATGTAGGTTTGTGTCAGTTGTCGTCAAAGGTTTATGTAGGTGTCATGTACCCTTGTCAGTGCTGCCCTTCAGTAAGGTGTTACAGATTGTTTGTTACAATGCTAAGATCATTGTCATCAAGATTGTAGTGACATAAGGACAGACGACTTCTTACCTAAACCTTACTGAAACTTTATCCATAGCTTGCTGGCCATCGTGTGTTGCAGGTTGAATTCATTATCCTTTGAGTCCATTCGTACTCTGAAGGTGGAACTGTGCAGTTGTCTCTTCCTCTTTGCTTTACTTTGAGTAATCAGATTTCCTCGCAGATCTCATCAGTGTTTCTACCAGCTTCACTGGACACAAAATTAGCAAAAAGGGGAAATAGATCTATGGCCTCAGGAGTCAAGCACAAACAATTGACTGACTGAGTCTTATTTAGAAATGGGAATTAAATGATGACATTTGCTCTCTAAACATAACTAAAGACTCGACTCATTATATTGAAGTAGAGTTACTGAGTAAACATGACTGAATGTCTCGTGAAGGTGTGAGGAGGTATCTTGTTTTTTTTTGTTGTTTGTTCCCTTTTTGTTGTAGTGTAATGTGTTGATATGCTGACTTAGGTTTGTTTGTTTGCTTGAAGCGAGTGCCCCTGCCTCCCCTCGAGAGATGATGAGCCTGAAGGAGAGGAAGGCAGACTACGAGTCAACTGGAACCAATTCTGGTTACCATGGCAACAAGGGCGAGCACACCTCCCGAAAGGACGCCATGGCAGGTAAGGCTTTGGCGTTCTGAGTCTTCCTCTCACTGGCTAAGGTCATCCTAAACCTCCATTGGGAGATTCTCCTCATACATCCAAAGCAGTGTAACAGGAAAGAACTCCAGAGACTGTCATTGAGGACCTAATGAGACTTTGATATTCATTCTCAAATCAGCTGCTACACATAGCCTACTTTTGTGTGATCATGCCTTAGCAAATTTACCAGCAGTGATGTGAGATTTTTCTGTGGATTTATTGTAATCTTTGTGCAGTAAACATTACTTGCTGTGTGTTCGGAAGCCTGCACCTGCATGCGTGTTGGAAGCTGCTTGTCTGATCTGCAGACACAATGAATCATTCTCCTCTCCAGTGGTATTACTCACAAGCTGATCAGATGCTTAGCACGCATTCATGAATCTCTTCCCATATGTGCCCTCTCTCACAGCTCAAATCTCCAGTGGAACCTCCACACTGTTTCGAGGTGCTTATGTGTCTCCGAGTGACGACCTCAAACATAACCAGGTGAGCAGCATTAACATACAGAATTACCAAATATTTTAAGCTTTTAAAGACATACATTTCTCATACTTAGGTCATATTCACCACGTATGACCTGATTTCTACCTCTGTATTTAATCCATTTTTCCTCTATAGATTTCAAATAAAATATCACAAGTAGGGGTGTAACAGTACACAGAGGTCATGGTTCAGTTCACATCTTGGTTTGGATACAAGTTCAGTACAACAGAAAAAAGCAACAAAAACCCCCAAGTGCATAAGGCTAGGTTTATTTTCACTTCTTTTGAACAGACAGTAGTTGACGGTATAGTTTGTTCCACATAGTGTCATATAATCCCACCTAAGGTGACTTTAGTTGGTACAGCCTGGTACAGCCTGGGTCATTTGCACTCGATGTCAAGTTCAGTTATGATTTTGTAGTTAGGAGCAGAGAAAACACAGAAACATTTGTAAGGCTTTGTGCTGAATCTCTTGACAGGCGCAAACGTACTGCAGGCTGTGGATCGGGATAACAGTTTGTGTTTTTAAAAAAAAATTCTCATTTTATTTACCTCGATATCTGCCTTCCTCACCTCTTGCTCACTGTTCAGAAATCTCAAACTCCACCTCACAGCTGATCGGGGGTCAGCCTTTATGACTGTGCTGCTGTTATGAATTATGAATGCTGTTATAAGTTAGCTGGTGAAAAAGTGTCCTCCGCATAGATATACACATATAGATGCCGCATTGTCTGTTGTTCTCTGTTTGAGGTGATACGTCTGAGCGTCTGCCGTGTTGGAGCGGTCAAGATCTGCTTGTAAACAAGTGATTAAATTGGCCACAACTTCCTTATTACTCAACCAATTTTCACCAAATTTGTTTTGCTATAATCCTCAGACATATATTAATGAAGGTGGCACAGACTGCTCTCAGTAGTCTCGTTTATTTCTGTTTAATAACTGTGTTGATTAGCTGTCTGGAGCAGCAGGAAACAGTCTCACTCATATAAGCAAATCCATAAATGTGTGAATCACTTCTAATCTTAATGCACATAAAAAATGTACTACACCCTCCCAAAACACAGTAAGAAGGACAAGGCTGAAGTTGCCTTCCCATCCGCCAGCTTCTTGTTCGAATTTTCCCGTTCCACCTTTAAATGGTGCAGCAGTTACTTTGTAGTACCTGAGGCTGCACCATTTATGATGGAGTGTGAAAATTTGAACAAGAACAAATATAACAAAATATATTTTGTTTTTTATCAAATAAATGTTTTCACAGTTTTGCATCTGTGAAGTTTGTATGTCAGTTTGTGTTACACATATGTGCCAGGTCTCTTAACGCCCTGAGGAATGTGCAAATGGTTAGCAAAACAGCCATGCATTTAAAGGTTATTGAGTTTTTATTTATTCATAAGGCTAACATTCTAGCACCTCTGTCAGTCCCATAGCTGCTGTTGTAAAGTAATAGAACAGCAAAAATCAAATGTACACATTTTCCCCTTTACCTCAAATCCAGTTAGTCAGCCAAGGTATGTTTAGTGTCTGAAGTTTACTTCTTTTATTTTTGCACTGGAGATATGGCTACTATAGCTAACAAGAAATGGAACATTACACCCCACCAATTAGCACTGTTCAAAGTCATCACACACTTGTATCAAACTGCATTAAGTACTTAAAGCTACACTATGTACGTTTTCGAGATTTGGAGTGCTCTCAGGTAGAAATGTGTAATTGCACACAGCATGTAGAACATTTTGTAAAGGTTGTGTCTGTTGTGCTGTTGACCCCAAGAGGCTGTGCGTGTGACATTAATACATAAAGACAGATGACATGGTCTAAAAAACTGAGAAATCTGACCCAATGCCTCTGTCTTTTGAATCATTATTTCTTTATTCAGCAATGCTATTTCCTTCCATTTTAAGTTTTAAAAACCTTGCATCATGCAGCTATAAGTAACATACAGTAGATTGTGTTGCTTCTAACAAACTGTTATCTATAAAAATGGACAAAAGTACAGATAAATTTCACAATTGAAGATGGCTTTTACTACTGATTTCGCTATGCAATATATATCAATTTTTGTTTTTATAGTAGTTCAGGAAGATATAGTGGAAACATACCTATTTCTATAGTTAATAGAATGTCATGCTCCACTGGATAAATAAAGAAGCAAAATTCAGACACAAAGCATGTCCTGGCTGATCGACTACATTTGGAGTAAGAAAAAAATTGTGTAAATAAATATAATATCTGGCCAAACGATTGTTTAAAGCTGTAGTCTGTCAGGAACAGTAGTTCCTGAGTAGTCCTGCATGTGCTGTTCTTACTCTTGCTCTCTCTGGGTGCTGTCAGGTCTCAGCTCAAGGCAACCCTCCAGAGGCCTACCCTCCCTTCCAGACTCCCCCAGGAGCAAACTTCGAGGAGGCTTACTATGAGGATCAAGCGCACCAGCGCCCTCCAGCCGCCGCCGACGGCACCATGCACCTGGGCCTGAAGTCCACTGGGAACTATGTGGACTTCTATTCAGCCTCCAGGCCCTACAGCGAACTGAACTATGAGACGAGTCACTATCCCGCCTCGCCCGATTCCTGGGTGTAGAGGCGGCAGGCCGGGCTGAGGAAGCACTGATACACAGAGAGAAACCAGCCCCGCATGTGCATGAACACTACCGGACACTCACACTCACTCACACATGGACACTCCCCTTCAGTGTGGATTGGACTGAGGATTCCACTGAGCTGTTCATTCACAGAGGCTGTCAGAGACTGTATCTGAAAAAGAAGAAGAAGAAAATGTGGAGAAAGGCTAAGGGAATGTGTTTTACTGGACAGAGCCCCAAAGCGTAAAGACAGTCTTCAAGGCTGCTGAGAGAATGCAGGAACGTTGAGAAAGCGGTAGGGAAAGCTGTAAATACATGGCAGAGAGAAGAGGTGGGTATGTGAAGCACAAGAAATCAATACATCATTTAACACAAGCTGAGGAAAATAGTTCTGACGCATTTTTAGGACATTTGTTTGCGTTCGACCTGCTTTTTAATGGAGTGCTCTTTTCACGAGGAGCTTCTCAGAGCCTTTTTATCTTTTTTGTTCATTATCTTTATTTTGTACCTCCTCTTTTTAACTTCTTAATTCTAGTGTAAAGTATTTGTTGTATATTGCAGATGTAGATACAAGTTACATTGTGTATATTACAGAAAAAAAAAAACTACTGTGTCCTCCCCTGTGGCTCAAAATATCATTTTTCTGGTATGCTGGGAAACAGAGAAAAGGATACGTGACTTAAACATTCTCTTCTGTAGGTAAGGTATGTTTTGGCAGCAGAAAAGGTAGGCTGTAGTTTACTCAGACATCTTTTTTTGAGAACAGCTGAGATCACAACACTAAACGTCATTCCATGCGCCGAGTGCTACACTGCCTGGCAAGTGTTTACTGATGAACATTTTTAGCCTCATTCTGCTCTTTTTTTTAATGCTTTGTAAAGATTCAGCGACAGGCTCTAATTTTGTGTTTTAATCACATTTGAACTGAAACTGTATGGTTCCACTAGGCTCCAAATGATCTGTGCTCCATTTTTGTAAAATGTGCCAAACGTGGTTGTCCCTGAGCCAGGGGGTACCACCAAGCTGACGCTGAAGTTTACATTCACCGTCAACATCATTGGTTGTTATGATACCAGTTTGTAAATGCTTTTTTTGTTTGTTTGTTTGTTTGTTTGTTTTTTAACGTTTCAACGGCATATAGCCACACACACTACAACAAGACTGGAATAATGCTCGGAGGGACACAGCCTTTCAGAGCTAGTATCCCTCCTACAATGTACAATTAGTTTACGCTGTGTTGTAAAATAGACAATTGAACAAATCAGCTTTTTTTTTTTCTTCCAGAAATCAGTGGTTCTTAAGTTCATCGTAGACTAATGTCAATAGAGTATGAATATATATTATATAAATACAAATATATATATACTTTTTATGTGCAGATGTGGATGTCACCTAATGCAGCAACATTATGAAGAAAAAGAAGTACTTAGAATACATGTAGGGTTTTGTTCACGTTAATTTCTGATCCAAATTTACACTCCAAACTGTTGCCCTCCTGTCGTCATGTTGTTGCTGTGTGAAACAGGTGAGACCAGGGCTCCAGTCACAGAGATGAATGATGCATCCAAATTTCTAACGCTGATCAGAAACGGTGCTAAAAAAAAATCCATGTGCATTTTGGTGTCAAGATAACGTTTGCCATTTGATGTTGCTACCTTTCTAAATATCAGAGCAGTTTTGAAAGCGTTTCATGCCCAGAGTGTAATCGAGGCCCTTCATACTTCTAAAAAAAATAAGAAATACAACACTGCAAAAGTGTGCTGCTAGTCTCGGCTTGCTCGTAGAAAAGTGATTTCCAGTTGTGATTGCCCCTCTCTCTTATCTCAGGACATCTTACCTTCGTTCTCTGAAGGAGCAGCGTGATGAACGCTCCTCCTCTCAGACAAAAAGACAGACAGAAGGAGCAGCAGTCACGGCCTCTGCTCGAGCTATTACTTAATCTGAAGTAGTTGAGGACCCTTTGAAGTGTGGCGGCAAGCCCTGGTCTTCCCTCCATATCATTTTGAATTTAGAGATAACTGTCAGATGCAAGGAAACGGAATGATATTTCCTGAATTTGTCTCACATATCTTTCAGCACTATCAATAGTGAACATGGAAAAAAAAATACATGCGAAATATTTGTGGAAAAAGTAGACATGTCTGACGACCTGTATTGGAAATGTAAGTACATTTTTTTGTTGCTAGACAAAGTGTTTGAGAGAATTGTGAACCTTTTTATTGCCAGATTGCAACTGCTATAAGATAAAAACTGACTATGGAAAAAAAAAAGTTTTGTGATCATTCCGTGAGCATCAGTCATTAATACAGAGAAATTTATTAAGTTTAGTAAGATTCATCTGAAAATGGACTTCTGCTGTTATTTGTTTGTATCATCTATTTGTTAAGTTCACTCAAAGTGTTTTACCCCATAAAATGCAGAACCTCATTGTGTACTCTTGCAGATTTATGTACCTAAATTAACTCAAGAAATGCTTCACCTGCCTTGGAACATTGTCTTTGTTTACTTATTATTGTAGAATCAAGGCATAATCTAAATAATTTTGGCCACATCAAAGATTTGTTATGCTGGTTTGAGTTTCAGTCTAATTTACTTTAGATGGAGTCCTCAGATAGCCATCAGGGCCAGATGAGATTGCAGTATGGCTCTGAGTAGACTTTTATCATGGTGCTTTCAGTTATTTTCCCCCAAATAGATATTTTGACAGTGCGAGTATGTGGCTGTCAGCTTGCCTCAAAAATATGATTTTTAAAAACAGCATTATGACCAGCGCTACAAGGAAAATCACAGATGTGGTTCTTTTTTTTCTTTTTAAACAAATCCAGATGGCATGTAAAACATCAACGACTGCTGTAATAGCCTACCTCAGTCACTAAAATGCATAGTCATAAATGTAGTATGCAATTTTGAAATATTTTTTAAATTGTTATTAATTTTAAACATAATATTCAGAGTAGAGAATGTCAGCGCTGACATGTAACTGCACAGAGCTGTCCTTAACACCAATCTTTCTTTATCAACACACTGTACTCTGTATAACACAATTTTCTCAAAGTAATTGAGGGTTCATAGCCAAAGCTACTCATAATGCATATTAGGAATTACCCGTGATTATTGCCTGTCATAGTCGCCTAGATATTCATCTTTGTTGTTAATATCACTGTGATAATTCTTATTCTCTGGAATCTTTTTAGGATATTAATTACAGGCCCACCTACTGAGAGAACAAAGATGAGAATATTTCTTGAGCTTTATGTTGAGGCTGAGCATCTGTACTGCTGTGTAGGTACAATACTGTCCCCTGCTGGAAACTCTGTACAGTCCTCATGCTGCAGAGCTCTACTAAAGGTACACACCCTGCCATTACCTACAAGTCTATTCATCTTCACACGGTTTTCACGGCAGCAGCTGTGAATTTAGATGACATATGGCCCCATTATTATAAGACACAATACGTGACAGGGCTATAAAGTTAAGTGAAGTTTCACAAAAGTAACATGAAGATCAACTTGTTCCACTCAGATTATAACAAAGAAGAGTATTTGTTGTCTTTAATAATAGAGTTAGGCAGTAAACATGTAATATGTTAACATGAAATACTAATGAGTGAATTCTCCTTCGAGACGTTTGGGCTACTATGTATAAAGTCCCATAACAACACAAGAAATACATGTGTAAGAAAAATAAATACACATGAATTTATGTATCAAATTGTAAGTATCCCATAAAGAGCAAGAACTTCAACATGAGATAAATGCACTTTTAACTATGTGTTATGTCTATCTGAAAGGTAAGAAAAATAAGTATTTGTCAAAATCAGTTGAAATAAGTCATTTAGACTTCTCAAAGGCCAAATATGATGTAGCCGAAGGGACAAAGCCAATGTCAGTCTACTGTCTTGGGAACAATGAGAGTGTCATTACCCTCTATTGGCTGTAGAGCAGTGGTTTCCAGCCTTGACTCTGCATATTTTTGCGTTTTTCCCGCTTTAATATATGTGCTCCAACTAATCAGCTAATTAAAGTCAACCTGAAATCAAAATGTTTACATGTCCCTAGTCATGTTTATCATATAAGCATGTTTATCATTCACTGCCATTAAAGGACAAAAAGTCTTGTTGTTCCATAATCTGATTGTAGAATAGAGACGTTTGCCCGCCTTGAAAACGTCTCCTGAATTTTGATTACATAACCTTGCAGCAGTAGGGTGAGGGAGAAATATTAACTAATAATGTCATGTTTCACCTCTCCCTCCCACTATCTCCTCCTATCATCGTGTGAAACGCTCAGCTAGCTCAGAAACCCTCCCTAAAACCACTTTTAACTTGGAAATATGTCACGGTACGGACTGCATTATTATTTCCCATTAACACTGACTTCAACAAGCCCTTCCTGAGCTGAAGTGAGTGTGTTAGAGATTGGAAAACATAAAAATGTGCAGGTCAGGGCTACTCTGTCAGGAACAGGATTGGAAACCACTGCTGTAGGAAATATGACTCCTTCCCAGAGGAACCCCCTACCAACACCAAGGGAGTGTTTTCCAGATTAAAAGTCAGCACTAGCCTCATCTCCTCCGTACAGTGGGAAACTTCAGCTTGTTGTCCTGTTCCATTTGTTTCCTCTCCTCCTTTAAAGCCTTGTACTTCCACTTGGGCACCTGTAGGTGCTGTGAGTCACCCCTGTGCCGGATCCTCTCGGGCACATAAGTGGGTGGCGGAGCCTTGCAAAGGCGCACCTTGGGCACCACTATCCCAGGTCTCACGCTGCTCCTGCGCATCATGTGCAGCGGCAGCAGGCTGCTCCTGCGCAGTGCCACAGTCGAGGTCAGTGCCATATCATGCAGCGTAGGCGGCTGCAGGCTGGCACGACGCTCCCGCTTCTTGGGCACCAGCAGTACACGAGAGTTCTGGAAGAGGCGCTTGTAGTTGCTGAGGCGTTCGGGACCCAGCCTCCTCAGCTCATCCAGCCGCTGCTTGCGTAGGATGTCCGGCACAGGTGGCCGCCGCTTGCCCACACAGGGTGGGCTCCCTGGACACACAGTGTGGCAGGCTGTGGCCACCAGCGGGCTGGCTAGTGCTGTGGTCATGCGCACCATATAGTCCAGTGTGCCCTCCTCCAGCGGTTCCGTCTTCGTCCTGAAGACGAACGCAGCACAGGCACGCTCTGATATCGTCCTCCAGCACGATTTGGGCTCCTGTGCCCGCTCCACCAGCTCCCTTAGCGCAGGCCACTCCATGCTGAAGGAGTCACAGAACTGCTCCGCACACGGCTGCGCCATCAGCCGTAACATCACACGTGCAGTCTCATGGCGGCCCGTGAAGAGGGCCCATTCGCGTGGTGTCAGCTTGCGCCCATAGTCTCTCGCTTCGATGTCTGCTCCTACAGGAGTGCAGTGCAAAACACATGGCCATAAACAACAATGGTTCAGAAAAAATTGGTAATAGTAATTTCAAGGAACCAGAATTTCTAACCATAAAACGTAAAATTTTATATATTAAAAATATATATTAGTTTTAGTTGAGTAGTACTTTACTAACATGTTTGTCAGTTATCGAATATGATTGTCATTTAACTAATTTAATTGTCAGATTTCTTGAACTGACAGCAGAGAACAGAATCTCAGCCTTAAATAATATAAACAAGACACTTAAAAATCACCTTAAACATTAGCCTTATAAAAAGATAGATAAATGAACAACATAAACTCTCAAAACGTCAATTTTTTTAACAACAGCAGGTTATGTTTTTGTGTGGTGTAGTACAGCATTTCCAGTCTGATACTGTTTGGTTGTTGTTCAAAATAACATTCCATTCTTGAGTGTGTTGTTTTTTTTTCTCATACATATTATCACTGCTTTATCAGTTGGATTTTCGCTAATGCAGATAAGTCAATGGAGCCATAATGCTGGCGGATTTCATCAGTTATATGATACATCGGTAGGGGCCCTAATTCAGAATCCTCAACCTGAGGCCTTGTGCAGTGAACGGTTTTATACCCTCACTGCTCTGACACACCTGACTCAGCTTATGAACCGCTTGATAAATACCCAGTGGGCTGAATCAGAACTGGGAAAATGCCTGAGACGTCTCTACTGAGAAAAAAATGGAATATAAAGTTCTGCAGTATGGTACCTGACATCATTAGGGCTCGAACACAGTCAGCCCGGCCCTGCATGGCTGCCTTCATCATAGCTGTGAAGCCATGGCAGTTTCTGCGTTCGATGTCCAGTCCAGAAAAGTAATTCAGCAGATAGTTGGTGATCATCATGTGACCTGAATTTCAGGGAGTTACAGACATAACATTTCATTAGTTATAAACACAGACGTGTTTGCTCAATTACTTTGTGCCTAAGCAGCCTGACTTATAGCACTGCCCAATGGTTCAACAAACCTGTATGTGCAATTAATTTCCACAAAGTATGACTGTAAGGCAGCCATTTTTTCTGGAATTCCCAGACCTAAGCAATTCTTTGTGGTGATAAAAGTTACCTGTAGATTCTCAGATCAACAACCTTCCATACATTTAACAAAAATGCATTCAGGTACTATTTTTCAAATGTAATGATATGCTTTCAAATTTTATATGTAGTTCTGCCTCATCTACCTGCTTGTGCAGCTGTAATTAGGGCCGTGTTTCCCTCGTTGTCTTGCCAGTTCACATCCACATGCGGACACTGCGCTAGAGCGATGACCACATCCACGTAACCTTGGTAGCACGCCACTATCAAACCTGTCTGTTGTCCACAAAACATAATATGAGTTACCGTCTGTGCACAGATCACACTTCTTGATGACAAGAGGTTTTTTAAAAAGCACAAGTAAAGGCCCTAGACAAGTGTTTGCCAGCTCAGTCCCAGGAACCCCCCCAGCTGGTTCACAGTTTTGCTGTGTTCCAGCTCCTAACCACTGGAACTGAGCAGTTAACAACTGAACACCTGGTACAAGTATTCTGGGACCTGATAAAGAGCAAAACTCCAGAAGCATTGGTTTAGGAATAAATGGCCTACATAAGGCGTTCTCAGATCAAATATCATATATTTCCTGCCCCAAAACAACTGATCAACTGGTCATGAAAAGCTTGCTAACTATCCGATCACCTGTTTATCAGGTGTACTGGGGTAGAGATTACTTGGAACTCTGCAGCGTGGTGGGTCTGCAGCTCTGGAGTTGAGAATCCCTGCCTAGTTGAGCTGAGAAATCACTGACCTAATCCTGGGAACCCCCACCCTACAAACTTCTAAGCGGTTCCTGGCTAAAAACACATCTGATACAGCTCCTCAACTAATTATAAAGCTCTTAATCAGATGTATCCAGTGTGCTGGACACAAATGCATGAAACTGTGCAAGACAAATGGTCCCCAGGACTGGAGTTAGAATCCCTACACTGAACTATCAGTTACTGTCCCTGCCTGCAGGTTATTTAAGGACAGGGACTCAACAAGGTGAGTGGATCATCCCTCAAGAACGATGAGATTAATGAATTTAGCCAGCAGGTCGTAGAGACAAGGACCATGAGGTCATAATCCAGAGAGTCACAGAGTCCACTGGATCAAGCGGTTTGTTTTTAGAAAGTATTTAAACGTTTGACTTTGTGAGTTTATTCTTAGGCCGAAAGAAAAGTGTAACAGTAAGCCACAAGTACACTGCTTTGTTCAGTAAAATGAGATGTGGTAGCTGTTAAAGATTATCCATCAGTGTTCCCAGTACTGTAATGAATAATCACTACGATATATGGGTATGTATGTGAATTTAGACTGTACATTTACTGTAAATGACTGTAAAAATACCATAAATTAATTTTTGTTTAACATCAAACAGTTTATCCATTAAGGACTAAAATCACTAGGAGGTATAAAGATGAGCACAACCATTACTGTGAAGAGGGAACATAGAGAGAACATAGTGAATGTAGTGTTCTCCATGCTATAGTATGTGCATGCTACAGTATAGCACTGCTGCAGCAAAGATGTGATTATGGGGTAGTTGTGGAGGCAGATGGTCAGCCCCATAAAGACTATTAGTGAAGATTTAGCAGGGGACTCCCTTAGGATCATTGGCTGCTGATATTTATCTCAGAATGGAGAGGAACCAAGAGAGATATGTACAGCCAATCAAACTCAAAAGAATCTGTATGTTTGGGGTGATGAGGAGCCTTCAGCCTGTTGCTGCAACTGGAGAACAGTCATTTTTCAAGGATGAAATGACAGTACAGTGGGAAGAAAAGATATTAAAACCTGTATAACTGGAATTTGCTATTGTCATTGATTATATCATGCTGTAGTTCTTCAGGCTGATTGAAGGAGCCATTCAAAAAGCAGAAAGATTTTCCATTTGTAGTTACACGCAGTTCTTTTAAGTCCCTGAATCCTGGTTACATTAGTTGGTATAAATGATCCTGTAGGAGATTTTGCAATACATGCAATTTCTTACCATTCAAGAATCAGAACAGTATGAAATTTAGAGATGCCTGAAATACAGTAGCTCCCAGAAAGGAGTTTAAGGGCCTGTATGAGTGAACCTCATCTTCTTTTACTGGTAAGGAAAATGTCAGGCTCTCTTAAGATGATTGTAAAGGAAAACACTTCTCTGAACTCCTAAAGCCTCGTGCCTCTTGAGGATCAGCAAGCTGAATAGTAGTGGGGGGAGCTTACACAGTGGACACACACCTAATACTCAAGGCCGTGGTGACCTCCACACAAGTACACCCCATTTCAACACGGTAGCGAATCTGAGGACTGATATAAACAGTAATAGAGATGTTGTCACAGACAGTTTTACCAGTTTTCCCTGCACCCCAAATAAAGTCAATCTGTCAAGCCGTGCTTTCTGTCTTTGTTTTGCACTGCAACTACGAGGCTAATCTAGCTAATAAAAAGCTGTATCCCACTAATTAGCATAATACATTCTCTGTAAACCATGTGGAGTGGTTATCACAAATGGATTTGTTTGTGTGGTTTCTGACACTTTGACATAGAATTGAGTGCAAAAGTAAAATGTAAAAAACAAATAGAATGCAATGATGTACAAACCATTTGTCACACACTGCCTTCATCAGATCAATCCAGAGATCTTCTCTTATATTTAAGTCTGGGAACGCCAGCGCAAAATTTTACTTTATTCTTTTCAAACCATTTCTTGGTAGGCTTTGCGTTACATTTCAAAACATTGCCTTGTTGCAGGACAGTAAGAAGCTCTTCTCTAAAATCTACTGCTATTGAACTGCATTCATTTTTGCAGAGCTTCAGTGCCTGATAAACACACCTGCCCAAAAATGATCAGTGAGCTTCCTCTATATTGGACTGTAGGAATTATGTTTGTAAGCAATCCTCTTTTCTTGCCACACATACCTTTTTTCTGTTAGTTTCTAGGCATGTTCTTGCACATCTTATGTGTTCTTGTGCACATGCTCCCTTTTGGCTTCCTGCAATTTTTTCTTCCAAATATTCCAGATATTCCCTGTACAGTGTGCACTTGACTATGGAGATTGGAGCTTTTATGTCACTTGCTTCTAAAACTTTTTGCGGTCTTCTGCTGTTTGTTTTAGATTCACAACAGCTCTGAAAGCTGCTCTTATGATTCCATTTTAACTTGAATTCACTCTGTAGTGCTCATACACAATAAATGAATTTTAGCTTGTTTTCCTGAAAAGGGTCATTAGTTACCTTAGACACATTCGAAAGAATTGACTACAGATTGTCTAAGAAAATGCATACTTTTGAACTTGCCTTAAAAAAAATTGCTGGCTTGGATTTTACTCGTTTGACTTTTAGACAGTGTGGTAAGCAGTTATTAAAAGGGAAGCACCCGTGAATATACGTGGGTTGCTGTTTGACATTTTAAGCCAGCCCCGAATTTTTTTTTTCACCTTTGGTTCATCAGTTATGACGCCTTGTCCTTTTTACTGAAAACCTTCAGAGCTGCTTATTAGAAATCCTATAAAAACCCATGTCGACTTACTACTGATCTTTTTCAGAAAGAAACAATTAAACTCTATTAAATTAGTTCATTGAATTATCTGAAATTATTTCTGCTTCACTGTAAATATAGAGTGTTATGAAATATTGTGATATAAAACAATCCATTGACCCAGGATTCATGAATTGGGGTGGAGGTAATTTAAAGGGAACATCCATGTAAGCTTGCTATTTTGCCATTTCGCAGATAAAAAGAAAGAGGAGTGGAAGTACATGATGTTGTAGAACCACAGACAAGACAAGCATGTAGACAAGCAAGTTAAACAGCAACATGGGGAGCAGAGAGAGACAGAAACATGAGACAGATGATGAGTGGAGACAGGAAATAAAAAAGAGAGCGATAGACATGTTACACAGATAGAAGAACATTAAAGGAGCCAAGAAAAGGGTGAGTAACACAAAACTGCATTTAATTGTTGACAGTTCAGATCTAAAGAGAGTCTGCAAACTGTCAGGAGAGTTTGTGATTAGTAAATATAATTTGTGGTCAGGTGTTTTAGTCCATTAACACAAGCAGGTTCCTAATTAGACTTAAAAGTTGTTGGCAAAGTATGTTAGAACTTTAAGAGAATTTGCTGACTTTAACTTAGCACAACATTGAGGGTTGTGTCAGAACTAAGGATAATTGGTTCAGCATGGGTGACACCAGGGGTGGGCTTAAGGGGCTTAAGCCCTGGATGTCCACTGACTTTAGCACCGCCCCAGAGGGATGCACTCAACTGTCCTGTTAACTATAGAAATAGAAAAAAGTGAGAAAATTCAGGCCACGATGACCAGCACTACCGTTTTGCAGCCATCCAGTGTACATGTCCGTAAAGAGTGCTAAAGAAGCAAATTTCTGACACCAAACATGCCTTGGCTGACTGACTACAATTGAGGTGGAGGAAGGAAAAGTGTAAATTCCTTTATAATTATTCCTTTAAGGATATAATTAACTACTTTCTTTCTTAAGCAATGGTGGGAGTTAAGGAATTGGGAACAAATGATCATGGTTAATCAAGGGAGACAAGAGCTTTAAAGCAAATGACTCAGACATGCATGTCTTTGACTGTGCCCTTGCAAGCTATAAAGCGAGCCTGCTTTGTTGTAGCGAGAGAAGAAGCATTTGTTTTCTGTTTGGTTTAGAACTCTTCTGTCGAAGTGACTCATCCACTGAGCTCAGTAAACATGAAGCGCAGACACAACGTAATGCGGCGTGGGGCTGCAGGAGCAGTTAGTGAAGAAAAACAGATTCAGTGCTTGTACCAGGCAGTAAAGTGTGACAGAGAGCCTCTTCCATTGCAAGCAACCCTGTGTCTCCCTCTGAGTCTGGAGAGACACAAAGTAGTGGGTCAGTGGGCGAAGCTCTGTTCTGTACACAGTAATTAGCTTCTGTTTTGCAGCTAGACACAGCTGTGCTCGGAAGAAGTCAATGTAATTTCGATTAAAGTAATCCTCAGTGAAAAGAAAATCCTCCACAAACCCAGATGCATAACAACCGCATTTGGGCTTTTCTTTCCTTGGCACCATCTTAGGCTCCTTTTGGCTTGACCAGGAATTCCACTGGTTTTTCAACATGTCTGCATCATTAAATTGTTAAGACATAAACAAAATTATTCAGAATGATTTGAGGTGAAATGTGCTGTTCTAGAGAAATTTGCCAAGTCAGAATCTGTCTGGGTTTGTTCACAACAGCAGTGATGGTAACCAGACTTCTGAGGTGTGTATCTCTAAAAGCTCCCTCACAGAAAGTTGGCAATTATGATTACAAGGCCTCATGCCTGAGACTTTGTTTATGATAGTTCTGAAATTAAGTTTTGTCCTAAAACACACATTTTAAAATCCATTTATGATGGAGAGGTGCATGCAGGGCACTATAAGGCAAAATAGCCCAAAGAAAACATATTTTTTAGATTTTTCACTGCTTTATCATTATCAACATTACATATAAAAACTCAGGAGACACATGTAGGTTCGCTTGTCATTTTGGATAGTAAATAAAATGGCTATATTTGCATTCTAGACATCATGACCCCTGGTTCCTATCACCACCACTGTAAAGAAATCAGTATGTTTCTCTGCAATGTACCATTTCATATCAAACCAAATTCCCTTCTAAACTCAAGCCTTATTATTCAGTTATTAAGCTTAGGCATTGGGGCGATGTATTAATGCACAGTAGGCCCTGTAAGACATACAATAAAATACAAATATACTGTAAAATCTAAATAAAATAATATTTCAGTTAACATTAAGAACATGTTTTAAAAAAGAAACAATTTAAAACATCTAAAGCAAATAAATCAAACAAGGCAGAGATTAAATAAAATCAAGAAATAAAACCGTAGCTCTCATCTGTCATGTTACTTAAAAGTAGTTTAAATTAACTAAAAGGTAGAAAATGGATTTTTCACCCAAAGAAAAGTTGTTGCACACTAACGAGACATTCCATGAACACTTTGAAAGTGCTATGAAATGAATATGCAAGTTGTGTAGTTAAGCGAGTGACATTAACATGTAGGCCTTTGTACAGATCCTTTAGAGTTCAAAGGCTTAAAATATGCTTGCATTAAAAACCTTTTCTGTTCTATAAACAAAGCCAGCACCTTCTTATAAGAGAATGTGGCTAACATATTGCTAGACGGATGGATGGCTAGCTAGCACACTCTAAGCATGTAGATGTCTTCGTGAGCCTTTTAGAAGCTCTGGCGTGATTATGATGTGCTTGAGCCCGATCGCAAACTGCAATCCGAGCTCCCATCTGTTCCAAGGCTTAGCTGGGAGCACCCCCCCGAGATTTACACGGTCAACAGGACATCACACCAGCAGCTCAGGAGCAGACAACAAGAAGGACGCTGGCTTCAAGAGCATGCCAGCGAACAAAGACTTCAGGTGCAGGGATTAAGGTCACTTGAGCCTGACAGTCTATTATTAAACACACTTATTCCTGGCTGGCTTGTTGGCAGTGCATGTGCCACTGGACTATCTAAACTGATTTCCATTTGGGTCTATGATGGTGGCCACTTAAAGCGATATTTTGGCAAACAAAAAAAGGGAATAAAGTGTGTTGCATAGTTTAAAAAGGTGGTAGAAGCCATTTTGAAGCCTGAATTTTCTGCAGCTTTTTCATTTTTATAGTACGATAGATAGTATGTCATACAGTGTCAGATACCACATAAGCTGTTTGAGATTAACACCTTGAAAGTCTGAGGCAAGTGTTTAATGATTCAAATATGCCATTAGCACAATGCTAATTGGTGTACTTAAGCTTCCATTACTTGTCAGCTACATTAGCCTTGTAGCTCCAGTGTAGTCCACTTCACACACTAAGCATGTCTTGGCTACTACATTTGGGCTAATGGGGAAAAAAAACATTTTTGCTGAACATTCCTGACAGTCCTCCACATTTTGGCTCAAGAGGGCCTTGGTATTAGCATTTCTGCTTTTAAGTTGTGGATTCCTTTCTACTGCACTTTTCCTCTGGGTTTTTTGTCCATTCCTTGGTGTCTTAGCACATCCTCCTGCCTTCCATTATGTGATGTGCACTTCTTCTAAATGTATATACTAAATTGCTTGACTTTAATGCAGCATATTGTACACAGCAGTTGAAAATTTCAAAAGGGAAGAGAGAGGCAGCGTCAGCGTGAATGAACACATTCCCCAAAGAGCGTTCGGAGAGTCATGCATGCACAGAGCTCTTTGATATGATAATAACCTTTGCATAAACATGACGCTCTTATCTACACCTATCAGCTTTAATATCATAATCATGGGCTCCTCAGGGCTTGGAAAGGAGCTTATTCCCAGCCCGCAATACCATTCTGCCATCACTCTCTATACCCGGAAATTCTCTTTGCCATGAATATTTCCTAGAAATATGATACGGTTAATTATTATGAGATTATGAGCTTTTGGTAATAAGCAAAACGTGCATAATTCACACGATCTAGAATAAACACACATTCTCTGTTAATGTTTGATGTACATGGGAGTTCAAAATGAAACAATTCAAGTACAAAAGAGAAGCCTCCCTTAAATTTCCCTTAAAATTCAAACAGTACTCTTTGAGGTTCATCTCCTTTGCTGAGTATGGCTATTATAGAGAACTGAACAACATGCCATTATGTCGTCTGATTGTGCTTTCATAAGACTCACATACATCTGTTTGATCAAACTGCATATTTTGTTGATTTTCTAAATGAAAATAAATTAACACATCCTCTACAGAGAACACACTTCTGTGCTTTTCAATGCACAGTTACTGTTTATTTGGTGAATTTAACATGTTGGGAAATATTATGTATTTTTCCCCCAGTATATTAAATTCCACAAACACATCCCTGTAAGATAAATTATTTTCACTTATAACATCTATAAAACATGTAATTTGACCAGGGAAGTCCAAACTTTTGCATACAACTCTATATAATATAACTTGGCTGGTTAATGTCCAGGTTAACATGAGCTGGCTGAAAAGTCTGCATGGTTCCCCAAATAAGTTCTGATGTTTTAATGTACCTTCATTCTGGTGTATTTGTAAACCTAAAGAGAACATTATATGTTTCCTCTTTGAGGTTTAGAGCTTTGAGATCTCTTTGTTGCTAGACAGAACCGTTCCAAGAGGGCGCATGACCTTTTAAATTGCTCTACTTGGCTCCAGCATTGAGCTTCCTTTCCAAGCGGAAGAACATTCAAATAGTTCTACTGCAGTGCACCCCTTGCCTGATGAGAGAGCAAACATATTTTTACAGTATGTATAACTTACTAAATCCTTGTTATACTTTAAAAATGTAATGTAAAATAAAAATGAAAAAAACTCCATTTGTAACCTACCTACCTTTTTTGTTTATTTTGACAGAAAGTTTTGGCATCTCTGTTTTATAGGCATCATTGAGTTGAAGATTATTACAGATATTGTGCTCTAGGCCAGTGGTTCTAACTATATTTTGAGCATCACTGCTCTGCATACTTTGACATAGGTGACGTAGGTGTGTTAGAGCAGCGAATGCACCGAAACTTACCCTGTTGTTCTTGTCCACTTCTCGCACTTCCTCTTCCGTGACTCCTTGTCGGATCATGATTTTGACTATGATGGCATTATTATTGCAACATGCTTTGAAAAAGGTGAGAGGTTCTGGACTCTCGGGTGTCGGGGACCGATGATAGGTGATTGATTCATCAGGTGGATAGAAGGAATCATCCGATGCAATACTCTTGCTGTCTGGTAACTGGGAGAAATCAAACTCTTCAAATTCCTGGTAGACGTCATCGTCGTCTTCATCACAGTAATCATCATCATCATCGCCACTGGAATGCTCCTCTTTCTCCTCATCGCTGCTCTGGATAGAAGATTCCTCAAATACTCGGCAGGCTCCCACCTGACCATCCCTGCTACCGTTTTGATCTTGTACCACAGGTAGACCTCCTCCAGGACAATCTCCAGTTATCAGCACCATTTAACCTGTGGCTTGGGATCCAGCAGGTGTGATAAAAGCTAAAAACCCAGAACCCTCTGGACTCACAGTGTCACATAGTGGACGGTCATCCTCAGAGACAGCCTTTGACATGAAGAACAGGAATAAAATTCAAGCTTAAAAGCACCGCAAGCAGCACCTCTTACAGGCCCATTGAAGTTATCCTTATCCGAATCGTCTGCAGTGAACTTCTTGTGCATGTCTAAGGTTTATACAGCCAAGCAAGTTCATTTTCAGTTCGATCATCCAGCTAAGGCTTCAACTGATATGTTTCAGTAGATGTCATCTGTCAAGCTTCATTGCTTTATCGAATGTCCAGAGGAACCGTCATTGGAATGAATTCCATCGGAAAAACTGTGTCTGGAACAGGAGATACCACTGTCCAAGCCGTAGTCTCCTAATCCCTTTAGCCTCCCTCTCCCTCTTTCTCTCTCTCTCTCTGAAGACAGTAATCAGACTGTTGTAGCAATAGCACCAGTTTGTGACTGGCTACTTGTGTAACAAATAACTAGTCACAGTAACTAGCTGATAGTTTTACAATGGACCATACAAATGCCTCATTCACAGATACACTGAACTGAAGTGAGATATTTACATTACCATAGTGAATGTAAGTCAAATATACATAATGAAGCTAATGTACTGAAACACATGAATGTAAATCATAACTTCCCATTACTGTACAAGCGAAAGGTAGGAATATTAGGCAGGTAAAAGGTAATACTACTACTACTACTACTAATAATAATAATAATAATAGGAAGAATTACTTTATTTGTAGAGCATTTCATACATGCAGCAGCTCCAAGTGCATTACAATAAAACAGTGAGTAAAAATAAAAGCAGAATAAAATAGAAAGTAAAATGAAAAGTCAGAAATAACATTTTGTAGGTAAGTGGTCATTCAGTTTCCTTTGTATGTTTACCAATTTTTTCAAAACTGTGTGATGTAAAGATATTCAGAGTAATTTGATACAAAATGCTCCATTGTAGAGAAATTTACAGACTCCGAATTGTTCATAGTGGTGGTGACAGGAACCAGATGTCTGAAGAATTTAATGTCTTTAAAAGCTCCCTGACAGAAAATCAAAATAAGAAATCATTAGTTTATCACTCATTATATGTGCACATTGTTCTAATAGTGTTAGCAGATTCAGTCTATCCAGTCACAGCTACCACGCAGCTCCTCCTATGGGTGCATTTTGGTAAATGACATTATCTAACTGGCCTTGTCTAACTTTGCTTTTATCCCTCATATATGCACACACATATATGTAGTGCTTCCATAGCCATTATGCTGTGAAAAATCAGCTATGGCCTACTACATTTAGTCTAATAGATAATTATTCACAAAATGTTCAGGATTTATCAATCTAATTATTGATATAATTTGAGAAGTCCAACCACCAAACCCATTGAAAGTTTACTCAGACTTTATTCAGACATTTTGTCAGAGAAATATCATTATATATTATCATTGGCTTTACTATTGTCTAGTAAAGTAAGGGATCTTTTCTATAAACTAATGTAAAAATGTAATCAAAGTCTCACTAATAAGACAGATCTAGAAATGCACGCTGACACTTAGCTGCATCACAGGTTTCAATGATAGGCCAGACATGTAGCCTCTCACTTGACACATTTTGTGTTGTTGTATAACTTAGACTTTGGCAGGTTACTAGGCTATCCTGTTTTTTTCTGCCTGGGTAAGGCCATGAACCAGGTTTGGAGAATTGGGCCATACCTTACTTCATGGTATGAATGAAGAATAAGAAACTAAAACATATACAGTATGGTGCAAAAGTCACCCTTAATTTCCTTTTAAAACAGCTGTTCAGAATAAGTTATTCTTTTTTCAGATTAGAGTTTCCAAAACTGGAGTCACCATCAGATAAACAGTATTTGAAGCTTTCATCTTTGAGGGAAAGGAAAAAAAACAACCTCCACTCTTGCTTCAGATGTGAAAAAATCCACAGGTGTTTCTGTCCCTCCTTCCATTTTTTAGGTGAAAAATAAAATATTGTCTACAAAAAACACACTTAAGTATGGCATTTCCCAGCGAACTCAAGTGCATAATTTCTATTTATTTGCTGAATTTAACATACAGGGAAGAAATAAAATGTGCAATGTGCTGTAACTTCTGCACAGGCCTCATTTAAACGTTTCCCTCTGGAATGTTAATTTCAGCAAATAAAAAGTAATTGTGCATTAAAATGTGCAGAAGTGTGTTCTTTGTAGAGTATGTTAAACTATTTTCACTTAGAAAATCAACAAAGCATGTCATTTGATGGGGCGCCCAAACTCTTGCACACAACTATATAGTACAAAGTACAAATACACAGTGTTAAACTGAGTAAGGATGCACGAAGTCCAGTGGGCAGAATGACTGTGCTTTTACATAAGTGCCAAATAGGCTGAATCTCAAATGGCTCCCTACTCCTTACGTAGTGCGCTAAATAGGTTATGAAATATTGGCTTTGGTACCTATTTGGGATTCAGCCATAGTGTCATGTTGCGTGCACTGTTCACTTAATAGTGCTGCAATTTTGTAGTGTGAATATGTCGTGGAAAATATCCAGTGCACTCTTACAATCCCACAACACACTGTTACAGGCAGTGTCCAAAATGTACGTAGCTGGTACACAACGTGCTTCTATGTGAAAAACTCCCCTGATAGTTCAGCTCAGGCCAACAGAGCACTAAATAACAATAGCTGGTATGTTTTAAATGCTTGAAAAGGTGATGAGCAAGACAATCAATGAGCATCATATAATAAAATGTGACAGGAGTCACTGAATGATAAGCAAACTGTTCACTTAACCCCGATCCCTTAATTAATTTCTCTAATAGCGGATAGTGAGCAGAGCATCACTTCCAACACAAAGTGTGAAAGTCATTACTGTCAGGTCAATGAGAAATCACACGTTATGTCTGAGGGGTCACTCAGTGGTTTTATTAGTCAGTTCCAATCAGGAAGGCCTGAATACTGTTTTAATTCTTACTTTTATAGATTTTTTTCTATTTTATTCTGACATTTGTATTTGTACTAATAACTATTTCAGACTTTCCTCTCTGTTAGAGGTCTTTTCATAGTTTTCCACTCAGACATCACATATAAAAACTTTAAGGACCTCTCATCATGTGATGCCAAAATTAAATAGGTGAACAGGAGGGGTGACACTAGTTCTTAATGTCTGGGTCTTAAGCAACTACCTAACCCTTAAAAAAAAAAAAACAACCCTCATTAATCCATTAAATCAGACCAGACTTTTTTCATCTTGTGCATAGATTCAAACAACTACATTTACCAATGTTGTAAGACTCTTTCTTTTTGCATCGAATTTACATCATGTATTTCCAGTGCCTGAGGGTTTAAGAGTTAAAGAATAAAGTGGAAAGATGGAACTTTATTCAGTATGACCAAGACTAAGGTTATGATGACAGGAAAAAGACCACTAACTTTACCATTGATGGAGAAAACATGTGGAAATGGAGAGCTTTTGCCTGCTTGGATCACTTATTAACAACAGAAGATCCAGCACTCAAGAAATATGACACAGTTTGGCACTCGGCAGAACAAGGATGAAGGAGCTTGAAAACATCTTTAAATGTAACGATTTGTCTTTACAAAGATTTTCTCTGTGGTTCTTTATGGATGTGAAAGCTGAACAATAAACAAGCATGAGAGGAATAATATAGATGCCTTTGAACTTTGGTTTTGGTGAAGACTTTTAAGAGCACCTTGGATGGCAAAGAAAACAAATGAAAGGATCCTAGACCAAATCAAGCCTCACCTCTCACTCGAAGCTCAGATAACTAAACTGAAGCTCTTTTATTTTGGACATATTCTGAGAAAAAACAATTTATTGGAAAAGACTGTTATGCTTGGAAGAGTTGAAGGTAAAAGAGAAAGACCAGCTACAAGATACAATCAGAGGAATCATGAACCAGCCATTTAGAAGCCTGAAGACCCAATCAAAAGACAGGATATTGTGGAGAAACACCATCCATATGGTCACCAGGAGTCAGAAACTTATTATAATAATAATAATAATAATAATGGTTTAAGGTAAAGTGCACATTTTACTTCTTTCATTGGTTAGTTTTGTGGTGGCTCCCTGGCACTGCCAGTTTCTTGTCGTGGCAGCTTCTTGACTATCAGGTTAGTTTAAGATTCAGTAGCAGATTTAAGCGTGTAGAGCAGGAGTGTCAAACTCAACTACTAAAGGGGCCATATTAAAAAATCTCAACAAATCTGTGGGCCAGAGAAACAATGTTTTTATTTCATTTTTAATGGTATGTTATAAACCAAACTGGCCATTGTTTATTCAAAATACGCAAAAAACTTCAGCAGTAAAATATAGGCACTTGTAGCAGACCTTGAAATATTACAAGAACACATTTAAATGCCCCCAGGAGCTCAGTCTTTTAAACCTATCTGATTGAACTTAACACCTGCCATCTTTTCTTTGCTGCAAGTTCATCAATACTTGGGCTCAATTTCTGAGCTGCTGAGCTAACATTGTGTTTATATTGGTTGAACTGCATCTGAAATGTAGCTTGTGTGTTTGGTGATATGACTGGTGTGGAATTGTGTAGAGTTGTGTAGAACTGAGGCATAACCGCTGTCCCATAGATTGTTTTTGGGGACAGGAGACTCAGAGTGTACATTATGTTGCAGTGCATGCTAGGGACTGTAGTGCAGCGCATTGTGAAATGGACTAAAATTAGAAATAGAAAATTAAAATACTTTTGCAGGCCAGATAGGATTGTGAGGGGTGTAGAGTTTAGCTAGCTGTTCAGCAAAGAAAACAGCTGGATTTCACACTGGTTTTAATACCACTGATATAGGCATTCTCCCTAAGCCACATAACAAACCCCAACATAAACCTGTATTCATGCTTGTTATTAAGTATGTAACGTGCCACTCTAATGATATTGCACCATTCATTTTCAGTGGAATATACTATGACTGCATCTGCCCAGGTAATGTCCCTCTGTAGACTAGCACAAGGTACCTCAAACTACATATTCAGCAGATTAACCTCTTCAATAGTCAGGCCTGGGATTTTAAGTCTTTAAACTGCCATCCTTCTGCAAGAATTAGACACATTATTTTATGAGGCACCAAACAGTGTTTTCTTATTTAAATTGAAGACACTGACCACCACAGTACCACACTTGTGATTTAATATTTGTAATAAAATTCTCCAACAGAGAAACAAACAAACAAAAAAAATTACTCGTCTGCCAGTATAAGGATGTAATTACAGCCACTGCCTCCCAGCAGGAGGTTTTTATAACATTCAGAATACTGAATAACTTCTCACACGAACATGCTGTGGAAAGGACAAGGCCGAGTTAACCAAACGTGTGAGAGTGTTTAGTACTGTTACCCAGCATGCTGCCTGCACACTGTCGCCTCGCTTTGGAAATTTGGAAACGAACCTCCTAGAGAAGCTTAGGAAGCGACACACAGGACATTAGACTGATGGCAGACTGTACAGGATCACCCCCGCCTCCCCCCAAAAACAAAAAAACAACTGTCACTAGATGCACATATAAAAATATAAACATTTGCCTTTTAAAGGAGCCCAAACAATATTAAGAAGCATACAGTATCCAGGGTTGGTGTCAGAAGATACTGTAAGGTCACTTAGAGATTCTCAGCGCTGAAGGACTATCTCTAAAGCGCTCTGCAACAAGTTCAGTCAATCTGAGGGGAAATCTGGAACTCGTGACAGAGACAGGGACAATTTGAAATGGAGAGAAAACAGACCTCGCTACAAAAACATGATGCGCAAGTACTGTACAGATTAAATTATGTACAAACTCTTGAGGATTTCCCCCTGGACAGTAGACAAAAAGATTATCTTCTTCTGCCAAACTTGTACCAACCATTCATTCACCTTGAGACAAAATTGTAGCAGTTTGTTTTAATCAAGGTGAAATTATATTAACACTGTCTAAGCAAATTGGTCTACAGGGTTTCCAAACTATTGCTGTTTTTAAGACATTTCAAGATGCTTTTTTAAAAGCACATTTCATATATGTGCTAGAATAACGTCGGTAAGGTCATGAAGTGAAAAATCGTTTTTTGGGCCATGCTGAATACAAGACGGACACACAACAGTCAACATCTTACATCTTACAACTTGGACAGCAAACTAATATGCTAGCCTAGCCACTGAAGCAATAAGCACTCTAGGACAGTCTTCTTGATTTATCAGAAAGGACAAACAAGTTTTCAGAGCCAAATGAAAAGCTAGGGGCAGAAGTAAGCTTTGTAGCTCACTGTGAGCCATAAACACTACCATCCAACTTTAGCTCAAGCTGCTTGCTGCTGCCTTGGTGCTTGTATACTACATGCTTCAGGAAAATAAACAACAGCATCCTGCACAAACCAAGCATGAAGACCCCCCCCCCAATTCCACATAAAAGAATGCCACAGTCCAGTGGTGAGCTGGATTGGTTCGTTTTCTGAGGTATGCGCCTCAAATGCACTTACAGCCACTTCTGCTACACTGGTTAAGATTAGGGCAGTTAGGGACCATCATGGTTTGAGACAGCTTCGACACAGGCCACATCCTGTCATTAAGAACGTCAATAACATACCCCACAGAAATCAAAACTAATAAATAAAAAGCTACTATTATTACAGTCACGTCCCAAGACGCTTGTGTTTTGAGTGAACTCTTGGCCCCCAACTCCTACAGGCCTGCCCAAAAGACTGAAGAGAACTGGCACTGGCATCGTTTCTGACCAAGCAACAGGATTCCACAAAATAAAGTGACAACTAATTTAATAAATTAACATACATACGTAATTTTTCATTTTTTCCAAAGATGTACAGAGACACATACTTTTAAATCCAAGTTGGTTGACTGGAAAATTTCTCTCTTTTTTGTATGTTTATGAACACTTTATAGTTTTCGAGCCACGATTTTCAGGCAAGATCAGAGAGGCCAGGAGTCATTGCAAGTTCTTGAGTGTTGAAGGACATGAGAAATGATGGACACGCGCACCACAGGGAAGCAGAGGGAACGGGGTTGAGGGGGAGGGGGGTTCACTCGCTCACCCACACTCACTCTCTCTCTTTCACACACGTGTTCCCCGTGTTCTTTACTCCTGCGCTGAACTGTTGTGTGTGGTTGTGCTGGGTTTACCAGCTTTACGTTCATAGTTCACAAGTCTCTGTCCTACAAGATACCTGCAGGGAGAAGAAAAATACAGATATGAATAGATTAACATGCTATAAAAACATTCACGTAAACAATTTCACAGATTTGAGCTTCTACATCGTGGTACATAATACTAAACCCTAAGGTGGCCGTGGAAAACTCACTTATCGTTCTTGATGTGCTCATAAAGGCGCTTGAACTGTCGGATTTGGAAAGAGAGGATTCCCATCAGAACCACGACCATCAGCAGGAAGGGGTAGATTCTCCTCTGGACCAGGTTCTGCACCTCCATAGTGACTCCTACTCAGACAAATCACAGTGGAATACTACAATGATTTTTCTGTCCTCCCCCTCTACGTGGTAGACTAATGGTAGACTGTGGCGAGGACTGCTGGGACGTACCTACGATTGGGACAATGCCCACAGCAATAACGTAGGGCACACAGAGAGACAGCAGCAGCACGGCAATGACGGGGGCAGCCAGCTTTCGAATGATGAAATGGAGGTCAATGTTGCGGATTCCATTGGCGTATACCTAGAGTGCAATAAAGTAATAATTTTGTTAATTCCTTAACAAGCGATCAATAGAAATCTAACATGCCCAAAAAACATGTACTTATATGAGCCTGCATGTGTAATGAGCATGACTGTCACCTGCTCAATAACAGTTTTCAGCCACCACTGAGGGCCCATAAGGGTAATGGCGGCAATAATTTTGGCATGCAGCACTCCTAACGCCCAGTCCTGAAACATAGCAAAAAAGGAAATCAGCACCACTAACCTTTTCCCTAGCAATGCAAATGTTACTGTTTGACACTTGCGATCCTTTTTTGCCAAACTGCCCATTTGCAAGCACAGGTTTGGTCAGGAGACACCAAAGCACATCCTTTAACTCAAGGGCTTAAGGCCTTAAGGGCTTCACAATAAACAATATTTCCATTTTCTGCCTTTATTGAATACTGTAACATTTCCCAATCAGAAAACACAGCACATGTAAGGCACATTACCTGCCAAGGGTAGAACAGAGGCGTCTGGTCCAGTGGAACTCTGAGAGGAGCCACAATGACCAGCTCAAACAGCAGCCCGAGCAATAGAGGAATCACCCCTGCCAACAGAACTGCCACAATCAGAGTCTTCATGATCTGTACAAAAAAAGAGAGAGAGAGAGAGAAGGGTCAGATACTGGGCACAACATAGAATCAGCCAGTGTACACAGGTCTTTTGCACACAGGCAATTGTGCTTTGAAAATATTAAACAAGGGTGTGTAAATAGTAGAAATGTTCTTTTTCCTCCTTCAGACTCCCATGCAAAATACAGTGAACTTCACATATCACACAGTGTAAGTCCCTTTAAACAACTACAACGCAATGCACACATTGCTCAACAGCAAAACAAGTATGAGGAGCAGTACCATGAGCGTCCACTCCTGGACTTTGAGCAGGATGACCCTCCGGCCCTGGGGCATCCAGGCCAGCAGCACAGTTATGGCCCTAATGGACAGCCAGCACACGTACAGGCCGCACGCTGCTGTGTACAGTTCGTGTATCTTTGCACTGCCTGTCCAGAACGACATGAGCCAACGGCCAACAAACACTGGCAAAAAGAGAAGAGGAGAGCAGAACGGTCAGGCTATCCGTCACAGCCAACTAAAGTTACCTTGCAGCCCAGTTATTTACCTGATGTACCTAAAATACCATGTCTCAAAAGCTGACTGATTACAACCAACAACCAGTAATCTGTGGTTTGATACCACAGACACCAACTAGACACACCTATAAAGTACACGTTTAAGGTTTTACACACTGTACATGTTAGCAGAGGGCTTGGTTTTAATGGGGGTAGGAAATGCATATGGTGTTAAAAGATCTGCTCACCTGGCAAAGTAAGACACACCAAACTGGCCAAGAGCAGTGTCACACACATAAAAAGTATCAGCAACACAATCTACAACAAAAGACATCAAGAAACATCATAAGACAAATTAACTTCTTTATAACTTTAGATATTGTAAGTCCTGTATGTGTAATGCATGACCAGTACCCGGAGAGGGAACTTCATAGGGCGGTGGTAGGGCTGGAAGCCCACAGGTCCTCCCTGCTGCAGGATGGCCTGGTGAGCAGCATGCAGACCCTCTCCCACCACTGGGATGGCGTTGGCGTTGTTACGGGGCTGCTGGTTGTTGTTGGCCGCCTGGTTGGCATTGTTCTCATTCTCCTCTTGGTCTCCTAGCAGGTACGAGTGCAGGTCTCTGAGGGTGAGAGGCCCCGGAGGGAGCAAATACCACATTTATCAAGACCACGGAGAGAGGTAGCTTATTTTTTGCAATCAACTAAAATAAGAAAAAAACTTGGGCGACATTATTACATCACAAAAAACTTCTATGATGAGAAATGTACTTGGGTGACTTAACAGGACAAACCATGTACAGCCTTCCAAAGACTCAAACACTTAACGAGAAAAAATAAAACAACGAAGCCTTTAAAAAGAAATGAAAACAATATGTGGCAAAAAATGCATATACATGGGTGTGTATCAGGCTTGACTTCATTAGTATTAACAACTAAATCACTGCTGATTCATAGAGATGGTACACTTGTATTGTGTGTTTTTCTTTAAATCACATTTAATCGTGACCTCTCTAATGTGGTCTTCATAAATGTCTTTGTGATACTTACAGTAAGTAGCCAGCGGTAACTGTCCAGGCTCTCACTAGGCCCTTCAGCCACTGCCGTGTGTGTCCCTGCTCTAGCAGAGCTGGTAAGACCACCTGCAGCAATAGCAGCTCCAGGGACAGCTCACTCACCGGAGCATCGCTGAGACACACAGACATGGGCACACAAACAACACAGTGAGTGAGATGCAGAGCTCTATCTCTCATGTAATTAAGGATGTTCCATAGCCTACTTATAGTGATATCCCACAGGGAATAGCAACATTCTATGAAAGACATCACCCATATGATGAAACAGGCTAAGGTTATATTCATATTTACAACCATCTCTCATTAGGAACTAAAGAAAATTTCAGTCCAATCCTAACCCAATCTTAACTCTTAACCATAACTCAATAAAGTGACAGTTAAAACGTCATGTCAGGATTAGGGACTTGGTGTATAAGGCAATAGAGCCAAGTAAGTCGGAATAATTGTTGCCCCTCTGAGGTTTGAAACAGTTGCAGGTGATGTAACTCTTTCAGGGAATCACAGCTACAAGCTCATTAATTTACCTGTAGAGCATCACATTGTAGGGAAGGAAGGATGGCAAGATGTGTTTGATTATCCGAATAGGTAGCCAAAGCATCAACAGAACGATTGAACCAAACACAACCTGAAGGACAATAAATGTCAAAATGTGATAGCATATATACACAATACTGTGCAAAAGTTTGAGAAAATGATTTTTCAAATGATATTTTTTGTCCGTAAGCAATTATATGCTCAAAAAAGACTAATATTTGAATAAATACAAATAATATTAATACAATAAATAGTGACTTTATGTATGTCATTGTTGCCATTTACAAACAGCTCCTTGTGGAAGCCCAGTATTATCTGCAGTTTTCATTCAATACCTGCCTTGACTAATCGATGCTTTATTAAGTTAAATAAGATGTGCTGGTGGTGGATTTGAACAAATGTATGTATCATCTGAAGGCACCAAGGAAAAGTCTGGAACAGTGAGTTGCACTCACCACTGACAGGATAAATCGTCTGAGATGTCTGTATATTGGCAGGTGAATCATTTCTTGGACTGGGTTAAAATCCGGATCGTTAAGGTTTCTGAGAAACCATAGGACTCCAGGCCTGAGGACCTGTTTCCAGAAAACACATAAGCATTCAATATGCTTTCAGTATTCAAACTTTATAAGCACATCTGAATTATTCGCTCCCATATTTTCAAGTCACATTATAAGGACTAAGCTACCTCTCGGAGTAGGAGAATAAAGGAAGCGAAGTAGAAGACATAGACCATGCCAACAAGCCAGTGTAGAAACATAGTTGTGCCTGGAGCCGATTCAAAACTTAGCTCTCTGTCCTTTAAAGATGCGTCAAACATTTCCTGTAAAACAGACAAAGAGCTTTAAACACTGCCACACTGCGTAAAAGGTAATAAGAATGATAAGTGGTTGGCTTCACATGAAGTCCACACTGAGGTTGATGCAATTCATTTACAAACCAGAGAGCAGATATCCAGCCACCAGCCACAGATTAGAGGGAATACACCAATCTCTACAACGACCAATAACGACACCTAAAGGAAACGGAACAGATTAAATCAGTAAGGTTGATGGAAAACAAACTTTTAAAGCTTAAAATTCACTTTTCATAGAGGTACCCAAATGTTTCAAGTCCCAAAATATTCAAGCTTCTGTCTACATAAACAAAGCGATCAAATATATATTGCAAAAATCAATTATTATAAATACAATTATAAATTATAAGTCCTTACCTTAACCACAATATAGCAGACTCCTAATAATCGCCTTGATCTTTGGAATCTCACCAATGCTGCTAAACCCTGAAATTTTCACTAAGGAAACCCCCCCCATTCTCAGTGTAGTGCAGGATAAGAACATGACCAAACATCTGTACTTATGAAAACCAGACAAGCTAATATATTCAATGATTTGAATCACAAAATAACAATTGTCTTTTTAGAGTCATTCAAACTCAAAACGGTGTGGATCTTATTTTCTCCAGTGCTAGACCCCACAGTAGCTTTAGCGTTTAAGGATACATGGCACACGATGAGAGTGACGGCCAACAGAACATAACCAACGATGGTGGTGATGAGGCCCTCAAAATGAGAGGCACGAACCTGAGGACAAGTTTAAAAACTTCATCATAATGTGTGGTAGCCCTTTTACAGCAACAGTTCAAATTCAACACTAAAACGTTAATGAGGGTGTAACTAGCACTCACATAATCTTCAAAGCCACTGCCGACCACTGAGAAGTGCCCAATATGGTATGGGCAAAAAGCTACAAACACAGAAAGGTTCGTTAAACACACACCTGCAATCTAGTTACTGAATCTGAGGCAGTGTGTTCACATAGAATTCTAAGAGACACATACCAAACACCAGAATGAAGAGTGTATTGAGAGAGACCACCCAGAAAACATGTTCCTGCAACACAAAAATCCACAGGAAGACTTGCTTCAACAGCTGGGCTTGTAAACTCTTTTCAGCAAACCAGCAAGTTACAATGTGTCAAAATAAGTTTTGATCATAATTTATGTAATTACGCACCAGGAAAACCAGAGAGCCGTCCAGACCAAGCATCTGTAAGGAGGAAAACAAATTGCATTAAATATTTCTCCAGCATCTGTTTGTGTTTGTGCATGACTAATAACAGAATGTTGAAGAGCAAAGACTCACTCTTTCCCATGTAAGCTCCTCGGCTGCACGGTCCCATTCCAGCGCATTCCAGTTCATATCATCTGCACAAAACACATCAGCCCATTAGATATAATCCTCCACTCACCTGTTTTATATAGTCCTGGGCAATGATACTTCTTACATTATAATTCTGATCTCTTCATCAGTCCAGTGTTAGAAGCAAAGGCTTGAATTTGAACAGTCGCTACTTCGGTACACTAGGTGGCTATCTGCATCTTTTACTCATTAGACGGGGAGGGAGGAGTCTAGCTATTCACTAGCAACAACACAAACCAGCGTAACCGTCAGGGAGTTAGCTAGCCAGCAATTTTCAGTTTTGAAATTGTGGAGAGTGAAAAGAAAAGAGTTTCAGGAAAACGTAAGAAGAGGCACTGGTTCTGTTTTCTTTGTTTTCAAAAAACAAAAAACCTAATCAACACTCCAAGTACAAATCAGACTTAAAGTTAAAAAAAAGACAAAACTGATCATATTTTGTCACTATCAACTTATACGGATAAACAGTGTGAAATGTTTCTGCCATATCGCCCAGTCCTATTTCTGTAACATCATGCTTAAGTAGCTTCATTTCCTTGTAAGCACAGAAATACCTTGTGCGCCATTGTTGGCGTCGGCAGCATCCTCACCCCCGGCTTCTTCCTCATCTTCATTGTCCAGTTCAAGGTCCTCAGCCGGGTCAGGAGGAACATCTGGGGACCTCTGCTGCCACGGCATTCTCTGCTGGGGGCTCAGCTGGGGCTGGGACAGGCAGGTTTTCTGCTCCTCCATTGCCTGCACCTGCAGCCTAACCCAAGGCACAGACAATACTATTGATACCGGACTTTTTCTTTTTAATAAACCAAAGACACTACTTTGCAGCATGCCTCGGTACGGGTATATACACAGAGACAGTGAGAGCTGTCTGAATGTCTCCAGAGACCTAGAGGCTAATGAGGGACTGCAAGCTGACTCTGAGCACACCAGGCTGTTGTGCTGCGCTCAGATCAGAATGATAATTACTGCAGAAAGAGTGCAAGAGAGGGAACAAAGTAAACAAAGAGGGTCACAGTGTGCGCTGCATAATTGGTCTCTCAAGAATATCAAACGTCAAAAAGTTTCGCCAACAAGAACGCCGGTCAGGAGCCCTTTGGAGACATCTGCATGTACAAATTCTGGAATATGTCTGGATGTTTCAATCATCTGTAACTTTGTGTTCCTGTGAAAAGTGTCTTTAGCTTGAGCTGGGCCCGAGCCTCAGCAGTGGAGTGTGTGCACCCATTTTACCTCATTTGCCTGTCCTGCTGCATTGGCAGGCTGTTGCTGGTTCTGCTCCAGCCACAGTGGTGCTCCACCGTGGACGATCTGCTCTCGTAACCACACTAGGCTGATGAAAGGCGCAGAGAGTGCAGGTCACCACAAAGCAGCCCTGCAGACAGTCTGCCAGCAGGTTCTCCCTGTTCACACAAACTTATGTCAATCACATCAACATCCTTCAGTTTTAAAACTATCTGACAGATATGTGGTTATAAAAAAATCTGACAAACACACATATATAAACAAAATAGAAGAAATTTCTTTCCAAGGAACAAATCTAAAGGTTTTGCTGTTTGTTGTTACTTACGTGGAGAGCATATCTAATGGCAGCGTCAGGAGGGAGCTTACAGAACCAGTAAACAGACACTTGTAGATGCGACCTGTGGGGAAGAACAAGGAAACAGAGTAACATCAAGTCAGATCAATTATATAATACAGAAAATATATCAGTGTATCCAGTGAAATGGCTACTATACAGTCTGCATCCTCTGAGGAACACTTACATGCTGTTAAAGGTACGACTCCTAGCCAAGCAAAAGCAACCAGCGTATAGTGAAACCAGTATCGTATGGCTGTGCCTATACTGGTCACTAGGCCTGCAAAAATGTCCTGTACGGGGAGCCGCGAAGGCATGTCTGGAGAATAGACTGACAGCAAGAGAGAGAAAAACACTTAACAACATTTAACAACAATTTAAATGCAGTAATGAAAACTCTATTAGAGCCATGGTTGAATCATATACATACATGCTCAATTCCAAAAAAGTTGGGAAAGTAGGGAAAATGTAAATAAAAACAGACAACAATGATTTGCTGAGAGAGTACGCTTACTCTAAATTTCTGCAGTATGTTCCAAAAAAGCTGTGACAGGGCATGTTTACCACTTTGTTACACCACCTTTCTTTTTGACAACGTTCGGTAATTGTTTGGGAACCAAGGACACGAATTTTTGTGAAAGTGCTTTTTTCCCCACATCCGTGCTTGATATAACACCTGAGCTGCTTAACAGTCTGGGGTCTTTGCTGTTGTATATTGCACTTCATACATGCATTACACAGTTTCAAAGGGAGACATCTGGACTGCAGGCAGGCCAGTGTAGCTCCTGCAATCTTGCACTATGAAGCCATGGTATTGTAACTCAGGCAGAATGTGGCTTGGCATTGGCAACAAGCAGGGACGTCCCTGAAAAAGACATAGTCTGGATGGCAGTATATTGCTGCTGGTCTAAATTTATTTGGAAAAAAAATATTTCTCCATTTACTTCCAATAATCATTAAGACTGGTTTTCTTGTCCTATAAGGTGACCTTTTTGGAGATATGAGGTTTTGTTCTAAGAGCAGCCATATGTTGCTCCAAAATGCGTATGTACCCCTTTGCATTAATGGTGCTTCCACAGATGTGAAAGTTACCAATGCCATTGCTACTAACACACCTCATACCATGGCAGACGATGGCTTTTGAACTTTGTGTTGGGATGGTCCTTTTCCTCTTTGGCACGGAGAACACGGCATCCATTATTTCCAAAAAGTAATTTGAAAAGTGGATCACAGCATGCATTTACACTCTGCATCTATCCATCTCACATGAGCTTTAGCTCAGAGAAGTTGGCACCATTTCTGGATATTGATATAGGGTTTCTGCTTTGCGTAGTAGAGACTTAACTTGCATTTGCAGATGCAGCAACAAACTGTTTACAGACAACGGTTTTCTGAAGTATTCTGAGCCCACAGTGTTATATTCATTACAGAAGCATGCAGTTTTTAATGCAGTGCTGTCTCAGGGATCAAAAGTCACAGGCAGTCAATACTGGTTTTCAGCCTTGTCCTTTTTGCACAGAGATTTCTCTGGATTCACTGAATCTTTTAATAATGTTATGGACAGTAGGTCAGATCCCCTAAATTCCTTGCCATCATGCGTTGAGAATCATTGTTCTTAAACTACTGTATTATTCGCTCACACAGGTTTGCACAAAATGGTGACGGAGCCTTTCATGAGTGCTCTTTTTATACTCAATCATGATAGCATCACCTGTTACTTATTCCCCTGCTTACCTGTGGAATGCTCCAAAACAGGTGTTTATGATCAATCCACCAACTTTCCAGTCTTACACTGACCCTGTCCCAACTTTTCTGGAATGTGTTGGAGGTGTCACATTGGGAATTAGCATTTACAAAAGTCAATGAAGTTGATAAGCTAAAAAATTAAAGATTTCCATTTTTACCCACTATCCCACCTTTACCTTTACAGAGAGAAGCTAAAGAAGCTATTACTGTTTATTAATCAACGCAGATGTGAAGGATTCCATTATGAAAAAAAAGATTAAAACTGAGGAGTCTACACTATACATGTAAAATGCCCAAATCTATATCATTCTACTCTGTGGGGAGTGTAGATCTGCATCTGTGTGAGCCCAGTCATGTGCTAAGCTCATGACTGTGTCTAAGTTGTATAGTGTTCACAATGTGAGGCCTAACACATGAATGAATAAGCATGACAGAGAGACATAAAAAGGCATAAAAAGTCATGTTACACTATCTTTTAAGTCAGAGTGCCCCATAGGCCACAGCAGAGAGGTCATTAGCCCAAAAGAGTCACATGATCTCAAGTGTCATTAAACCTCATTCAGCCTCTGAACAGACCAACAACAACAACAACAACAACTACTAGTAGGGTGGTTTTAAGTCACATGGCTCAGCAGAACTCTATAGGCTACTCACTGAGGCACACTACATGGTGCTGAAAGGCTAACATAATGCTCCTGTAACTGTACTGAGCGCTGTCAAAAGGCTCCCTCCCGTGAAGAGCGATTTACTTACTTGGCGTGAAAGCAAATCTGTGCTTGCATAATTCGCAGTATTCTTTTCTGCTGTGTTTCAGCCACTGCACCAAACTGCGAAAACACAGGAAAGAGGAGTAAGAATGGAGAGGGAGACTAAGTGAACATATGGGACAAAGCACAGAAGCTTCCTGCCTCTTTCCCACGTCAACCTGCATTCCTAGGTTGTTCGTTATTACTGCAGGCAAGGCCGGCATGCACAGAAGGAACATTTTATAGCTTCAATTGAGGCATGAGGGAAAAAAAAGCCATAAATTGAACAAATGGGTATAGTAAATCACTTCTGTAGAGTAGGCAAAAAGCAGAAAGACACACACACACACACACACACATACATACATACACACACACACACACACACACACACACAATGTCCGGTCAACAAAAGTTTCTCTTCAATAGAAAGGTTAAATGATGCCACTAAAAGCTTCTGTAGGCCTACAGAATTCTAGAAACCAAAATTAGGTGGGATGGCAGGGTATAGCTGGCCCAACAATTGCTGATCATTTTCACAGTGAATGAAGCTAAATAAGATAAGAAGCTGGCACTCTATTCATTGTCATAAAAGTTACGTGAAACCAGCTCAGGGAGTTTCTACAGGGCATTCAAAATGGATCATTACACTGAAGAGCAGTAAAACACCTCACATGCTAATTGATTTGCACACATACTGCAAGTTTCCAAGTCTCTGCGAGTGAGTGCTGAGTATGAGCATATTCTTGCTCATCAAAGGTTGTAACACCCTGGCTGACTTTGCAACCTGTTCTCTATTTCATGTCCTGTTTCTACCAATACTGAATCCGACTCACTTTCACACACCTAGAAAATCACTCCTAACCTTCAATTAGTTTCACTGTAAGTACCAACTGCTAATAACAGAGAGATGGAGTGGATTGTTATTCAGACTATTAAGTATCTTATTAATAGGTATTAGTATACTGTATCCTCCTAAGATAAAACAAGCTCAACATGGGAAAAAGTACAGTACATCATGTAAGTCCGATTTTCTGTATCTCAGCACTTAAACTTGGAAAAATATTTGGAAGGATTAACTTACATGGGTTAAAAGTATCAAAAATAACATTTAAGATACAGTGTAACAACATCAAGTCTACAACTCACTTATCATTCCCATGATTTGCCTTTTATATGCTGTCATTTTTCTTTTATATCTGTCAGGTTGGTTGACTTCAACAGATAAAATGCATGCTTCATTGGATATAGTTGAGAATTTGGATAAGCCAAATTCTTCACCCTTTTTTGTTTTGTTTTTAATGAATACCATCATTTTGAGCAAAGGTCTTGCTACACGCTAAAGCACCAACAAATTAATCCAGAAGCATCTTCTATCAAATAAGCTTACAACATATATCTACCCACATTTAGAGTCATTACAGTATGGTCATCTTTAGTTACAGTACCAATGGTTACTCATCCCTAAGCCATAGTAAGACTACCTCTGCCGCATTCCACAGGTCAGGATGGATTTGTTGAATTATTTTCAACATTCATCATGTTGGTAGATGTTTATATCAGTGGTTCATAAAAAGGTGCTGATTCATTCTGGTGTGCAGATTCATACTGATAATTTTAGACTGTTGTAATCAGGCCTTTCTGTTTTCGACAAGAGGTTTTTGTTTTGTAGTGTAGCTTTGTAGTGCAGCATTATTACCCTGTTAAAATATATGATTATTTTTACAGTCTGGCAGCTGTTGCTGATTGCAAAGGATGCCACTGTCTTTCTCCCTCCTTTTGTCCCCCAAGATATGTCAAATAATTGATTTTGCTAAGCTTTAATCTGAATTCTTTTTTCCATAGACAATACTCAAGTCTCCATGGAGGCTTTTGCACGTTGTCTTCAAACAGACAGAAACCAAATGCATTGTCTGAGAGGAATGTAGGCAACCACTGTTGACGTTAAAATGACTTTAATTTACTTTAATTTGTGGTCTAATTGTGGCAATATTCACGATCATTTCAGGAAACTGAACACAAAAACACATATTGGCAAGAAAGAAACTGTATGTTCCTGCCTCATCTTTACAGTTTAATCTTTAGCTCAAACTGCTTGAGAAACAAATAAAACAACAAAAATAATACTTTCCACTTCACTACGCCAATGCCTTCTCTATAAGATCCTATTAATCAGTCTACAGTTTAGACTACAATGTAATGTGCTGGTTTCTCAGGCCCATTTAAAGCTAAACTAGACTAAAAAGCACTTCCAATAGTGATTTACCACTGGCACTGCAGTTTAATCTAGGACTAGGCTTATTCCATGTCCAGACCAGCCCTAAGACCTGGCTGTCAAATGTTACACTAAAGGGCAGAGCATTTCAAATGGAGAACGCTTCTTCTGAAAAAAGGTTTCACTTAAAAATAGACCACCTGTGTCCTGAAAATAGACAATTACAGGCTGGCTTTGCTGGCATAAAAACACCACTGTGACACAGGATAAGGACCACTTAACTCTTTATACAGTGCAGCAAAAATAATGGCACTTACCATTCCTGGTGGATGAATTTAATACTTCCAGTGCAGACACAGGGGTGGTAGAGAGGTTTGTCTAGAGTTCCCTCAGACCGACACACTCTACATATATCAGCTGCAGAGAATTAAAAGAGTTAAATAACAATATATACACAATAAGAAGAAGAAGAAGAAGAAGAAGAAGAAGAAAGAGAAGACTGACCACTTTGAGAGTCTTCGAATTGATCTAAAAGTTTTTTTAATGTAATGTAAATGTAAAATAGCTAGTGACACGATTGTCACACTTTTGTTCTACTTTACTGAAAACATATATACCAGTGTAAAAAAAAATCATAAAAAAATAATGATATTGAATACTGAACAGATTAAATATTGATGAACACAACAGCTGACTAGCCATACGTCTGGTTCATCAAAGTGCATATGGATACGATAGGCCTTGTGTATGCTTTTTTTATTGTATCATTTTCAAGTCGCAGGTGAAGACAAGGAGCTAAATAACACCTTTTCATACGTCTGTTTTGCAACAAATTACACTTAACTGACATATCAGACTAGCGAAACCCTGTCTCTCTAGTTACTGGGTGTTTTTTGCTGTCACTGCGGATTTACGATATTAGGTGGATGTGGCATAACTCGCAATATAGCAGTTCAGGTCATAAAATTACTTTACTAGAGGAAACAACCTGACGGCTAACATACTTGCTGAGAAACCTTCAGAAAACTGTGGAGTTTCTCCCAACTGTCGCTGACAAGGCTAACTGCTAAGCTAAGGCGCACCTGGGTGATTAACGTTAGCTAACTTACTTGACTTGGCTAAGCGTGGAGGCTCCGAGCATAAACACAAATATTAACGACTTTTTTTGGATAATACTGTTTACGAGCAAAGAAGCCTACTAATGTAAATAACTTGGCTAAAGAGCTAACGTTCGCCGTGTTAACACTGCAACTTACAAGCTATGGTAGCTAGCTGCCTAGCTAAGCTAACTAAGCTAATAGCATTCAGGCCGAAACAGTCATGGCTGTGTTCCGTAGTGTCCAGTTCCATCAAAATGCGAGCAAATAACACGCGTTTAAGAGACCCGTGCCGCCAAAAGGTGCAATTTTAGCCGCGAGGTTAAGCCTGTTATGCGTCGTTTCGGAGCTTACCTTCCTCTCCAGTGTCCATCTTGTAGCTAGCCGTGACGCACTGTCCTCTCTACAGTCCGCTCATAACACCGTCCAGTCCAGCAGCTCGGAGGGATTCGATAAATTAAAAAGGACAACCAGCTAGGTAACGCTTAAAGAAAGAAAACATCTCGAAAGAGCTGCGGCCGCGGACTCCGCATAACCCCTTGTGTGGGTTTGTTTTTGTGTTAGCTACCCCCACCTTGGACGCCCACTGAATTTGCGCTCACTAAGATGTCAGTGTACTACAGCTCCCATCAGCTCAGCACGCTTTACGGCACGGCATGAAACACGGGCAGGAGCTACGACAGTCCGTCTAATCCTCTCCAGTCCACTGAGTCCAACCACAGAGTTCAACCCGGCTCTGGTCCAACGTAAACACAGGTGAATCCCAAAATGGCTCCTCTGCGCACTGTTTGAGCCTTGAAGCCAATAGTTCGTGATCTTTGTAGGCCTAGTGCTCTATTTGGACAAAGACGCCGTCATATCATGGCTTATGTTGCGAACTATGCCAATTCATCATGTTGGTGCCCTCTTCGTACATGTAAATCATTATTTCAAAGCCTGTGTCGTGCAGAGTATATTACTGTACTTTTTGGGGAATGGAAGCCATTATTTCATGATGTAGGTAGTGCACTATCCCAAAGGTGACCTAATTGGACATGTAGGCCAAACTGTTTGTGATCTATATTAAGGACATCATTTAAGGCCAGCTATTCCAATGGATCCTATTGAAGCGTTCTTTGCTGTTACAAGAGACAAAACCTTCATACAGGTCATGTTGCTTTATTCTCTAGCTGTTAGCCACAGCTACGCCATGTATAGGCAGAGATTTCTCTTTACTAACAGTTCATTCACTCCCCTGCTCACATCCGACTCCCTCAGCTCTCCACTCACACACATTCTACCAGGTGGCAACTCCCCTCGCCATTCACAATAGCAGTCCTTAGCAAACTGTTGGACATATTGTGCACTGTTTAGGCATAATATCCATTATTACATGGACTATGTAGTTTACTAGTCCACTGGATCCTCTATAGAAGCTAATGTTTCATGGCCTATGTACTGCACTGTTTTAATGGATCCTATATTAGTGCATTATTAGGACACAGAATACATCATTTCATGATCTGTGTAGTGCATTATGCCAAATTGCAAACCTCTTGGACATGTAGGCCTAGTGCTCTATAGAGACAATCCTTTACTGGTCTGTGTAATGAACTATTCCAGTGGATCATATATTAATGACTGTTTGGGTATGTAAGCCATTATTTCATGATCTATGTATTTAACAATCCCTGTGCATTCTATATTAGTGCATTATTTGGCCATAGAAGCCATTCTTTCATAATCTTTGTATCCTATTATTATCCTTTTAACCTCTTATCCCAAATAGCTCCCTATAGTCCTACTGGGGCACAGAAAGCATTTTTTACAATCTAAGTACTACACTACCCTCATCGGCTCCTTACTTGCCATGTCACTTTTGGGGCATTGAAGACATTATATTACCACCTATGTAGTCCGTAGGGAGTCATTTTAGATTCAGCCACATCCACGTTACTAGCAACAGTAGCTACACATCATAATTTGTATGACAACTGTACACATTTTTGTGTGTTGATATCACATCTTTGTAAAGGAAATATCCCAGCTACTTCTTTCTTATCTCAGAGGAGATATTTCCAGCATCATTATGTGTGAGTGTATAGGAAGGTACACTCACATATTTTCAGTGCCACTCTTATTTAATGAAAATAAAAATCAATAAACAACAAGTTTTAAATCACACTAGTTATTACATTGCAGGGACAAATATGTATCTTTTTTAATCCGTTTACTTTAGTGGACAGTACATTTGGTACAAAGTTCATCATTGATGAGGAGTCCTGCTGTCTTCACTGTTTTTTAGCAGCTTTGCTGTTGTCACTTGCGATTTGAATGTCTTGGCATCATACACCCACACAGTGTCAATTCCCTCTCCAGCCACGTGGTCAGGAGTCCATGTGGGGAAAGGGAAGCGGCAGGCTACGACTTTGGCTGAGGTCTGAAGCTCTGACTGAAGCTTGGCTTCTAGCTGCTCCATCTGTGGAGTGAATAATTACAATTTCATTCAGACCTTCGTTTCAACAAATTCACACTTCCGCAATGTCTGGATCTGGTACACAACAACTATGAAGGAAGAAACCATTCTTATTTTGTTTTGATGACATGACTGACTTGTATATGAAACCCAGATTCTACTGCAGTGTTGCTATATGTCCAGATGAAATATAGACTTAGTCAGATAATATAAGACTCGTGAGACTGATTAAACTCTGTCTAAATTATAATTTCATTAAAAATGAATGCAAATCATTCTTTATCTAGGTTTAGGCTTAAGGAAAACCAGTCTATAATAAATACATCCGAGAGCTAAGCAATAGCTGTACTTCAATTTAGGAGTGAGTAAATTCTTACCATTTGTGGAACTCCAAATATGACTACATTAGAGTACTGTGCAAAACTGACCTATAAAAGAGATAGAGTAAATGATGTGTAATGTCATTTGTATTTAGTGTCTGAAATAAATTGAACTTTACTGTCAATGACAATAACAGCACTGGAGTGTGTAAAAACTTTATATCAGAAACGGTCAGATAACACACATACAACAAAACATACAATTGTATTCACTTAAACTTATGACAGGCTGCAAAAATAAACAACATGAACAAAAATATCAAGTTCAAAATAATCTTTGACTGTATCATCACTGTACGAAACAATCCAGCAAGCATGCAAAAGCCGGGACACTGAGTGAATATTCAAAGTGCGCTGTAGTAGGCAGGCAACAGCACATAGTCAGTGACGTAGGATCATTTGTTTTTGTACCAGTGAGAGTTCACAGTTAGCCTGAAAGGATGGTGGAGGGGTAAATCTGCCACCTTGCTTTCATGCACTTATAGAGCATAATAAAAGTGGCTTGCTCCTTTTATCATTAGCTAGTTACCTTGGTTATACAAGATTACCAGAGATTATGGATTTCTAAGATTAGAAATAATCTACATCTCTAGTATTAAGAGCAGGGAAAAGCTTGACCCTATATACACATGCCCTCTGGTCATCCACTGAACTCCAGTGCCACTGCTTTCCTATCAAAACTTACATGATAACCTGGAGCTTGACATGTACACACAGTCAAAGTATTTCAGGAATATAAATTATGGGGGGTGGTTGATAATTGCCTTTAACCTTTTGGTGTTTTGGAGGTGCTCATTTTCTAGGCTACCACACTGAGATAACAAACTTCAGTATAATACAGTGATCAGGAGGAACAACTACATGAACAAAAAATATAAGCAAAAACGTCTTACATCTTGCGCTTTCTAAAGGTGAAACCGGTCCCTGTTTCGGGTTCCAAGGAATACTGGTTGTTTTCAAATGTATGGATTTTGTGTTAGTACCATCAACCACACAGAGAAAATTTTATTTGAAGAGGTAGCAGAAGCTGCAAGCTGATTAGAGGCATGTGTGACAGGGAAGGGTTAAAACTTTTTGTATCTATGCTGAAGCAATTAATTTAATACAGACAAGAATATGGATGAAAACTGTATGTAAGCATCTGTTTGACCATGTGCTCACCTTCCACAGGTCTGATATATGAAAAGAGGTGCGGTGATGAACTCCTTCCCTCCAAGCTCTGTAACGCGAGTACCACACCAGCCATGGATTCAGCTCAAAGCCAACTGCGCTGAAACCCTGCTTTGCTGCAGCTATGACCTACAGAGGACAAGACAATCAGGAATGCAGCAAGTAAGAGAATAATCAAAATTTTCACCAAAGGTCTTTTTCTTGGTCACAACTAAAAATACTGCCAAACTGGCTTCACTGACTTACACTGAATGACAAAGAATGACAACTTTTCTCCTAAAATACACGAACAGCGACTTAAAAAGTACATTACATATATCTTTCACACATGAAACCCATTTTATATCCCACTGGAGGTTAGACATTGGCATTGGTTATTAAAATGTATATAAAAGCTATTCCCCATGATGTAAGCTAAATCTTGATAAGAAATCAGAAGTCAACACGTGTACATTTACAAACCCCAATTTTCATTACCCTCACCCTGTGTTGTGTTAGGTATTTATCATTTGATTAAAAGAGGAAAATCACTTTACATTCATGTCAGCACATCAGACTGGAGTTTTACTTAATGTATTAGGCCTGTTGCTTTGATTGCCTAAGTGTGAGCACGCCCTCATATGGCAACATGGCCACGCCCCTGCCAACAACATTGAGAGCCACTGAGGTCGACCGTTAGGCAAGCACGTCCGAAAGTCTCCATCCACATTTCTTCTGAAATCAAGGGGTTTTATAGGGAGTTTGTCCCTCCTTGGCTGCAGTAACAACTTCTACTCTTCTGGAAGGCTTTCGACTTGATGCTGGAACATTGCTGTGAGGATTTGATTACATTCAGCCAAAAGAGCATTAGTGAGGTCAGGTACTGATGTTGGATGATTAGTTGTGGTAGTTTTAGTATTCCAAACATTGGATTGAGCTCCATCACTTCAGAGAATGTAGAGCCACTGATCCATAGCCCAATCCAAGGCTTTGTAGCCCTCTAGTCTAAACTTTGCATTGAATATGGTGACGATAGACTCATGTGTGGCTGTTCCAGAGTGCGAATGTGGTATCAGCAATAGGTGGACCGTCACTAATTAGAAGAGGTGACTGGATACTTTTAGACTTACACAGACTGGCCATTTCACTAAGCCTCCTTATATCTACACTTATTGTCCATTTTATCAGTTCCATTTACCATCTATGAGCACTTTGTAGTTCTACATTTACAGACTGTAGTCCATCTGTTAGCCCCCTTTCACCCTGTTCTTCAATGGTCAGGACCCCCACAGGACCACAGAGCAGGTATTATTCACAGCACTGCAGTGACACTGACCCGGTGGTAACTGCTGGACTGAGAAAAGTCCACCTACCAAAAACATCCAGCTAACAGCGTCCTGTGACCACTGATACAGGACTAGAGGATGTCCACAGTGGACAGTGAGTGGACACAGTGTTTAAAAACTTAAGCAGCACTGCTGTGTCTGATCCACTCGTACCAGAACAACACACTCTAACACGCCACCACCACGTCAGTGTCACTGCAGTGCTGAGAATGAGGGGGTGGGGGTCCTGACTGTTGAAAAATAAGGTAAAAGGGGGCTAATGAACTATACAGAGAAACAGATGGACTACAGTCTGTAACTGGAGAACTGCAAAGTACATCTATATGACAAATGGAGCTGATAAAATGGACAATGAGTGTAGAAACAATAGGTCTAGACCATCACAGCAAGGTTTATCAGTCAAGCATGGAAAGGAAAGTATAAATGACTCACTATCCGTCCATCACCGCTTCCAATATCTACAAGAGTCCCCGATCTCGCTCGTAAAACATCCAGGACGTTTCTGACCTGAGTGCTGGTTGCAGGAACAAACGGAAGACAAACTTTCCTCAGGGCGGGCGCGACAAACGGCGCAGCGACGGCGTACAGAGCAAAGAGAGATCCTCCAACAGCGCAGGTCGCGATGATCCCCAACCGCCTTATCACCGGACTGCCCTGAGCACTGCCCTTAGCCTCCTCTGACTGACCTGAATCACACATCGTGGATGAACGTGTGCAGGACTCAGTGATCTCAGCTTAGGTCAGTCAGACCTAATAAAGCATGAGCTCACTGTCATCAGCGCGACCAGACAGCATTCGGGCACATTTACCCGAGCTTCTGTTTATTTACACACATGAACAAGTCCTGCATGTATAAAGAAGACGAGTGAGTGAGTGAATGAAACTCGCCAACGTGAGCCCTAAGTGTCAGCTGAGTGTGTGCAGCACGGGTGTCCGATACTACTCCTGAAGAAGTGTATTACCGCCCCCTAGTGGACTGGAGAGTGATGTAGCGCTACTCGAATTTAATACCCCTACGTTCTATTCATGGGGAATTCCACCAATTTACAAAATACTTTTAGAACTTTTCAAATATATTATAAAATTACAATTTTAGTGTTTTCTAGTGTTTTCTATATCTCTGCTTTAGATTACATCAAGTTTTTTCAAACTTAACAAAAAGTACAATTTTCTTGTATTACTAATTTTACCTAATGACTCATTACCAAATTGACACTAAACTAAATGCTTTAAGACCAACAACCTGTCACCAAAAATGACTGAATAAAAGCGTTGAAACCTTGGTAACAGGGTTGAATAGAGTAACAGGGTTGATCACAGAGATCATATCAAAATCACCATATTAAAAGTGGCTACAGTCAACAATTTATTATTGTAATAATTTTATTTTAAGTTAAGTTACTTTTCACAGAAATAAAAAAGCAACAGTCACTTTACTGCTTTTAAAAAGGTACTGGAACATAAAGTGAACTCTATTCATGGAAAGTGCTAACTCCCGTGTGTCAAGTCAGGCCCGTGACACAGTCCTATTCGGCCCGCGAAATTATTTTAATTCTCTATTCTTATTAGCCCGTTTCACCCTGAGATGCACTACAGTCCCCAGCATGCACTACGACATAGTGTGCATTCTGGCCCCCAACAGCAATCTCTAGGCCAGCGGTTGCACAAAAAGAAAATATGCCTGGTGTCTAGTTAAAGAAAATAGGATTACACTACCTAAAACATACATACATACATACATCATCTAAACCGCTTATTCTTCTGGGTCGCGGTGGGGTGCTGGAGCCTATCCCAGCTGTCATTGGGCGGAAGGCAGGATACACCCTGGACAGGTCGCCAGTCCATCGCAGGGCAACTACCTAAAACAATTTATTTTTATTTAAAATTATTTGTATAATATAATGAATAAGTATTTAATGCCTCTTTTGCTTTTGCAGTTTTGGCACATTTAGAATAAACAATGGCCTGTTCAGGTCATGGCAAAATGTTAAGCAAAAATGAAATAAAAACACAGCATAGTGGTTGAGTTTGACACCCCTCTGCTGGACATTTACCATTTTATTGTAACCTTCTGTTGATCTAGTTGGCCGGACGGAGGCGCCAAATCCCTACGGAGCCCGTTTTCTTTATCAAGTTTCTGATTGGTTGGTTGGTTGGTTACCTTGACAACCGTGATCAACGACGTGATTTGAGGTTTCCGTATGTAAAGAAAACAGTAGTACAGATTGGGACGGGCGATTATTTCAATCCCATACCTTAAATTGCTGATGAAGTGCAGAAGATCTTAGATCACGATGTGTTCCAGAGAATCCCAGATAGTGAGAAGATAACTCCGGTTGAGAACAATGCAGTTCCTGGAAATTATGAACCAGAGCCCAAAACATGAGGATAATGTTGCTGCATTGCCATTCAGAGTGCCTCACCTATGTCTCCTCTACAACCATTTGCAGTCAGTATTAAAATAAAAGGTGGGATGTCCTTTTTAACGTCTAAGCAACAGTGCCATTCACGTCAAGGGGGTTGAATCAGTGGACTTTGTAGAGGTTCCTGGCAAAGGACAGGAGTTTTTATTTTAGGGAAATCACTAAAGTGTGCAGGAAACTGACCCTCCAGGACTGGAGTTTCCCACCACTGCTGTTCAGTCTTCCCTACTTATCCCATTATTTCACTCATGAAGTACTTGCTACTTGTGTACCATTCTGAACAGCTGACTGGTAGTGGCCATACTGACTGACCTTTAAGTTGTTACATTCTCACTTTAGTCATCCTACTTGCTCAAAAAAGTGGACCCTGGTCTGAGACTCTGACTCTGAAGATTCCAACCTGTACAAGCAGCAATGAAGCAGAGCAATCTTGTCAACACCTTGTGGGACAGGTTGCATATGATGCATATCTACTCTGCAGTCTTGTATGAAGTAGTAGTTCAGCCAACCTGACCTTTCACTAGAAAGAGTGGCTCTCCTTTCCAATATAAGGGGGTTATCAACTGCGTGTATTCTAGTAGAGGTCACAGAGTTTGCAAGGTGCAACTGAAACTGGGCTGACTGAAATTATTCCTCAGATAATAAACCTTATCAGTGATTAGGTTGATCAGTATACAAGCAGACTGATCAACTGTGGATAGTTTCTGAGTGAATTTCAGTGGCTCAAGTTATCCATTTGTGCAAACTTTAGCTGTGTTATCTAGATTTAGAGTTTGATGGAAGGCCATATAGGTTTCTTTCTCAGTTTTAATAAACAGATAAAACTAGAGTTGTGATTGGAGAGAAGTTTAGCTTCCTCTCAACTAAAGCAAGACTTGAGATGGAGAACAAAATAAACACTTTGAGTAGACCTGACCTGTAAAAATGAGACGCATTGTAAATATCTTTAATAAACTTCTAGAACGTAGAGACAGTTATATGTGCCAGTTATGTGTTAATGATAAGGATATGACATACATAGAACAAAATTTAGATACATGTAGGCTTGTATGTTTGCAAACATTAAGAGGTGAAGAACATGAGCACTGTCGTTAGACATATTAGACAGAAACAGAGAGATGCATGTCTTGGATCATTCAAATCAATGGAAAAGAGTTCAGTGGTAGAAATAAGTGTCATTCAGATTCTTCACAGAGTCATCGATTCTGGATTTCAAACACTGTTATGATCCTAAAATGTACAGTACACACATACAGTGCTTGGGAGACAAGACTCCACCAGTCCAAAGTGAATCCAAAGTGCATAAGTTCCATCACATCTCACACAATATATACAGTATTGGACAGAGACACACGCCAGTTGAAGAATACAAAACAAATGTACTGCTTATAGATAATGCTAATGGATTTTTTTGGGGGTTTCTTTCATGGTTTTCTCAACATAAAATGCAAAACTAATTGATGTGCAGATAATTGGGGTCTTCTTCCATGGTCAATGTAATGTGCATGAGCCATAAAAGTCTCTGTCAGAAGTCATTAGATACCGATCGGTGCACAGTCCTGTCCATCCCCATTCTCCCGTGGCCGTGGCTGGTGGTAGGCCCGTCCTCAAGGTCGTCGTCCAGTTCGCACACCTCTGCGCCGTCTTGTGAGTAGCTGTGCTTCATCACCACAATGTTCCTGCGTCCACCGGGGAGGGTGTGATGCTGGAGGGGAGGAGGCTGTGGTGCCACTGCCTGCATCTCGGAGAGGATGGCGGCAGCGTCCCGCATGCTCAGGTCGCTGCGGCTACCTCGCACGCTGGACGCCTGCGAGCCACAGTGGTGCCCATGGACGCACTTGGAGGAGGAGCGCTGCAGCTTGGGGAAGTCCTCGGGTAGGGCCTCGCCCTCGGCTGATGCTGCCCGCCGCAGTGCACACAACTCGTAATGGGGTGGCTCAAAAGCCTCATGAAGGAGGGCGGGGTCAAAGTCATCTCGCCTTATGATGTACTTCTTTCGTGGCTGCCTGATCTGGATGATGATTGACACGGTCAGCAGAATGAGGACCACTCCACAGGTGATCGCGATTATGGTCATGTTGGTATTGTCTAGGTGTTCCAAGATGGTGGCCTTCCTTTTCTCTGAATGGGGGTCAAGCACAAAAACAAGTGACCGATCACAGTAAAGAAGTCTGTGGCCTGATTTGCAGGAAATCAGTGCGCTTACTTGGTAGCGATCCAAATCCAAAATTGCTGTTTTTCCCTTTTCCCAACTGTAATTGATCAACCAGGATGTTTACCATGTTTTTTTCTTTTTGTCTATTTTATACATGTGAATTATTTTTTCTGCATGAAATCATTCTGATTGCAAATTCCAAATGAACTGCTGATGAAAATTTCCATCTACATATGTGTTACATGTAATAAACTTTAGTGTAAACTTTAACCATAACAGCTAGAACCTTGGCAGTCTTCTCAGGTGGATCAGCATATTTTCAGTGTTTGTGGAGCTTTTTTTCATCTTAAAATATGCCAGTCTCAGCACAGCTATGTCATACAAACCCAATTAAAAAAAGCTGAGACAGTAGTTAAAATGCAAATAAAAGCAGGAAGCAGTGATTTGTAAAGTGTCCTTTACAGGTAACCAACTGAAAACAACACAAAGAAGTGATATTTAATATTTAACCTTATCAATTCTATTTTTTGTAAACATATACTAATTCCAAATTTGATGCCTGCAAAACATTAAAAAAATGGGAAGTTTCCACAAGTAAACAGCTGAATAGGTAACAGGTGATGGTATGATGATTGATTATAAAAGGAGCATTCAACAAAGGCACAGTTGCCACTTTGCGAAAAACTGTGTGAGCGAATAGTCCAGCAGTTTAAAAACAACGTTTCTCAATGCATGATTAAAAGGAATTTAAGGATTTACTGTCTACAGTCCATAACATTATTAAGAGATTCAGAGAATCTAGAGAAATCTCTGTGTGTAAAGGGCAAGGCTGAATAATAATTGCCTGTGACCTTCAATCCCTCTGATGGCACTGCATTAAAAACCAACATGCTTCTTTAATAAATATAATCACAAGGGTTCGGGAATACTTTGGAAAACACTTGTCAGTTTGTCAAGTTAAGATCCCACTACGCAAAGTAGAGCCAATATATTAACAACATCCAGAAACGTCGCTGATCTCTCTTGATTAAAGCTCATCTGAGATGGACTGACACAAAGTGTAAACATGTGCTGTGGTCTGACAAGTCCACCTTTCAAATGGTAATAAGAAGTAATGGATGTCGTGTTCTCCAGGCCAAGGAGGAAAAGTATGATCCTGACTGTCACTAACGCAAAATTCAAAAGCCAGTGTACGTTATTGTGTGGGCGTGTGTTAGTGCCAATGGCATTGGTAACTTGCACATCTGTGAAGGCACCAATTATTCTGAGGCGTATGTACGCGAAACATATGCTGCCATCTAGACGACTTCTTTTTTCACGATATCCTTCTTGTTTCAGCAAGACGATGTCAAGCCACATTTTGCACGTGTTACAACAGTGTGGCTTCATAGTAAAAGAGTGCAGGTGCTAGACTGGCCTGCCTGCAGTCCAGACCTGTCTCTCAATGAAAATGTTTGGCGCATTATACGACAATGCATATTTTAACATGAGAATATTGGAATATTTCCATACTGGTTAGTGTACCTTTGCATCCGTTCTCATCCCATGGATAGACACAGTTCTGTATACCATTGCACACTAGCGTGTGGTTGATACACATGTTGCTGTGGCAGAAGAACGCGTCTCCTTCACATGGAGCTAAGGAACATATGGAGAGAAATACTGTCAAGGCAGTAACACTAGTTATGTGCCACTATTTATGAGTATACATCTAATAAACTAGCTTACAAACTAAATAAATCCACATTATTTGTCATTTTAGTTGTGAACTATGGTGTTACTGAAATGCAAAGGGTAAAGTAGAGTTGCTCACGCTCTTGGAAGGTAGTGAAGAGGATGCGGAAACGGCTCTTGCGGCTGCCCTCGTCGGCCCACATGCGGATGACGCCAACCGAAGTGAGCAACATGACGTCGTTAGCCACTGTGCTGCAGAACTTATTCTTCAGGTGCTCCACTGAGCTGCTGCCGTCATAGACAGCCACAAAGTTACGCTTGCATTCATTCGAGTTCTGCATCTCGTACTCCAGGAAGCGTAAGTATATCTGCAGTAGAGATGGACCATGTACATTTAATTAAGTTATACCATGTGTCTCTGGCCCCACAATGCGGGCACCCAGGATGAATAATATCACAGATTTTATAAACAAACTACAACCCACATTCCAGAAACAAACTGTAGACACACCACTTATTTATTTATCGATTTGGTTGTTGTTGGCATATATACCACTAAATGATTTTTGCTCCAAACACCAATTTATTGTTTTGACTTTGGCTAGTCTGTATTGTAATTTTATGAGGTAATCAACAACTAATTGTGCATTTGTGCTGTATTTGAATGCTTGCCTCTTACTGTGGCACTTTATTTAGTTAATATTATTTTACAATTTTTTGTTTAACATTTTAAAATGCCTGTTTAGCCTATTAAAGAGCAAATAATCTCTATTGCAATCTCCATTGAAATCTCTATTGTGACTTTGGCTAATAGAAAATAGGGATACCCTGATATGTGTCACAACTAAACCTTACCTATAACATCACCTGAACATTCTGCTCTTCTACAGTACAATAAATCATCAAATATCAGTCAAATGTAAATATAACTGATGCCGCTATTTTTAAACAATTATCTGCCAATATGATATCATACACAATGACATGGTAATCATACTGATATGATTAGCATATCATTGTGAAATAGAAAGTACTAGAAATGTGCTAATGTCTTTCATGAGTTTGAACTTTAGGTTATAAAGAAGATGGCTAATAAAAATTGGCCAAAAAAAATCCGACCACCAATTTGGCTGTTAAGAAATCGAAATTGGACATAAAAATTCAGGATTGCCGCATACATCATTAATTTCTTGTGTCAGTTCTTGTGAGTTTGCTCGGTTTCTTTTTCTGTCAAATTTAGCAAATAAGTCCTAAAGATTCTGATCCATGATCCATGCAGATTCGGGAACTAGTTCCAGTTGTGAACCGGTTCCAAATTGTTCAAGCCATCGCTGTTGTATGGCTCAGAGGTTATCAAATCCTTTTATCAATGCCGACAGTTGGACATTGCAAAAAACTCATGTATCATGACGTCAAACTCGCCTACACTGCTGGAAACCAGCAACAAGAAGGAGATTTTTCTAAAGAAGAACTGTTTATTTTATCAATCAGTTTTATATTTGTTTTCCAAGTTAGATCTATTATATCTTTAGAAAAAGAGCATTGTAATTTATTTTACATGTTCAAATTTTATTAGGCAGACATTCTATGTGGGGACAGGCTCAGAGACAATAAAACAGCTGCGTTGACATTGAAAACCTGTGCAGACCTACTTTATCCACACAGAAAACTGATCAGGAATCAATTAGGGAATCGATGAGCAATCAGACTGATAAGCAGAATTGATAATGACATTGGTATTAATAAAATCTTATCAATTCCCATTCCTAGTGAGGAGGGCTTTACCTTTGAGCCAGGAGGGGCTCGGATGAACCACCTGCAGTCAATGGCCTCTGTCTGCAGAGCCCTGCCCTCTTTTGACACCATTACAGACTCGACAATGCCCTCGGGCCCGCTCATTTCAAACTCACACACTGCAACATGATGAAAAGCAAGGATCAATTCACTGCTGTCTAGTGTTCTTAGTATTGACTTGTTTGGTCAGAATAAATACTCACATGGTAGAGCCAGAGGGATTGAAGAATCTTTAAAATCAGGATCTGAAAAGCAAGCAGTGTGTGTTATAGTCTGAGACTGAAACTGTACTTAATGACATGAGTAAGCAGGTAATGTCACTTCCTGCCCTGTTGTTGCTCAACTGACCACCAAAGAACATCATCACCAGTTCTGAATTACATACACTTGGGGGTATTTTACAAAGCAGGATATCTAACTCTCTAACACTCACTTTTACTCATGCCAGCGCAACTTAGATGAGTGAGTGACTGAATGATTTATTCATTAATGAATCTATGTTGATTACGAAAATATAAAGAAGAAACAAGGAATCAGAAATCACTGTAGTCATTAAAACTGACCTGTGCCAGAAAAGGACAATGCATAAACTTGTGGACAGAAATGCATCTTCAAATCGGGCCACTTTCCCCCACACTTTCATTTAGAATGCGGTAGAATTGTCACAGCCTGCCATGCCATCTAGACCCCAGTACTGTAGCCCAGAACCCAAAGAACTTCATGTTTTTGCAGAGAAATCGGTCTCTTTATCTTCACTCCACTTACACTTTTTTCTAAAAAATCAACATGAACTTATTACTGAACCGCCTGCTAGTCTCAGTGAACTGAAAATAATAACACATTTTCTTTCTGTACCATGATGTATTTCCAAGTGACACACGGGGCATTTTCTCTCAATGATGGTGATCAGGGAGGTACAACAAGATATTTCCCCATCCGCTGCTGCATGATAACATAATCAAACATCTGAATATGTTTAGAGACAGATTAAAGTCAGTAAACTTTGATCCAAGATGACAGGAAAACAAGAATTTTGTCTTTTAAATAATATATGATAAATCATGCGACCAGGGACATGAACTAACAAGGTAAAAAAAGTCACTTATGATTTCAAGTTTAATACTGTTGCCATATAAGGAGATTTGAGCCTACTCCTTAGGCTGCTGGCATGTTCACTTGCGCAATATTTTAAGACGATTTGTGGTTAATGAACAGGAAAGATTTAGGATTTTTTTTCCATGCATATGGATGTTTTAGAAATCACTTTTACGATCTTTATAAATGAAGGACCTGCTTCGTGAAATACTTCTCTTATCCTTACTATATCTGATTACAGTTCGACTTTCCTGTTTACTCTTTGAGAAGTCTCACCTATGTTTTTTGCATTTCTGAACAGTGTTATCTAGTGTTTTTGATGACTTATTTTGCTTTCTGAGTTTTGATATACCTCTTTAACCTTTTGCTTGGTTTTATTAATAGTGGTTTGCTACCTGGTACCTTTGTATTCTGCTGTTTGGTCTGTTTCTCAAGTTCCTTTTCATTACATCTACAGATCAATCTTTATCCTGCTGATATATGACAGGTAAATGTATTTTTACTAAGCTGATCATGTTAAAACATTTTTTCCAAGATCATATTAAAACAGTATCTAAAGGTGAACATGCAGTACAGCTCTAATACTGAAGCGCTATTCCTTCCCGTCATGTTATTTGTTGGCGTGAATTCTTAGTTTTTAGTTCAGATTAACAGCAAACGAAGCATGAGATACATGAGACTGTTTTCTCTCTAACCTTGAAAGAACTCCTGCCAGTGGTCCAGAGCAATCACCCACTTTTTCCTTACATGATAACTGTACATGCAGGATTAGGGAATGAGAAATGATGTCCTGAGGCCTCCCAGTCATGATTGTACGTAGATTAATAATCCTCGTACCAGCTTCATACAGATTAGGTTGCCCTATTACATTAGAAACACAGTAATAAGATACAGGCCTTCAAGGTATGTTTTTCCTGTCTTCATTTGTAGATTTTATCTTTCTTTCTCTGCCAAAATGAATGTGAAAAACCTGCGAAAGCAGTTCTGCATACAATATATTCCCATTTTTCAAAGTTCCCAAACAGAATCAGTGTAACTAAGGTTTCAATCTAAAAATCATCCAGGGATCCTCACTAATCCTCTCATGGTTTCTTACCTCTGCCACAGCTTGGCACGGATTATTCAGTATGCTGATGTAACAAGGCGAATGCCTGCAGGACTGGAGGGAACTGTATATTTACCATAGCCTAAGCAGTCCTTTAAATTGGAAAAGCATTGCGAATCAATGGATTAATACACTGGCGACTGCAAAAAGTACACAAGATACAAGAAATGTTTTTGTTTAATGAACTACTACATTTTTTTTCCTGTGATTTTTCACTAAATCACATGGTGGTTAATTCATTATCCTAAGACAGATGACAGGATTTAGGGATAGATGAGTGTTAATGCTCAGGGTTTATTAGGCATCTGTGGCAACTGCTTCAGTAAACAACAACAATTTTTACCCAAACAGTGAGTAGTCAGAGAAATAAGCAGATTTTACGAATCAATTCTAAGACGTGTCTCATTAAGCATGCAGCTCTACTTCAGTGTAGGTATTAAAATGATACTTTGTTCATTTGTGCCAAACTGAACACTTTGCTGTCAAGTAATAGCAAATATGCTTTAATAGGACCATCAAATGTCTTAAAATGAGGTTCACTGAAATCTTTTTTGCTAGATTTAACTGAATTATCAACCATTCGGATTTTACACGCTGAGAAAACCTCTGTTTATGTATATAAAAATTACTCTCATATCAGGCCATTGATTCATTTGCTGAATGTCCTATGAGCTATGGTGGTTCACAGAAATTCACACGGTTGATGCACTGCGTAGTGAATCTTATATCCCGTCAAATCTGTTGAGGATAAATGCAGAGCCCAGGGCTCAGGGTAGTGAGGGGGGTAGAATGTACTCTCCTAAAGACAAGCTTTCATTAACTGGGATGAGAGACAACACTACTCCCCCCACCTCCACCCCCACCCCCCCTCAGCTGCTGCATGTGTGCCTGCACTACAAATAGTGAGCCTTCTGATGTGGTCACTGGATTTAACCCATCCAAAACAGACAGAACTAAGAATAACCCTTACACTAAACAACCCCAATGCATATAGGTTGCAGAGACAATTCATTATAGCAAAAGGTCAAAAGGTCTGTTGGTAGTTAGTGTACATCTATTCAAAACCTGACCAAGCAAAACAACAATAGTTCCACACACTACATAAAAAAATCAAATAGGCAGCATCTTTAAATAAAGTTCTTTAAAAACCTAACAACACTGCCTATTTGTGTTTTTGTTTTGTTTTGTTTTTTTAGCTAGAACTGAAGAATTTGAATAGACAAACTAAAATTCTGGGTGCATATAGATGTAATTAAAATACGCTCACATGTCTACATTTAAAGGGTTATTTCCACTAAGGTTTATGTACACTATGGTAAAATTAGTAGAATTATGTGGTGTGATCAATAGTTAGCTAAGTTTGGCTAGTTTTCCATGCACATACATTTTCTTTACATTAAGGGTGAAAAAACCTGCACCTGATAGTTGTTTCCAATGAGAGGCACATTCATATATCAAGTGTCATTTCAGGCAAATTAGAGAAATTACCACACAAAAATGCTTATCTAAACAGAAAAAAACTCACCTGATAAAGACATGATTCGTTACAGTCTAAAGCCACATGCCATATGTGCTATGCATCAGGTTTTATTAGTAAAGACATGGCCCACAAACACATAAACTGTGGCGGATTTAGTGGGCTTATCTGAAGGACATACTTTTGTATACCAATGACTTAAGTCTAAATGCCGCCCTTACCTTGAGTGAAATTGTACCTTGCGGAAAATCCAATGGCCTCCAGCTCACTGTCCGCAACAAACTTAATCCATAGGTATCGCCCGCTGGACCTGACATACATAGGGCTCTGCTGGCCGCAGTATCGCCCGATGATGGGAGAAAAGCTAAAAGGGCCGTCTCTAACTTCAATGTGGTCAAACTTGCACTCCCACGATGGCTCTATGGAGTACTTTTCATCAAAGTACAAGTCGATGCACTGTCTTGGAGAAGCTAAAAGAGATATAAACAACACATCACATATAGAACCAAGAAGCAAATAAGCTTAAGCAATTACTGATGTTACAAGCATTTCACACACTTGCCTTCTATTATATATGTGCATTCTCTATCAGGAGGGTATTTATCAGGATAGTTAGGGGATGTGAAATATCCTCCATCAGGTTCTTTAACCCAGGCACCGCACAGACCCTCGGGTGTCACTCCGGAGTTGTTTGTAACTGAATACAAGTATGAAAAACATTAATTTTTGATTGGTTCATGTGGCTTTTAAAGGGCAGTTTTACTGAATGACTCAATTTAAGATTAAGATGCACAGAGGCTTATCGGAGAACTACTGAAACAACAAGTGAAACTATAATGGGCTGTCACTGCTCAGTTGAGTAACTGGACTGGACTGGACTGTTGGGTAAATGGAGAATTTCATTACCTTGAGCCTTCTTTTGTCCTGTTAGTGCTCCAGAAAAGCCCTGTTTGGTGAGAGCTGCAAAAACTGAAGTAAAACATGAGTAATGCCTTTAACTTGTTTTACACTGCACACAGATACTAAATTCAGCAAAGTCTGGCGTTTTACCATTACAGTTAGCTAGGAAAGACTAGTTACTTTCAATGTAACTGTTATGACAAATGTGACTGGCCATATTTTGCCTTTATCATTACTTAAAATCAAGGCTGGTCAATAAGTAAAAGGGCCTGAATAAGAGCGATTATTGACTAAAATACAGATTAAACCGTCTGTTGATTCATATAGTTGACAGAAACTACAGTCTCAAGATCTAAAACATGGAAAAACTAACTGACACGTCCATAATTCTCCCCTCAGACGGTGAGAAGTTGTGCTCTCTCTGCTAGTTTGACACTGAGGCGAACTGAACTCACCGAAAAGAAGCAGAAGTGCTGGCGGGGGAAGCATGGCTCACCACAAGGTGTCCAACTTTGAAGTCCATGAAATGCAGATGTGTAACGGCTGACTGGGTGGACGAATAACGATGCTGACCGGACGGGGCTCCTAAATATGAAGAGCACAGCAGCGGCTCATTGGTGAGTCTGAGAGGAGGCGCTGGAGCTCAGCCGCCACCGCTAACGCTAATCCTCCCCTCAGCGCTGAGAGCTAACCGGTGGGCACCGTGAGTGGATTAAGAGGGTTTGTCATCAAGATTCAGGGGAAAAAACCCAGGGAGTAATTTCAGAGGAGTAATATGGCCGGTGGAAAAGAAAAAAGACCCATAATGTGACCTTTCCTAACACAAACTGAGAGAACCGAGACTCTGTGAGAAATGAGAAATCTGACAAAGATTGAACGCCGTAAATCTATATAATCCCCTTCCACAAACTCGGGTCAAGGACAAATATTACAGAAGTCATCTCCGCTGAACTGCTCGATATCGGACATGCACTATTTCACTTAACGCTGTCGTACACTCTTAAAAAGATGGCTTTTTAAGGGTTCTTTAGTAAAAATTTGGTTCTGTGTATAACTATATAGAACTCAAAGAACCGCTTACATGCTTAAACGGATCTTTGGTTCTTCAGATTGATGGAAAGTGTGTTGTATGGTTCTATATAAAACCTTTTCGAAAATGGTTCTATAGCACCAAAAAGGGTTCTTCTGTTGTTGCAAGCTTGACATTGTGACAATAGCAGAACCCTTTTTGGTGCTATATGGAACAATTTCAAAAAGGTTCTATATAATATGAAGGTTCTATTGAGTAGAAGTCATCTTCATGGAGTGTGTGATATTCAAGAACGCTGACTGATGCTCAAACCACACTTGTTGGGGTTTTCTCTTGTAAATCAGCCTTGTTCTTTGGGTGCTCAGTACAGATTTTTTAGAACACCCAACATGTTCACTGGGCTCTAAGTTAGGGCTCAGGGTTTTCCATTTTCTGTAATGAATTTCTGAATTCCTGAGTGGCTTTTCCTGTGTGCTTAGGTTTGTTTTCAGCCCGCATCAAAAAGCCACAAGTTTGGAAATGTCTGGATGTATTTGCCTAACATCTGGGGGAAGTGAGCTGTCTGACCACTGTACCCTGCAGTGTGTGATTTGTTTCAGATTGTTTGGTCTGAGATTAATACATTTGCACTCTTAAGTCTGTAAAGGGACAACTCAAATGTGGAACAGAGTCCAGGCTATTGAGACACACTCAATTTAGAGATGCTTTAAACCCCTTAAATGGCCAAAGTTTTATTTATTATTCTTACCAATTTTCTTACCAATCAGTTGAGTTCCTGTGCATTTAAATGTATTGTTTTCATTAAAACATACAATCAAGACCCAGGCCACGAACTACTATACTGATGTCACGAATTACTATATCAAGACCACAAATTACTATATTGAGATCACAAAATACTATATAAAGATCACAATTTAATATATTTAAGCCACAAGTTATGAGAAACGTAACGTGTGCCCTCAATATAGTAATTCGTGGCCTTAACATATTAATTCGTGGACACGCCTTAATAAAAAATAATCACCATGTCACCGTAGGGCTCCGTAAATAGCATTTTCTACATTTCAAAAGGCTCGCACAGGCAATACAGCTCGTGTTTGTTGAACATCCCGCGTGTTTCAGCGGTGCTGAATTTCGTCCTTGACCGTTTTCTCTGTTCCTCTCCTGCAGGGGGCGGCGCGCGCGCTGCGTGTTTCCCGAGACACACGCGGAGAAGAAGCGCGAGACTCAAGAGTGCGAGCGGTAACACAAGACACTGCGGTATTTATCTATATACGATTTTAATTCATTTAAAAGATATATCCCGCTAAAATAACCCGCTTGTGTCGTTGTGTAGACTACGTTATTCGTTTCTTTCATGCGAAGCTGGCGGTGAATCTCCGGCTGCAGTGAGTCTGGGCTCGCAGTGAAACGCGGCCTGCAGTGAAAACCAGGACAAAAACTACCGTTAAAGCCTCGGAGCTCTATAGGACACAAGACTAACAGAGAGTGTGCTTTAAATTTGAGTTACATTTATGCTTTAAGGTGGATAGAAAATTATTGTGTTTACACAGGATAAACTCTGTAGATATGAGCTTTCGGATTTAGTATCAGTTGACCACACTGCACAATGTCGGGGCTGTGAGCGGGATATAAGAGACTGGAGAAAATGAATCAAACCGACATTAGAAAGAAAGAAAAAAAGGACACGAAGTCATTTAAAACTCGTCGCGGTTTTAGCTGAACTCGCAGCAGCAGCCGCAGAGCTCGGTGGGCCGCGCAGGCAAACTAGCTAGCAGCGCTAAGCTAAGCTAAGCTACGCTAAGCTAATTTAAGCTAAGGTAAAACCGGCTGTACTTCAGCCGTAACCTTCCCGAGCCCGTTATAAAACGGTGTAGTCAGTCACGGTCCCGTGTTTAGAGATATATAATAGAGGGTATCTGAAGAGTCAACAGTAGCACTTTATTAGCTAACGGTCTCTTCGTGTCGGATGATTTGAATCAAAGCGCCGTTAGCCTCTCTGCTAGCCCGCAGGGGGAGCGCTCTGCTGTTTTGACTTTCAAGCCTGATATCGCTTTAAAGGGGGATTCGACCGGTTTTACATTTTTTGCGTAATTCCGTCGTTGACATGTAAATAAAGCCATTCAGAGTGGTTTCATGTAAAATTGTTAGTTGTAGAGAAATAGTCAGATTTCTTTACAGTGGCGATGATAGAAACCAGGGGTCGCGGTGTATATAGCACTACTATAGCTATTATATTTACTGTATAAAGTTCCCGTTTATTTTTGCTGCTCATACAGCCAGGAGTAATACTTCAAATCTTGTGAAAATTAGTATTTGTAAAAACTCTTGGTAATTTTGGTGGACATTTGCTAAGTAACTAGTTATCACGCACCAGTGCGTAGTTTCTTTACACTTACATTTTAGCTAGCATGTTACAGTATTGTGTTTTGGTGATGTCTCTCGATGTTTTTCAGCAGTTTTAGGTCACTGAGAGATTGTGAGTGAGTGATCTGGCAAAGTCTTCTCACTGTCATCTCATCCTGGTCTCCTCAGTAAGCTGTGGCCTCGTAGGTAAGTTGTGACTTTGTGGGTTTTTCTGTCATTGCTGAGATTTTCTCCACATTCAGGTAAACCATTTTGAGGTTTCAGTGATTGACAATTCCTGCTAGATGCTTATATGCATAGTTACGTGTATTTTCATGGATATAATGTGCAGTAGGGAGTACTTGACTATTGTACCTGAGCATTATTTTGGATTTTTCTTCTCTTGCCAATCAGTTGAGTTGGTGCATATTTTAATTTACTGTTTTGATTAAAATATCTTGGAACAATTTATCAGTCATATAATGTTCTGTTAATTGTTCTGTGTCCATTTATTTTAAAATTGGATAAATTAATGTAAAATGCATTCAGATAATTGCTAGGTTTATTCAGAATCCTGCACGCTGGCCACCTGTCATTCATTCATGAGTTCTGAATTCCTGTGTGCTGCTTGCAAGATGATAAAAGCAGCTCTGGCAGATTAGTTCTGCTCTCTGGTTTAAAGATGCTGCTTTCACTTGCTCACTTCTTTACTTTCCCTTCAGAGAGGCAAAGCGCTGATGATGGAGAATGGTCAAGGCATGGGCTCCAAGCTGGCCCTGCCGCCCCTCACTCCGGAGCAGCAGGAGGCACTGCAGAGGGTAATATATTTATACTTTTTAGTTTTGCTGCATTTTAATTTTGCTCTTTTTTATTTATTTTTTATTAAGTACATTTAATTGCTCCATTTTGGGGTTGAGCCAGGAGCCTTTATGTTTAAATTGTGTACAAGTCATAGGACTAAAAGATTAATAGTTAATATGTAGACAAAGGGAATTATTTTCATATCATATCAAAATCTCAATTTGAAAAAGTGCACTCTTCAGTTTGCAAGTGCTTCAATTTTAATTATAGCCTACATATCAACAATTGTAAGTGAGAAAATATAACCCAATAACACAGCCCATGAACTGCCTTTGATTAGTCAGACTAATAAGAAACAAGCCATGTACTGTGTACATGACATCACAACCGCGTGTATGACAGATTACTGATGTTCTTGGTCAAAAAACAGGCCTTGACATTAATTTACAGAAAATAATTACTAGGCAAATTTAGGAATGCACCGATGCCCCATTTTTCCCTTGTGATATCGATAACTGACCCTTCAGTATCACCCAATATTTATATTAACTCTTTAACCTAACTAGCTTATGAGTTCTGATATGTAGAGTTCCACCTTTTAAATATTTTATTTAGGTAAAAGCGGTGTTTCTTGTCACTAATACAACATATCAAGCCGGAATGAGTGGTATTTACTTGTTGTATATTGTATATACACCATTTTAGATGCTTAAGACTAACCTATATTTGACTATGTAATATATATAGTTAGCATTTAGTATTATATATTAGCGATAAGTATTTATTGTGCAAAATAGTTAAGAACAGAATTAAACAATATATAGATACAACTATGGTCTTTGCAGCGTCACTGGCTCAGCAGCAAAGGGTTGTTTCACATTCAGAATTCTCAAGTCATTTGTCTAATATGTGTGTCTTGTACACTCAAGCTTACGTCTTCGAGCGTCAAACTGCTGTAGTTCAGTACAATATACTATTGGTTAAACCAAGACTAAAGGCTATCATTACCCCAAGAGACCAGTGGTTTCTTCCATATGTCTCTGTGATGTTCGCTCCCTCGATTACAACCTGCACTACTGGTAACTCAGACTGTGACTGACTACACAGTGGGAGATGAGTGATTACTTAAAAAAAAGTGTGGCTCAGCCATTCTGGTAAAAGATTACTGTTAATGTGTTTTATGCTGTTTGTATGTTGCGTTGTCTGATGTATTTGTGACATATCGGTGAAACCAACAGCTTTGGAAAAATACCAAACAGTATATCACCAACTACTACTGCCTTTCCAGAAGATGCTGCCGTTACAGATTTTGCCATGAGCATTTTTACATATGTTTACATTGCATATCAACCTACACCGCCGACGTGTTAAGTTCCGTCTACTGGCGCTCATCAGACGTTGTGTTGTGGTATCTGTATCTCCATTGCCAATACTGATCCTGCGTTTAAGTGCCGGTATCAGCACCGATACAGATAGGGGATAGGTATCTGTGCAACTCTAATTTACATTACATATAAATCACCTAGTCCTACCATTGCACCATCTTTGGGGTTAGATAGTCGAAAGTACTCACCTGTGGTCTCACATTGGTGTTCTGTAAATTTTTTTGCAGGCAAAGAAATATGCCATGGAGCAGAGCATTAAGAGTGTCCTGGTCAAACAGACAATAGCCCACCAACAGCAGCAGCTTACGAACCTGCAGGTGAGCAAAGATGAAAATCTTTTCTTGCAAAGCGTGAGATCCAGTGAGTCCTGCATCGTTCAAATCAGAAGTCCATAAAATTGTCTGTCAGGGGGGTACTGAAAGCATATAATAAAATTAAAACTGTAAGACTTGTATATTCCAGTATTTCATATGCAGAGCAGTCTAGGACTGAATGGATGATGATGGAGAATACAGCTTGAATAGTTTTAGGCAAACATGGAACCCTTCATTTATAGACTCGTAGCAGAAACTAACAATTTTGGGAGTGTGAGTGTGATATTTAGGTGTTTAGATGGAAATGCTGATGCATGGCTTAAAGTGAAACTAGTGCCCTGTTACGATTACCATTCTTACAGCTTCTAGTATTTTTTGAGTTTGCGTTAACGTTGAAATTTTTGTCTGTGACAGATCATATTTAATCAGTGCAGTGCAATACTTAATGATCTTTGCAGAGGATTAAAAAGTTAGTCAGTTGCTGACATATCCAAGTAATGTGCCCAGTTTATAACTACATCACTACTTATATCGGTTATTTTTCATCTTACTAAACGCATCAATAATACATGATTGTGTCAGTATTAGTGCATGCCCCAGATGGACCTTATTTTACCACCTTATGTTTTGAAGTTTAAAGTGTTCAGACTAACTTGGTGCTGTTTCGTCTTCTTGCCTGGCCTGTGTGTGTTCTGCTGTGGCGGTCTAGTGATGCAGTTTAAAAATGGGATGTTAAGACATGGCTTTAAGTGAAGTGAGGTACTTCAATCAGTTACAGACTAGACAGGCAGCTGCAAGTTCTGACTTCTGTCTTCTGTCTGTATTTTAATGTCTGTCTTGCAAAAAGAAATTAAACAAAACCAAAAAAAGAAATATCTAACCTACTTTTCAGCACTTTTCCATCTTTACTGTGTTTCAGATGGCAGCAGTGACTATGGGCTTTGGAGATCCTCTCTCACCTTTACAATCGGTCAATAGAAATATTAAACTCATTTTTGTTTTCATTCTTTGTGCGCATTTTGGTACTATGACTGTTACCCTTTTTAGACTAACTTAACCAGGCCAGATTTTCAAAACTGATGACCAGACATTTGCCTCAGCATATTTCAAAAGTAGACATGGCTTTTTATTTTATTTTTTTGCTGCGAATGAAATGTGTTTGTGTTTGGTCACCCATTGCATAACATAACAACAAACATAAATGGACAGGGTTTTTTTTTTTTTTTTTTTTTTTTATCTGAAGGCACACTTTTACATGACGTTCACCATTCTAGTAATTGTAATGCATGGAATTGTATTTGGGCTGAGATGTAGGTGAGAGAAGGAATAAGAGGGTGTTTAGAACATGCGTTTAAAGAGCCTAGGTCTGTTCTTAACAGTTACCTTTTCCAGTTTCATTATCATTGCATGACTACAAGCACTCAATCCACCAGCACTTGACTGTCATTGCATGACTACCAGCACTTGGTCACACATGACTAAATTCGCACAGTTACTTTTGATACTGTACCTGGGTAACCGTGCTGAATTTAGTTGCCCTTCTTGCCATGGTACGAAGCTTACTGAAAAACGAGTGGAGCTAGGAGTAGCGCAGACCGTTGAATGGTCAAACAGTGTTGTCGCTATTCCTCAAAAAGACTTGCTAGCCAGTAGGGCTGGGCAATATGACAATATAATGGTGATTTGTATCACAGTATCCTTTTCTAAGTATATTGTGGATATCGTCAGTGCTTAAAGAACACTGACCAACTGCATTTTTAATTACAAAGAAGAGCACAATTAGTCCTGTTTAATTGGATTTAGTGCAGTATGTCAAATGTTAAATATAAATTATTGTATTGATAGTTTTTGCTGGTATATTTTAAATGTGGCACTACTGTGTTTTTTTGGTGGGTTCCAACTGACCAGATACCAGAAAAAATAAATATAGTTTATTGTGTAAGTTTTTGAAATATCTCGACATATTTTTGGCATATTGCCCACCTGTGCTGGCCTTAGTTGGTGTCAGAGTACAGAGTAAAAAGTAAATCCGAGCTTGAAGCTCTTTCATTGTTGCTACCATTGACTGCATTTACATGCATACCAATAATATGATCGTTATCGAATTTCATCAGATATCTGATTATTCAAATGGTCATATAAACAGCATACTCAGGTTTCTTAGATCGGATTAAAGAGGACCTATTACGCTCATTTTTATTTTTGAGGTGTGCTAGAATGGATTTACATGCTTCAGTGTTCTAAAAACACATTTTTCTCATTCTGTGCATCTCTTTTCACCCTCTAACTGAAACAATCTGTTAGAGCTCCTATGTCTTTAAGTCCTGCCCACTAATGTGCTTTCAATGTGGATACAAAACTGAACAAACTCTTCCTGGCCTCCAGTAGTTGCTGTGTGTTGTGTAAGAATGTGTCAACCTTGCCGGTAGGTGGGCAGTAAGGGTTGTGTTATGAGAGGGCGTCATCTTGTAACAAAGGAAATGGGCTGGTATTCCGACGAGGCGTTTCAGGCAGCTGAGAAAAGTGGTATCTTTGGGAGAGACTTGCATCCTCTGTCATATACTTTGACCTTTGTAACTTTGCAGACTATTTAAAAAAGCACAAAAAGCTATGTAAAACACCAAAGGAAAGGGAAAAACCAAAACAAAGTGTAATGGGTCCCCTTTAAGGATGTGATTGGAAGAAATACAGTTTATATTTAGCTCCGTAATCTGATTTTTCAGTGCATGTATTCCTTCATTCTGATTTGTTGAGTGCTGTCCTGGAAACAGCAAACAGCGTTAACAGAGAACCCTCGAGATGGCAACAAAACACTTTTGGAGTGATGCTGACAAAATGAAGAAATTTAATATTCTTCTCCGTGTAGCTGATGTATATTCTTATGTTCTGGAAAATTCCTCATTTAAAAAAAAAAGCCGTGGCATGACGTTTGAGTTATTCGTTATGTTTACATCACATCTTATTCTGTGAGCTTATTGGTGGGCTGCAAAGCAGAAAGCAGATTATTGCCTGACTCATGTAGACCTGAAGTTTCCCATTATCTGATTACCCATGTGCATGTAAACATGTTGAACAAATTACTGACAATCTGATTTTCAGTAGTGATCAGATTATTAAGTGCATGTAAATGCACTCATTGTGTTTACTGTGGTATGGAATGTCAGCACCACACAACCTACTGAGAACCCTTCCTATCACATGTACCATTGCATGATGGGAAATGGACCCGGGTACTCGAGTAGGGTACAGATAGTTCTGGGTTCAGATTAGTAACCGAACTGTCATATCACACTGTTCTGTGGAAAAGTGTCTTTAGTGTGGCCACATTCCAGTGCTCATCAATACAGATACACTTTATGTACAGTGAGTGTCTGGGTGTGTGTGTGCGTGTTGGTTGTGTTTTGGGGATGTTGGAAATCCATGTCTCCTTTGCAAATATGCTGTAAACTATCCATGGCACCTTGGTCTGATATAAAAGAGGGCTAGCAGTCAACACAGCAATCTAAAAGAAACAGAGGCGATTTTGATTTGGTAGGCAAATTATCTAAAGCAGGGGTGCCCAATCCTGGTCCTGGAGATCTACCACACTGCAGAGTTTAGGTCCAGTTCTAATCAAAAACACCTCAGTCAGGTAATGAAGGCCTTCAGAGGCATCTGAATATTAGCCCCAGGTGTGTTGGATCTGACCTTTTTTGCAGGGTGGTAGATCTCCAGGACCAGGATTGAGCACCCCTGATCTGAAGATTGTAATTGAACATATTATGTTCATTAAATACCATTACGTTATGTTGTTTGTGCAGAACCATCCTTCCTCTTGCAGAATTCCAGTGTAAGTCCAAAAGCCTTCAAGGAAAACACTTCAGGTTTAAGCTCGTATTAGTGTTTTTGTGCTGGTATGGATTTTGTTGAATATGTTGACAATCTTGTTTGGAATCCATGCAGTCATAACTGTACATGTTCTGAAATGTGTGCTGTGCAGGCCCACAGTAAAACCCCTGAGCTTGCTTCATCACTGTCAAAGTGAACCAAAGGGCTTCTCTGCATCTTCTCAATTAACTCCCTGGCTTATATGCATAAGTTGTAAGTTAATACACAAATGAATATGAAAACTGAAGACGACTAGAACTAGGAGCTACTTATTCAGGCACTTGTTTGAAACTGTAGTGAAGATGTTTGCCATTTTTGTTTGTTGTGTTGTCTCCTTTAGCATTCTTCAGCAGTCAGTATTACCTCTCTCTGTTTCTCCCCTACCTGACCACCAGGTGGCAGCACAGAGGCAGCGAGCTCTGGCAATCATGTGTCGGGTCTATGTGGGTTCCATCTATTACGAGCTTGGCGAGGACACCATTCGGCAGGCCTTTGCCCCGTTCGGTCCCATCAAGAGCATCGACATGTCCTGGGACTCTGTCACCATGAAACACAAGGCATGCTTTCATCTTGTGTCACAGTAGTTTTCTCAAAGTCATTTAAATTCTGCTGACATCTGATTGTACCACAGAAATAAATATAACTTTGTGGGTGAATAAGTGGCAAACAGTAGGCTTGTGTTCTTATTTTATTTTTTCTCTTTCTTGCAGGGCTTTGCTTTTGTGGAGTACGAGGTGCCTGAGGCGGCTCAACTGGCCCTGGAGCAAATGAATTCAGTCATGCTGGGTGGGAGGAACATAAAGGTGGGTAGTGGGCCATTAGAGTATGGGATGAAGCCAGAGTTACTACTTCAGTGGAAACTGATGTGTTGAGCTTAGTTACTGCAAAACATTCTTTTCCTCATTGTTTAATATTTAAGTCTAAATGGGTGGAAAATGGTAGTAAATCTGACAATTTTTTGACTAAGCCTTAACCATGTTTGTAAGACCAATGTTTTCTTTAACCTGTTTCAATGCAAAAATTCTAATTACACCAATAAGTAGATATATGGATTCATACACAGTTTTTACACAGATTTGAGAAGTTTTGCCTCTTACTCTCTCATGATTAAATTCATGATCAACATAATGAGTGTGGGCTGTTTTCACTATACTACCTCTGTGTGACAAGAATTACATCTTGCTTTTAATTTTGTTTTCAGGCAAAATTTTCAGACTCGTTTTGTTCGTTTTTTTTATATGCGTGCAACAGACTTCATTCAGCAAAATATAGAGAAATAAACTATATTAAAAAAAAAAAACAATAAAAATTGACTAGCTGTAGTACGTGGTTACAAGAGGCGGTGATTTCCAGAATAATAATAGTATGTGTGAGTGGTGAATTCGTGCAAGCTTGCTCATGTACTGCAGAGGTTGTATGTGTGAAACAGGCCTTAGTTGAGTGTACTACTATTTCAGCTTCGAAATAGCAGCTAAATGGGATCACTAACTGCTCAAAATTACTGTCCTCTAGTGTCATGCTTCTTTCTCTGTTCAAACAGCAAAAACATGTTCCGCAAACCTCTAAGCAGTTTTCAGAAGAAAAGGGGCAAAAGAACTTGAAGAGCTTTGCTACTGTTCTTGTTTTGTGTTTTACTCTTGAATCTGATGTGTTCGTGCCTGTGAGTGTGTGGGAGTAAGAGCGGCAGTGGGGCCTTCTTGTGTTTGTGCTGTTTGTGTGGATTTGTGTATGCTGTGTTGTTTATGCGTGTTCTGTGTGAGCATTTTCACGTCTGTGAACTAACCTGTGTTTGCCATGTGGCTTCTTTGCTGTCCTGTTTTTGGAGCTCTGTTTTCTGTAGGAGCTGCAGAGGCTGGGCGCACACTCGTGCGCGAGTTTCTCGCGCGTCTCTCTCGCGGCCGGAGTGTGCTGATGATGGGCTGTGCCTGGCTGGTGTTGCTTGGCCGCCCCACCTGCAGCACAGATACTGCACAAGCCAACAAAATAAACTTTCAATCTTCACAATCGCAATACATCCACATTTAGGAGCACACTGTTCACTATTTCTTTTTCTGACGGAAACAAAGCTAATTTCCACTTGCAGTATTTGTTGTCAGTATGGAAAGCTGCACAGGTAGTGTGGAAGTGCTAGTGCAGTACCTCAAAAAGTACTTCCAGCTAGCCAAGTTATTTGTTTGTTATAGATGTAACATTTTTTCTTTGTGTAGCATTATATAATTTTGCTAGTGCAGTGCAGGAGATGGCTTCCTACAAAAATTGTAATTTTGTTCATATTATGGGAGCAGTGGACTGATGGAACTGGAAGAATGAAACAAAAGCTTGTTTGCCATGAAGTTGGTAAGGTCTTGTAAGCAGAGGGATACTGGTAAAAGCTTGGTGGAAGGGTTAGGTAGCTTTGCAGTTAAATTTGTAAACAAGCTTGTCTGCCTTCATAATGCATCAGCTGACAGATGCGCTAAGGCACATATTTGGATACCACACACATTCAGCCACTCGCTTATCTTCATACACTTGCGCTCAGTAGCCCCTGTGCTGGTATGTGTGCTGTAGGTGGGGCGGCCAAGTAACATCGGACAGGCGCAGCCCATCATTGACCAACTGGCAGAGGAGGCGCGCGCCTACAACCGAATTTATGTATCCTCGGTGCATCCGGACCTGTCTGACGATGACATCAAGAGCGTCTTTGAGGCCTTCGGCAAGATAAAAAGCTGCATGCTGGCCCGGGAGCCCACCACAGGGAAGCACAAGGGCTACTGCTTCATTGGTGAGCAGGTCTATAAGAGTAGAGAAAGACTACGTAGAAACTTAGCTCAGTTATAAAGTGTTGGACTGATAATGACAAGTGAAACATTCAGGCTTTTAGAAGTCAGTGTTTAGGCGAATTGTCTTCTTCTTTTTTTGGGTAGTTAGATATGTTTTAGTGGTGGGAAAATTATTTTTATTTTATTTATAACTCAATGTGATTCCAATCAATAAAATATTCTGGAATGGGTGATCTAATATTTCTCAAACTTTGTAATCCTAGCATGTTCAGGTTCAGAGAGGTGATTATTTTTCAGGCTTTTTATCAGCATTTCTTAGGGAATTTTCCTTTAGGTAAATTTATGAGGTCATAGGTGAAGTCTAGGTGTTTTGGCCAGACTAATAGTCATAGTAGTAGCATATATGTTGCAACTAGGGTGTCTGTAACAGACTTCATGGCAGTCGTGCTAAGCAGTAGGAATAAACCAGGACATTTGCTTCCAGTGAGCATCACTATTGGGTGGAGTTGGTATGACTGTCTTTTATAGTCTAAGGGGGTTATTTGTAACAACAGTGTGACTTACACTGGAAGCTTAGAGTTCTCAGTTTACTGGTTACAAAACCGAAAGCAGCTTCTTATTATTACTTTGTTGTAAATTGAGACCACAAAATACACCGTTGCAGTCCAAACTAACTGAATCGCAGCTGGATGAATAAGAAGATTCCTTGCATTGATTTCTGTTTTTCTGTCTGAACACATGGGTAGAATATGAAAAGCCTCAGTCAGCCATAGATGCAGTGTCCTCCATGAACCTGTTTGACCTTGGAGGTCAGTACCTGAGGGTGGGGAAGGCTGTAACCCCTCCAATGCCCCTGTTGACCCCCACAACACCTGGTGGTTTGCCCCCTGCTGCAGCTGTTGCAGCTGCTGCTGCCACTGCTAAGATCACAGCTCAGGTGAGAACTTCTTACTCCAGTTTTACAGGGAACAACTGGTGATTTTAATGCTTAAGGAAGAATTCAGGCTTTGAACACTGCCGTTGTAATTTTTATTTAACATTAATATTTCTTACTTAATTTTGTGATTGTTAGCTTCATTCTAGTCTTTTTCTTAACCGATTTCCATGCAATAGCTTAAATTCAGTATAAGGCACCTATTGGATTTTTAAATTATATATACCCTTTTTTACGCTTATAAGATTTTGGTCATTTTAATTAGATGGAAGACAAAACTCCATCAAACATGTCTGAGCCTGATAGAAATTCCAAACATTGTATGATTCAATTTGTAAAAGCAGCATAACCATTTCAATGTCATGATTTCACTGTTTCCCCTTGCTGGCGTTTGCTGAAGGAGGCGTTGGTATCCCCAGCCCAAATCCTCAGCCAGCAAATTGGGCTTCCTCAGGCTGTGCTGGCGGCCCAGGCCCCGGGCTTAATTACAGGTCTGACATCTGTTCTTAGAGAATTATACCTTTTACACATCCACACTCAACTGATCTCAGAAGAAAATATTGGCTGTCTGCGTGATCTCAATGCTAATGCTTTTTTCCTTTTCCTTTCATAGGTGTAACACCTGTTCGACCGACCCTCCCTGTGGTCCCACAGGTTGGCCTGGTTAACCCGGTGCTGGCATCGCCTCCTGTTACATCCACCACATCTACAGGAACACCTACAGCCACCACGCTGCAGCTGCCTGCCGAGACCAAGAAAGAAGTAGAAGAAAAGCAGCGAGAGGAAAACGCAGCCCGGGCAGACGGTCTAGGACCAGAGCGTGCGAGTGAGCATGAGCAACTCGGCAGCAGCGGAGGCAGACACGCAGTCGCGCAATCAGGGGTGAGCTTGAGATCTACTTTGTAGATGAAAGGCTGAACTACTTAAAAAAAAAAAAGCTGGATTGAGATGCAGTGTTATGCTACCTTACAGTGCTTGTTGGATGTTGCAATTTCCTACTTATGAAGTCTTGACATTCAAAAGCTTTGTAAGAAATGCATCCGTAGGATATCAGGAAGTCATTGTTAAAGGTTTGCGCGAGCATGAAATTCAAGCCGAACCCGAGACTTTGAGATGTGACCAGGCCAGGCACAACTGGAACTGATGGATTTCAAACTCAAGCCCACTTGCATGAACTGAGATGTATTGTAGTAGACACACAGTTTTACAGTGCTTGGCTTTATTACTAAATCCGGAATTAAACACCATAAGATGCCAGGATTCTGAGGTGGTCTTTGAAGGAATAAAAGCTGTATTTTCCAACGTCTGTAGTCTTTAACTGAAGCTTTTAAGGAGCAGCACTTGGCCAAGCAGGTTAGGGGGATTTTTATACATTTTTCAAAATGTCTGCATAATTCAATGGTTGGATGTAAACAAAGTCCTTCAGAGTGGATATGAAATAAACTGCTCCATTCTAGAGAAACATACTGACTCTGATGTTTTTACAGAGGTGGTGACAGGAAGCAGGGATTGAGATGTCTAAAACATAAATATAGTCATTTTATTTACCATCCAAAAAGATTGTCTTCTGGGCTTTTATGTGTAATGTTGATGTGGGAAATCTGAAACAGTAAGTATTCTTTGGAGACTAGAAAAGAAATTGGCCATAATCTAATATCAAAACTATTGTAAAACATTGTCTCAGACATCAGGCAGGGTATTCTTTACCATTTCATATCATAACATTTTGTGAGGAAGCTTTAAGAGGCATTGAACACTTTAGATGTCTGACTCCTATCACCACCACTGAGAACAACTGACTCTGCGAGTTTCTGTGAAACGTAGCATTTCAGGTCAGACCACTCTGAATTACGGAAATTTTGAAAAATCAGTAGAATTCCCCTTTAGCCTCATCATCATGCTGTGTATCAGCAATGTGATTTGTATGTAACTATTGTACAGATCATCTACATAGATACTGTTGGCTCAAAGTCTGATCAAATAAAAAAAAAAACAGAAAAATCCACCAATCAGCAGTGCCTGCTCCGTGGTTTGCAAATCCCTTGCTCTGCCTCCCCAGTCATTCATGTCCATGGTTTGCGAGTGAACACTGCTTGAGCTACATACTTGTTGTAAAGGCGCTGAAGAATGACTGATCACACAGTGGCAGTAGATCTTATTTGAAACATGCTTGTCTAAACTTAAAATAAACATGATTCAGTATTTTCATCTGTTTTATAATCAGTACAGTAGTATTGGGAGGAATTCTAATCAATACATTGAACTTGTTGGGAACTCGTCTTTTATGATAATTCTGATCACATGAGAGGTTTGTGAACTTGTAAAATTGTTTTTCCTTTTCTTGTTTCTGATGTATAGTCCACAGTAATGGTGTTGCGCAACATGGTGGGGCCTGAGGACATCGATGATGACCTGGAGGGGGAAGTGACGGAGGAATGCGGGAAATTTGGTGCTGTGAACCGGGTCATCATCTACCAGGAACGCCAGGGAGAGGAGGAGGATGCCGAGATCATTGTGAAGATCTTTGTGGAGTTCTCCGACACCGAAGAAATGAACAAGGCCATCCAGGCCCTTAACAACAGGTGGTTCGCAGGTCGCAAGGTTGTTGCCGAGGTCTACGATCAGGAGCGGTTCAATAATAGCGACCTGTCCGCATAAGACTGCCTCAAAAACGGCCGCCAACCTTTTCTCCACCCGCTCAAACTCACTCAGCCTCCATCACTGCTGCTAGAGTTTTGGGCCTCTTTTAAACTTGTAATTATTTTTTTATTGATGTCAATAATAATATTGGGGACAGTCCCATTGGTGGGATTTGGCTTAGAAAAGTATGTGCGTGTCATGATTTGTCATCACCTACTGTGAAATACTTTTTTTTTATGGTTATTTACAAGTTGTTTTCTAATTAGTCAAAAATCACTTCCCTCTTTGCACCCCTGTGTCCCAGCCCAGCCATAAGAAAACTTTTTTTTTCTCCCCCACTTTTAAATAAACAGTTTTTGCATCACTAACATTCTGTTAAGATTCTAAACATTGTGTTGGAGTCATTGGTTCCGGATTTATCGAAACAATAAATTCTTCAAATATGCCACACTTTGTTGGTGAATCACATGTTTGGAGGAATGACGATGTGGAGTCCTGTGTATTGACATAGCCATGCTTTATAAATATGATGCCTAGGTTAATGTTGCTAATAAGGCCAGAGGTTTAAACAGTCCTGATATAGATGAGTTTATTGGTCTCTGATGTGCTTTATATCACACAAATCTGATGGTATTGAATACTGCTTGAGTGTTAATGTGGAATTTAAATACACTGAAAGTTTTGTCCAATTTTTCATGCTGTAAACTCTAACATAAGCTCCAATCTTGAATGATGATGAACGACGAACACCCAATTATCTAATTATCTATTAGCCATCTAAAAATGGCTGTGAAGAATAAGCTAAGAATTAACCAGTTGTATTTAAAATAGCAGGGCAAGTCTAGTTGCCTTGAACTAAACTAAGTCATATCAGGTGCAACTGTGTTTTAAACGTCCATGCATCAGATGACCTTATTTGAAGCAAAGGAAAACCTCTTAAAGGCCCATATCAGAAATCATATTCATCACTTTTTGTCTGATGTAGTACATGAACATTCTTAAAGTTTCAAAAAATACAGTTCGCACCCCAGGGGGTCCCGACCACTGGAGAACAAGGTAAAAGGGGGCTAACAAAGTATTCAGAGAAACAGATGGACTACAGTCTGTAATTGTAGAACTACAAAGTTCTGTAGTACTATTATGATAAGTGGAGCTGATAAAATGCACAGTGAGGGTAGAAACAAGGAGGTGGTTTTAATGTTCTGGCTGATAGGTATAAATGTATAGACATCCAAGATAAAATGTAAAATGCTATATTAAAGCGAAAAACAATGCAGCAGATCTCTTTCACTGGAAACACGTCGTTCTGCGGGTCTTTTCTCATGAACACGCCACCATTTAAGTCAGTGGTTCTGCGGGGGGAAATCCTCATTTATGAGCGTACAATTGAGGTAAAATATGAAAAATACAGAAGCACTTGGCAACTGTGATGTTATCGCATAAATACAGCTGTCTATCATCTTTTTAACGTCATGTGTAGTACAGTATATGTCAGCTGTTAAACTAGCACAGAGACACGTTCGACGTTCGGACAGCAGGGGGCGCACTCGCACAATAAACCACATTTAATAGACGAGTTAAAGCTCAACACAGTATACATATATACATACATACATACACACATATATATACATATATATATATATATATATATATATATATATATATATATATATACATATGTGAAAATAAACACACCACTCAAGAAAAAAGTCTGACCTTTTTCTGCTTTGTTTATTTGTGGAGCTTCTTCACATGCCTTATTACACATTTATAAAAAACATTTATTACCTAAAACAACCAGTAAACTAAACAGGTGTCTTTTGAGTTTTTATTTTTAATACTGAAAATGGTAAAATAGTGGTAAATGTGAAAAAAAATCTTTGGGTACTATTTTGCCTTACACTCTCAGACAAAACAGCAGAAATAGCATTGGGGTGTTGCCACCAAGCGTACATCTCAGTACCTTTGGTCAGGGAACATAATTGTACCATAATCCATTGAAATTATATTTTCTAAGTTGTGTTAACTCCACATACATTGCTCCATTTTAAAACATTAGATCATGAAAAGGTACAAATATGTACATTTACACTGGGAAAAACTTATTTAAGGGACACAGTTGGATATTAAAACCACTGTTGTACCTTTGAGGGAACATTTACATTGTTTGTACCTTGCTGAACGAAAAATGTACCTGCACAGAACCTTTAACCTCTAACAGTGTAAAACACCCTGCGTGTACCTCTTCACCATGCATGGACCTTAAAAAATTATGCATTGGGCCAAAACTTTATCTAAACCAACAGAACTCATAAAACAATGTCTCAGGCATTAGGCAGTGTATTCATAACCATTTAAACTTTATGTGAGGAAGCTTTAAAACCCTTCAGACGTCTGGTTCCTATCACCACCACTGTGATCAGTTTCTCTGGAACAGAGCATCTCAAATCAAACCACTCTGAATGACTCTGTTTACATCTAAACAGGTTAATAATGTAGAGTTTTTTTAAAAATCTGTGGAATTCTCATATATGTATATATATATATACACACACACACACACACACACACATATGCATATACATAAACATTATATATATATGCATTATATATATATACATATATGTACACACACACACACACACACACATATATATATACATATATATATGTATATATATATATATATATATATATATATATATATATATGTGTTCTATATTTTCTATACTCGAGAATGTCTGAATGCGGAGGGAGCTTTCTGTTGAGAGCGGCTTGTCCTCCTCACTCCTAGGTGTCCTCATCTGGAGAAAAACAGCGAACCAGCGTACAACACAACGGCACTGGCCGAGAGAGAGCAGGAGAAGGAGAGAGAGAGAGTCACACAACACGGAGAGAGAGAAAGAGAGAGAGAGAGAGAGAGGGAGGGAGAGGGAGAGGGAGAGGGAGAGGGAGAGGGAGGGGCGGTGGGGGGAGGCGTAGACGGCGCTCCTCCGTGCTCACAAAGATGAGGCGGAGTTGTGGACGGTTTCGATAGAAGCGGAGCTCCTCTTCCCTCAGTCACCTCAGTATTGGGCTTAAAAACAAAGACAGAAAAAGGCAGAGACTCTCCGGCGCCTGAACGCAGCAGCCGGTGAACTGTGAGCCATATGAGTAACGACAACACGGACGCTTTTGTCCCGGATTGCTCGACTAGACTCGGTCTCCTCTCGCACTGCGGGCTGCCTGCGCTGCCCTACGGCTGAGAGCCCGGCGCTGGACCGGACCGGCGGGACTCGCTGTGTTCGCCCGCAACATTAACCAGACCTTCACCTCCGTCAACTAGCATTTCCTTCCCGTTTTACTCAAATGTACACTCTCGCGTTGTTTTATTGTTAGTTCTGCGTGCTGTTTTTATGTTGTCAGTACAGGTAGCTTAGCTGACTAGCTGAATGTGAACACTGTAGCAGCGTTAGCTGGAATGCTAATCGGTTAGCTCCCTGGCGTTGTTTTTAAACGAGACTCTAACGTTACTTAGCTCGAGCTAGCTACCCGAGCTGTGGCTTTGTAACAGGCTACAGTATGTAGGAAGACGTTGTGTTTAACGCGAATGAAACTCTGAGGTCCATGGGGTTATAAACACATTATAGCTGTCTGTTGTTGACGATAAGACAGCGACGAGAGTCCTGGGTAACTATTCTTCGCAGCACAATCGCATTTAGTTAGCTAGCTAAACAGTGCGCTAGTCAGCGCTTATGACTACTTAGCTTGAAGACTGTTGGTACGGCTTTTTATTTAACAGGCTGTTTTAAAGGAGTGTTAGCTTGTGGTTACTGTATGCTTGCAAAGTTGTAAGTGACTGGAGGGGTTTCGGTTTAATCTGCTGGGTTTCTTTGCTCTTTCTCATGAGGAGAGCTGTTGTGTGACGTGAACACGTTTCCCTCCCTCGAAACAACGGGAGTCTGGACCTAGCTGCCCGCCTCTGGAGGGGGATTTTTACACTGTGTTTGTCGCTTTTTGGATAAAGCTGAGGGATTTACACGTACCGACACTCCTCCATTCCTCATCCCCGTCTTCTCCCTCCACCGTCTCTAATGCAGAGAGCCTGAGTGGCGCCGGTATCCTCCCCCCCGGCCATGCTGAAGTGTATCCCCTTGTGGCGGTGCAACCGCCACGTAGAATCGGTGGACAAGCGGCACTGCTCTCTGCACACCGTGCCCGATGAGATATACCGCTACAGCCGCAGCCTGGAGGAGTTACTGCTCGATGCCAACCAGCTGAGAGAACTGCCCAAGGTAAGACACATCACCAGCGACGTGGTGGCAGCTTACTTAAGGGGAATTCCACTAGTTTTCAAATTTTTGGGAAATTTCAGTCCTTGCGATGTAAATAAAGTCATTCAGAGTGGTTTGATGCGAAATGGTTCACTCTATTAAAATGTGCAGACTCTGATTTCTTTGCAGTGGTGGTGATGGGAGCCAGGGGTCCTGATGTCTACAACACACATATAGCTATTTAATTTATTGCCCAAAACCACCAGTGAAACTACACATGCCTTCTGAGTTTTTATATGTAACGTTGATGATGGTAAAATAGTCACAAATCTGAAATAAATATGTTTTTTAAGGACTATTTTGCCTTACAACACGCTGCATGTACTTCTCCGCCATGAATAAATTAAAATAATTGGATTCTAATGCATTTTAAGTCAGGACTTTATCACAAAACTATCATAAAACAATGTGTCAGACATCAGGCAGCATATAGCTACTTGTTTAATGGAGTTACTTTCTGTGAGGGAGGTTTCAGAGGCATTAAACTCTTCAGTCGTTTGGTTCTTATAATCATCACTGTCAACAATCCTGACTCAATAGGTTTCTCTAGAATGGAGGATTTCACATCCAACCACTCTGAATGCCTTTGTTTACATCTCAGCCATTTAAATATGTAGACATTTTGAAAATTTGGTGGACTTCCCCTTTAAGCTTGTGGCCCAGCTTACTGTTGGGAGGCAGTGGGCCCTGGTTGTTGTTGGGGTGCAGATGAAGATTAAGCGCCTGTGTGTACCATTGTGGGAGACCTCATGATCTTAAAAAAGGATGACTTTGAAGCAACTCCCTAGCAATAAGGCTGTACTGAACTTTGGTCCGATTTATTTTTGCACCACAGCAGTTCTTTTCCATTTTCAGACAATTATTGTGCCATTAGAGCTCCAATCGCTGTCCAACAGTTATGCACATCACTATACTAAGCCATTAAAAATGCTCCCTACCTTTCAAACTATGAAACGTCTACCCATTGGCTTCTTTGTGTATTTTGAGTGGTTTCCATTTTTAAGCACAGGGAAACGCATCAAAATTGTCATTTTATTATAAGTGACTCTATGCCACAGGTGCAGCAGATAAGGATTAGATTGACAAACACTGGAATATTCCGTGAAAGCTGTCAAGTGGCTGATGTTGGAGCGCTGGTTTATAAGCTTGTTCCACCAAGATGAGGATCGCTTGTGGTTGCCTAATGAACTGAGAGGATGAGTGAACATTATGGAGTACCTCATGATCTTTAAATAGGATAGGTTTGTTGAAAAAGCTAGAACTTTGCTCTGATTTGTAGCTGTTTTCCATCATAGGCAATTACTGTATTGTTACAGCTCAACAACCGCCCAACATTTATGCACATCAAGGGCATAATATGAAAGATAAAAGTGCCAACAGTAAGTTAGACATAAAGTAGACGTAAAATATATGTCCAAAAGTACCCAGACACCCCTTCTGACTATTGAATGCAGCTACTTTTAGTTGCACTAGTTGCTGACACAGGTGTTCAATTGTGCATATATAATTTGTATAATCTCTAATGAAAAGCATTGTCAGAAGAATAGGATGCCTTGGAGCAGCCAAGGATGAGCTCAATATGCCCAATATGCCCTTTGTCATATGTCAGCTAGTGGGGTATAAAGCCCCATAGCTTTGGGCTGGTAATGCAGCAAAGCCTGACAAACTCCCTATTAACACCCTTGATTTCAAAATAAATATTGAATGAGTGGGTGTCTACAAACTTTTGGATGAAAAGTGTAAATGAGTGTTTTTCAACGCTGGTCCAGGAGCCCCAGTGCTGTGCTGTTTATAGTGTTATTTTCTGCTTCCAACACACCTGATCCAATTAATCAGCTCATTAACAGCCCATAAATGAGTTAAATGGCTGTGTTAAAGCAGGAAAAGCACTAAAATACACAGACCAGTGGGCCTCCAGGACCAGGGTTGGGAAACCCTGGTGTATATTATCATGCTAATAACCACACACAGAGTGATGTATGTGGTGCACATTGGATGTTGGGTCTAAAACGTGACACAGGCCATGCAGACTGCTGAAGGGACATGAGAATAACCTGTTATTTTACTGCTGTGGGTTTTAAAGTTTGGTAAATCGGGCGCTGGCTTCTCTCCTCGGAGGACAGTCCAGTTTGCTGTACGTCTGTGTCACATACTTCTCTGAAAGACTTTCTGCCTCGCCTTTTTAATTTAGACTCCCTGTGAGGGAGTGTGTGTGTGTGTGTGTGTGTGTGTGAGAATTCTGTTGACTTGGCTTCTAGTCAGCTCTAGTAGTGTCAATACTAAGCGCGGTATGTCTTATCTGAGGCCTCTGTATGTGCTGAAGTTGCACAGGTGGGTGGGAGGGTGGCTGGTAAGTGCCGTAGCCCTCAGCAAGTGTTTACTGAAGCACACAAGCACAAAATTAAACATAATATTCAAACCTACAGTCAGTTTGCTAACTGACCCCTCCAGGCACGTCATAGTCTCAGGTAGCCTTTTCAGTCTGCCTGCTGTGAGGGCCAGAAGGGTGCTTGTGTTGTGTACAGTCACACTGTCAGAAGGCACAGATGCATGCTAGCAAGGCTGCTGCTGCTTGTGTAGCTAACCGGGTCAGACAGAACAGCATAAGAGCTGCTGACCATGATGTGGAGTTGCTGATGCAACCAGACAGATCAGACCTTGAGCTCAGAGCTGTGTGTGTTTGGTGTGTAGACAGCAGGCATATGGACGCCCTTCGGCCTGCAGCAAGAAGAGAAATAGAGTGAGAAATCTTGTTCTGGTTGCAAGCAGACTTGAAGTAGTAACATAGGTTTGAGCGATGGATTGAAATTGAATGTGTTTCACACTGTTTTATTATGGGTGACATTTTAAATTTATTAGCTTTCTAGACCTTTTATTGGACAGGTTGGACAGTGGTAGTTATGCATGAGCAGTATATCTTCTATATCGGTGTTGGTATTGCACAACAATATTAATGCTTTAGACTTAATGGTGTGGGGTTTTATCTATGATTAGGGGTGAGCTATATGACAACATTGTATCATAATCGGTATTTGTTACATCACTGTAAGCTTTTCAGAGCATATTGTAGTCATCTTCAGTACTTAAAGGATAGTGGTTAATTTTATTAATGCAAATTTGACATCATCACATATGATGCTGTGATATATTTAGAAAGTACTGTGGTGTGAAATTTGATCAGTGCCTTGCGGAATTAGCTGTAGCGCCTGATTGGTAGCCTATGTCGTTGCCTGGTGGTGCGTAGCTCATGCCGTTGTCCGAAACTGACTGTAGCTCTTCTGTCCTGAGTGCGCCATATGGTCAGTCTCAGTATGTGGTCACTCTGCCATGTGGTGTGAGAGATGGTGTAATCTTCTTGGGCCATAACCCCCCAGTTAACTGTTATTCATGAGTGATCGCTTGTGGTAGCTTTTCTGGCACACGTCAGCAAAGCCTCTCAAGTGGCATGTCGTACACATTCAGGGATTTGTGTGCTAATGCTGATTTTATTTAATTAATTGCCATGATGAACAGTCCTGTGTTGTTAATGATAACTAGGGACCTGCAGCTCATGGCACCACTTGAGAGCATATGCTTTATGTTTAATGCCAAGTAAGGTCAGGCTCCTTCCTACTACACCAGGGACTATACATAGCCATTAAAATAATAGTCCAGCCTATGACGCATCTGCCCATTGGCTTCTGTCATAAGTGTATTTTGAGTCAACTGGTTTTAGTTCTTTTCAGGGGGAACACATTAAAATGATTTTCTGAGGTAATTGACCATATGCCACAGATGTGGCAAATAAAGATGATATTGAAAAATGGAGAAGTATTTCTTTAAAGATGTCAAGTGACTGAGGTCAAATATACTTGTTCCACAAAGGTCAGAATAACTGGCAATTGCCTAATGAACTGAATGAAAGGCTGAATTAACTTTTGTGTCTGTGCAAGAGTGTAAGTGCAAGACAGGGGCTGGCAGGTTGCATCAGTCGGAGCAGATGGAGGTTTAGTTGCTCGAGCTGTGTCTTATGAAGTTCACCCTAGGGCTCTGTGCCCCCACCTGGGCAGCTTATGTCCATCAAGCCTCTGCAGCTTTAGGAGAAATAGCAAAAGTGGTTAGAAACCATTATCCTCTGTGTACACCATGTCCCAATCAATTAATATATTAATAGGAAGTTTGTTTGCTGCAGTAACAACTCAACTCTTCTGGGAAGCTTTCACTAGACTTTGGAATATTGCTGTGAGCATTTGGTTGCAGCCACAGAAACATCAGTGAAGTCAAGTATGGATGTTGGATGATTTAGTTCTGAATCTAAATCTCAAACATACTTCATGATGCTCCATCTCTTTAGAGATGACTAATGCTCAGGGGGCTTTATACCCCCAAGCAGACACTTGCCACTGGGCATGGTTGCTCTAGAGCATCCAGTTCTATTGGTTGTGCTTTTCTGTTTATAGTTTCTTTATTCGGAAGGGTTGTCTAGATACTTTTGGGCATATAGCAGTTTTATCTCAGCACTTTGTATCAGTTTTTGGATCACTACCCTCTTTAGAATTAGCCCTCTTGGACCATGTGGCAAAGAAATGCAAAGGAAGGAGTGATTTACATGGGAAAATCTGTGGCAGTGCTAAATAGTTTTATTACTCGTCGTTACAGTTGCTGCTTCTGCTCATGCTCTGTGAGTTGTGCCAGACAGCTGAAGAGGAATTCCCCATTACACCCTCCTGTTCTCAATCATTGTGAAGCTTCAGCCTCTGTTTTCTCATTATGCAATCCCATAATCCACACCATTCCTTAACATGTCTTTTGTGTGTCAGCTAAGCGCCTGCTGTACACACTGAATGCCTCACTCTAGTGTCAGGGACAAGGCTGAGGGCTAACTGGATTAACCCTGCTCACTCATAGCCACTCACAAACCAGAAAAGCTCTAGTAAATATGAGTAAGCCCATGTTAATCATTTATATGCTACTTTTCACTC